CAAATGTGGCCTAATTATCCCACATAGCAAATGGACTTGGCCCAAATGTGGCCTCATTATGGCACTGCTGCCGTGTTGCCGGCACTGGCATGCATAATGTCAGTTGAATGTGGGCCATGCATGACAATGATGGCACTGCATGCACAACGGCAAACTACATTTGGGCCAGTTGTGGATGGGAGGTGTGTAGCCCAGTGTTTAGGTAACATTACACTGTAAAAATTCATTTTGTGGCCTTGTAGATTTCATTAATATTAATATGTACACTTTATTTAATTAAATTAATTTCCTGATTTTAGGGCTTTTTTTTCTTTGAAATTAATTAAAAAATGTCTGTAATAAAATCTAATCAATTTTATTATAAGAATTTAGCTGTTATTTTTGAATAATTTCAAAAAGAGAAAATATTAATTAAATCCAACGTGATTAAAATGAGCATTTTCAGATTAGCCAGAGTCACACAAGTCGCCGAGGACCAGCTGCCCTCGCCGGGGACACGAGTGATGAGCGCCCGTCATGACCTGGAGGTAGACATGTCAGCAATTTTCAAAGGACATTTATAAATACGCACAATCTTTAGAAATAAACAGCGGATTTGAGTTTTAAACAACAACATTCTCGCGTGAACAACCGTTAAAACTTTATTTAATGGTACATTTAGAGCAGTATTGTTTATTGTATTGGTTCTGTTCAGTGTGAGATTGAATCGGATTGAATCGTCTTTGGATTGAACTGTTTGTTGGGAGATCGGAAATCTTTTTATCGCACGTGTTCAAAAGCTTGTCATCAACATGTAATTAGTGTATAGTGTAAATGCGTGTGGCTGAGTTATAGCGAAATGCTAATCAATCGTGTTAATAATACACAAAAATACAATCGGTTTCGGGTGGGATCCGACTCTTACAAATCACTTAAGTGAGCCGATTCCTAGAACCGAACCGAGTCACTCGACTCAAACAACGCCTACTCGCTTCAACGAGATGTCGTGGTCTCATCCAAACGGATTTATCGGTAAGTGTTGAAATGTCCAACTTTGTTAATTAAATAATTGTTATATATTTCTGTATAGCATGTAATTCACCAAGTAACTTTAGCTTCTTTTGTCTATTTATAAACGAAGTTACCAAATCACTTTATTGTCACATCAGCAGCAGCACAGAAAACAATTTCTGAAAGCCCACTGGTTAAGAAAGCTGTCGCACACGTGTCTGCTGATTCGACAGGCGATGGCGCCAAAGAAGCGCGCTGCTGATTCTCGTGTTTCTTGTAAATGTTTAACCATGGAGGTTTTAACATGCAGCAAAATTTATTCATTCTACGATGCTGTATCTAGGTAATATTCTCGTCCAGTTGAATTTGTGTTTTATTCTCTCAACATTTATTATTACAAATATGGCCTAAGTGAAAAAATATACTTTTGTTTTAGGCTTACCGTTGGGATTTGCAATTTTAGGACTATAGCATGTTAGTTATCACTATTTGTTTCTTGAATAATCTTAAAAAAAACAAAACTTTTTGATCACATACCTGCCTGTTTTATGAGAAACATATGGTCTCTGTCAGTAAAAAAGTGTCAAGCCTCGACCGCTGGAAACATGATGGCTTCTGTCGCTTATGAACTCTCTGACCGCAGGTCTGCACTAAACCAGGCTTAATGCAGCTGCATGTGCTCAAGAAAAAAGTAGCGTAGAAACAATTAATGTAGACATCACAGACACAAATATACACAGACACACAAACGCAAGTGTTATTCATTATTAACATTATTAATAAATTATTATGAGTTTTATAAAATTCTGTATATTAATATGAGTTTTATTATTCATTCATTTTCCTTTGGCTTAGTCCCTTATTTATCAGGGGTCGCCACAGCAGAATGAACCGCCAACTCCTCCGGCATATGTTTCACACAGCAGTGGCCCTTCCAGCCACAACCTAGTTCTAGGAAAGAGTTTCATTATAAAGGTCTAGAATTTTATTAAAATTTCAACTAAACACACTTTTCCCCCAATTAATGACAGTTGGTCAGGATAAGAAATGTTATAATTCATTGTAAAAATCAGGCTTATTCCATCAAATATTACTTTTTTAACTGTTCATGAAGTTAAAACGTTGATATTGTGCAGTTTAGTGTGAAATAATTTTAGGCAAAACAAAATGCTCTAAACTATACATTTTTGTATCAAATTGTAAGTAATTTAGATATTTTTTGACAATATCAGTGACTTTTAAAAATATTTTGATGATAATTTTTTAGGACAAATAATTAACAAAAATCTGTTTTCTCAGTGCTTTAGTGCAATATTGGCACCATCATACTCCCTGCCGAGGTGAGGTAAGGATCAACTTTAAAATAAACCCAGTTATAGGAAAAGCAGGTGCTTCTGTTGGACACAAGGGCAGCTTTTCTCATTATTTCCAATAGCGCTGATGCTGTGGGTGGACTTGTAGGTGTCCTATATCAGATCGGTGAGGATGGATCCACTCATGTCCTCACTGCTAAAAGTGCCACCTCAGCAGATACATCAAACCACAGCCGGGAGGAGAGAAAAACAGACAATGATCAGAACATCAACAGTCCTTCTATTATGTAAAATCTGCACTTATTTAAAACAATGAGCTAATAACTGTTACCTCACAGCAAGCAGGTCGCTGGTTTGAGTCCCAGCTGCGGGCCATTTTCTGTGTGGAGTTTGCATGTAATCTCTGTGTCTGTGTGGATTTCCTCTATGCTCTGGTTTTCCACACAGTCCAAAGACATGAGGCATATAGGTGAACTGAATTAAAAAACTTCCCATTTTAACATTTATATACAACCATTTTAACAAATTATGCAATAAGTTTAATTTAAAAATAATGGACAAAAATATTAATACAATTTCAATATAAAAATAAAGTTTACAAAGATAAAAAAAATTACTGAAATAAATATGAGTTGAACAAAATTAAATAAATAAAAAATATATAACCTAATAAACGAAATAAAAGCAAATAATAAACTGACTAAACCTTTAAAAGAAAACCTAAAAATCAATCTATTTTCCCCTACTATTTCCATCATCTGTCTGTATTGTGTACATACATAAACTCCTGTGTATATATATGTCCAGCGTTTCCTCAGTTCTCAGCCTTGCTGGTTGAGCATAGACTGCTATTCTGTTTCTCATTTGAGTTTAACTTCCTCTGATTTATTCTTCTTGTGTCTTGGGATTTTACTGCAGTGTTTTGCTGATAAAAACGGGTAATTCATTAAAGTTATAACTATTAAGTTGGCTATCCCTTACACATATAATTTATTATTCAGAAGCTTCACAATTAAATGTTTTCCAATTATCTTCACTGTGGGAGCCTGTGCAGAATTATATTTTGTCTGACACAAGCCCAAACGCTCCTTCACCCTCACATCTGTTGAGATGTTCACACTCTCTTCAGCATCAGTTGAAGAGCTGCAGGCAAACTGGGTGAAAGAATATCCAGACTTTGCTTTGCCTACAATAATAATTTGCCAGTCTCTGTCTGTTAAACTGCACAGGCTCTAACTTTATCTTGTTTCCTTTTGCTTCCCATCAGGTGAAGTTATAGCACCCAGAGGGATGTCCAGGAAGTGCCTTTTAAAGGTCTTGGAAGGCATTTGTTTAAACACCTGGTCAGTTCTGTTCCCAGATTATCACATGCCTTTGATTTAAAAAAAAAAAAAGAGGGAGAGACAATAACAAGGAGTATTTTAAAGCTGCTCTTAAACTTGCAGATATCTGTTAATGTCATCAGATCTTTCCTGATTCTTGGAGATTTAATGAACTGCTAGTTTGTCATTAGGTAATAAGTGAGATATAATTTAAATACCTTTTTAAAAAGTTAAGATTTGTCCTGAAGAAAAAAGTTGATTACAAACTTGTCTGCAAAGATATCAGCTTCATCTTACTTTCTCAAGGGTCTGTGGTTTCTATTTCCCAAACTCTACTTATGGTTTTTGAGGGAAAAAATACATATTTCAGAGTTTTGTTAAGCTCTTATAGATTGTCGAACTTAAAGGGCACTTATTTTATTTCCCTTTTCAAGATTTAATACAAGTCGTTTGTGTCTCCAAAATGTGTCTGTAAAGTTTCAGCTTAAAACACCCATCAGATTATTTATTATACCCCTTAGAACAGTGGTTCTCAAACTTTTTTCACCAAGTACCACCCCAGAAAAATAATTGACTCTCCAAGTACCACCATAATGAGCAGTATTGAAATACAGTAGCGTATAGGCCCAGTAAAGCAGCTACAGCTTTGTACACTTTGAAAGGAATAAAAAATAATTTCCATATCTTTGGCTTAATCAAAAACAGAACAATAGATGTTTTTTTTTGTTCTTCTATCAATCCATCCCATAATCCCAACAAAGAAATCCAGCAAACAGTCAAATGCTGGATTTGTATGCCACTCTTTTTACAATCTTAACTCATCAGTGGCTTCTTTTGAGTTGTAAATGTTCACCCGTGCTGTCCAAGATTCCTCAACTAATAATAATTTCCTGTTTTTTATTTCCATGGCCAGCACTATTCATTCTCCCTTTGTTTTTCCGAATCACAGTGTTCCCTGAAAGTGTCTCATTCTGTCATAAAAGGGAGGAACACATCTCGTTAGTTATGGCATGATCAAACTTATTCAGAAGAAGACAAAACAATTCATCAACTTCAGAATGAAAATTACATGCATAGAGTTAATAACAATAGTCAGTATATTGTCACAGCAGTTTATTTTTGGAAATATCTGTGGGGATGATTTGTTAGGTAAGCTTCAGACAGCACAGAGTGGGTTAAGGCCAGTTCGGTGAATCGTTTTTTAATGGTTCACAGGCAGAGAAACTCTTTCGAGGTCTCATTTTACTCGTGACACACTGCTCTTCTGCTCGCTCCTATCCATACACGGTATCTCTACAATATGACAGACCTGAGGATTTTTCTCTTTTTCATGACCGTACCGTGGATAATTTGTGAAACAGCTAAAACTAATAAAGTGGTGCCGAGACACAAAGGAATACTGAAAGTAGACACTGATGAAGAAGTTAACTCCGGGAGTAAAGCTGTCATGGAAGTCAAGAAATCAAAGGTACAGCAATTTGATAACGAATAAGGAAATTTGCAAAAATTTTAATTATAGAATTGTGTTTAGCATATTAACCAGTTTTGATAGTTAAAACAAATATTACAATTGCAAGATATCGTAAATCTGTTCCAAGAAAGGTATGCAGTGGAAAACCTGGTAAATCCATAATGGGATTATGTCCAATATAAGAAAAAAAAAACATCAGCATATTATCTGGGAGTTTACAAACTCACTAAATGCTAAAATACTGTAGCATGTTAACCAGATGATTATGAGAGAAAACCAATTAAAATTGCCTTTTGATCTCGAATACCATAGAAAAAGGTTATTCTCAGTCAAGACTACGACAATCCAGCTGATAAAGATGTTGAAATTCCAGGAGCAGACCCTAAAGACGATGAAGGTATTTATTAGTTACTTTTTACTTTTGATTTGATTCAAATAGCATTCAAGCCTTTTTTTACTCTGTTTTTCAGACCTTCCGACTTGCCTGATGTGTGTGTGTCTAACGGGGTCAGTGTATTGCGAGGACGTTTCTCCAGACATGACAACAGTTCCCGCACTGCCACAGGAGACGGCTTACCTCTATGCATGCTTTAATAAAATCACAAAAATAACCAATAAAGACTTTGCTAATATTGGTAAGGGGTGTAAGAACAGCTGTTATGTGTGGTCAGCACAAACTTAATTTATAGTGATTGGAATCAGATCAAAGTAATAAAGGTAAAACCTACATTGAGATTTAAATGTAAGTATCTTTAAGTCTTATGAGATAAATCTAAAAGAGCTTGTGTTTAAAAGGAAAGTTGACCCAAAATGTAACTTTTATTAATCATTTACTCAACCTCATGTTTTTAAATGCTTGTGACTTTTTCACTGGACATTTGAACTCCATTTTGACATCTTTACAATCTTTTTTATGTTCCACTTGTTACTTTCGCTTGAACTGCCATTTAAAGACATTACAAATTCATTAGCCTTTTCAAAAGATACACGTTTGTATACTGAAACAGTTAATGTATGTATTGGTTCCTAAAGTGTACATTTTAGTACTTAAACGTACAAATGTGTACCTTTTGAAAAGGAACCCCCAGTGACAGTTGTTAATGAGTGCAGTTAATGGAAAAACAAACTGAAATTGTGTAACCTATTGATTTTTTTAATGCTTAAACTCACTTCATTTTTATAGAAAACAAAGCTTAATCTTGATTTTAGGATATTTTAGCCTAATTAGATAGCAAATACACTGATAAATATTTCCTTTTTGCAGTGCATGCATCATTTAATGTCGTGACCTTGTTTCTGCTCTGATTTAACACATTTTTAAGTATTTAGGCTCGTGCAAAGACTAAAAATCCCTTTAAGACCTGCAGAAACCCCAAACTTATCAATACATTAACCCATACCTGTCAACATTGGCATGTGAAAATAGGGGATATTCCCCCCTAATAAATTCCCAAATTAGTAAATATGTTTATTAGGAGCTGTTTTATTGTAAAAAAAATAGTTAAATTGTCAGTAATATGTTTTATTATTATTATTATTATTTACAAAAGAAAATAATAATTATTTTACATATAATTAATACAATTATTATTATATTAATTACAAAAAAATATAGTATACATTAGCAGCAAATAAATTAGCAAACAGTTTAGCTTAATAAAATTAATAGCTGTTATAATGACAAAGAATCAAGTTATCAAATCTCATTATCCGTTTTTTCACTGTATAACTTACATTTTGATTGAAGAGCAACGAATGAATCTCTTATTTATTTAGATTTTTTTTTTTTGATTACATTAAATAACAGAGGTGTCACTTTAAAAATGCACACATCTAACATTATAATGAAAGCGTTCAATGGCTTTCTTAACCTTTTATGCTCATTTAGGATGAAATTTGTTGTGTTTAAAGAAAACGACCGAGATCGACAGCTTTATATTAATAAATATATGTCTGTTTAAACACACACCCAAAACCCAGACCTTTACTCCGCTTCAAATCTTGTGAACAGAATCCGTTTGGGAAACAGCGTCTATTTATCACTATGGAGCGGGTCTGACAGTCATGCACCGCTATATGACTGTCTTGAGGATTGCATATAAAGGGGAGACGGCACTTGTAATGAAAAGGAGAGGGAATCCCACCATTTTTATATTTACTTCAAACTGTTTTCATGCCTGAACAAAGTGAAAGCACAGAACAGACTCACATTTAAGAGCAAGGGGCGGCCCCTGGTGGTTCGACGGTATAGGTTGCGTATAGGTAGGCTCGGCTCTTAAATGTTTATTTGGCACCCTTCAGAAAAAGAGGGGAAAAATACCTTTACGGGATGATAGCGGAATAGAACTGTAAAATATGGGAGTAGTAAAACGGGAGGGTTGACAAGTATGCATTAACCTCAAGACAAAAAAGTTGGTTAAAGCCAGTTTCATAAAGATATAATGTTTGTATCTACAAGTAAATGAGGAAAGAATTTTGGTAAAGGTTTAATCAAGTTAAAAATCAAGTTACAGCACCTGTGGCAATATCCAGATGTGTAAATATACCTAATATGTCCATATAATCTTATTTCACAGCCACACTGAAAAGAATTGACCTCTCCGGCAACCTGATCTCAGAAATAGAAGATGGAGCCTTTTCCAAACTCAGTCATCTCGAAGAACTAACACTCGCTGGGAACAAGCTGGTCAAGCTGCCGATGCTGCCCGCGAATCTCCTGTCTCTCGATGTCAATCACAATTTACTCAAAACTAAAGGAGTCAAAGCTAACATTTTCAAGGTAAAAAATGAACTAAAGAAAACATCAAAAATGATATCGACAGATTTTGGTCTTGCTCATAATTTCTGGCCTCCATTTTTGCATTAGAAGCTGATCAAGCTAGCATACCTGTACCTTGGAGACAACGGGCTAGAAGCCATCCCGCCGCTGCCCGAAAGTCTGCGTGTGGTTCATCTACATGTACGCTCATAATAAAATGCTATTACCACATACTGCGCAAATAATTCACATACTTATGCATAATTGCACAATTATTTTTTTCAGAACAACAACATAACATCACTGACAGACGACACGTTCTGCAAAGGGAACAGCACGCACTACATCAGGCACAACATGCAGGAGGTGCGGCTGGATGGAAATCCCATAACACTGGCTCAACATCCCAACAGCTTCATCTGTCTGAGAGCGCTGCCTATTGGACACTACAAGTGATCCGCTGAGGAGAAGAAAATGTTCCTTTAGCTCTCATCCAACTGGCAAAGCTGCATTCACACAGATTTAACAGCTTAACGCATTCTTGCATTTAGACATTTTAGATCATTCGTAAGAAACATATACAGGAAATAACATTTTTTTTATTGACTTTTCTAAAGTGTAACCATTTTGTTATATCTTTTTTAATGTTTTTTAATGCAAGTAAAAGTTGCAAAACAAGACTGTGGTGAAACCTTAAAGCTAAGAAGAATGTCTGCAAATGGGAAAGCAATACTGAGTGGAAACTTTACTGATATCCAATGCTGGTAAATCATTTTTACAGATTTTTGCTGGAGTCTCTTTGACTTATTTACAGATGGCACAAGCACTTATTAAATTGGTTATAATGGTTTTTAGCATATCATAACGAGGATTTTTCTTATTCACATAGTCTAACAGGCCTGTAGCCAGCCTAGTGAAAGGGTTGGTTCTTTTTTCTCTCAAAAATTTGACCTTTTTGCAGTTATTTGACTCATTTTCTGTTTTAAATAGTGCAATTTCAGCACATTTGTTGTGTTGAATTAACTTGTGAGATGGTCACACTTTTTGAAGTGCCAAAAACATTTTCTAAAGATTTAGAATAAAGAAATATGAAGAGGCTACTTATTTTAGGCTACTTTATGGTATATGACCAGGGGAAAAATAGCCAACTGTTAAAGTTTTAAATTTGAAACTGTAGCTTTTTGTTATAATAGGCAAATAAACTATTGTTATAAATTGTTTGGCAAATAACCACCTGGCCAGCACATTCAATTTTCATCAGTCATACAATTTTACCATTTAAATAACAAAAAAAAAAAACATTGTAATAATTTTGTAAAGATTCACGATTTGTCCTAGTTTCTCGTCAAAAAGTACTTTTAAAAACTCTTGGATAACAACAATAGCCAAATAAGTATTAATATAGGCCACTTTTGGTGTTTCACATCTTTTTATAGATAATTTATTCTGTCAAGAATAAGGTCCAAGATTTAGAATAAAAGTTAATCATAAAATGTTTTCTCTAAAACAACAATACAGTGAAAGCTGACTTTAGGTGCATCGGATTCTGCTTGGTCTTAAATCCTTTTTCAAAGGGTTATTTTGATAACTAATGATGATAAAGAGTCAAAATAGGAAGAGTGTGCTCATGTATAGGACAACTAATGAACCTTTGTCAGTGGTGGGGTTGGGTCTGTCGAACCACCTGAGCGCCCCTGTCTATGGGCCTGTCTAATAAAAAGATCGTTGATTCGGAATTTCTCTTTTTTTTAAGGGATACTAAATCTTAATCTTTTTTTTTTTTTTCAAACATTTTTTTGTAATACTAAATAATTAAATGCAGGTTTATTGTTATTATGAGTAATCAATAAGACATGTGAAATCCTAACTACTAGTTTCTTTCAAAATATTGACTAAATCAGATCATTTTATTGAACTACTAAGCTGATTAGATTTTCTTCTTTTGACAATCGATTATAATTACATTTTTCTCATAACTATTATTATTATCATTAGATAGAGGCATAGCAGCGTCCCCTTCCCTTTTAGAGGCAGACCATTTAGAAACAGGAGATAAAGAATATAAACTTTTGGATTACATAAAGCTGTCCCCCCACCTTTAAAATGTTCACTATGCCCCTATTAGATACAAAGCTATAATTATAACTTTTATGAGAAGCTAAGTCAATAATACGGTATATTATATCCTTTTTTTTAAGTCATGTGATGATTGCGATCATTATATAACTAATGTTTCCAATATTACAATACAAATTCATTATTATGATCAAAAGATATAGCATATTTTGTCATTATTATACCTTTTTTCTCATTATGAGATGCTAAGTCACAATCTTACAAAATCATATGGTGCAAATGACTTTCATTTTTATTCACAATCACAAAGCTGCCAAAATCAGTTTTATTATAAACATATTTCTCACGTAGACAACACACAAATCCCCACCATCCTCAGAAACACACTGTGACAATCTTTTGCACCTCATCTGTGTTCTTGTCTGCAGTCCCATGTCACAGCTGCCTTCCAGCTGATGGCCAACATATTCCAGTGTCCAGTGAACTGGTTTCAGCCTCTTCATGGAGATGTTGTGATGCTGTTATTTGGCTTGAGAGTCTGTGAGCATAATCAAGCCCTCTTCAGTTTTTTGCTGATACGCTCTCTCTGACTGCTTTCTTCTGTACACGTCATCTGTGGAGACACAATACACTCATCATACTAATCCACCAACAATAAATACAGAATTAAAAGTAAATTATCTTAACATAAATATTATGAAGCATTATGAGGCTTCAGCACCATTGTAGCTCCCTTATGATTGATGATACATATTAAAATGTTCTTGTACTATAAAATACAGCAGTCAAAAAACTGTTTTCGTGCACATGGCAATTTAAAAGTGTGTGTTTCAATCTAGTGTCAGGAAAACATCCAAAATACATTTCTAAGCATTTCTTTGTCTCGCTTTATTAATTTGTGTATGCAGATTTTAAGTACAATTCATATTTTAAAATGCTCTTTTCTCCAAATCCATATTTACCAGAACTTTCATAGGGTTGGGCGATATGGCAAAAATGCAATCTCGATAATTATTTTCCGTACTGAATGATAATGATATAAATGGGGATATCTGTTGTTAGGCCCTCACAGTGGCGCAGTGGGTAGCACAATTGCTTCACAGGCAAAAGGTCGCTGGTTTGAGACTCAGCTGGGTCAGTTGGCATTTCTGTGTGGAGTTTGCATATTTCCTCCGGGTGCTCTGATTTTTTTGAGTTGGGTAAGCTAAATTGTCTGTAGTGTATGAGTGTGTATGGATGTTGCTACTGGAAGGGCATCTGGTGCGTAAAACATATGCTGGAAAGTTGGCGCTTCATTCCGCTGTGGCAACTGCAGATCAATAAAGGGACTAAGCTGAAAAGAAAATGAATGAATATCATGCCAATATTAAATGGATAAATTCGGACAACACATTTTTGGTGGCCAAATATTCGGTACATCTCTAAAATCAACACACTCTTAAGATTCCCATTGTTGCACATTTCTGCTGTTTAATTGGCTCTTAGATCAATATAGAGTAAATAAGTCCAGAGCTTATCATTGTTATTGACATCAATTTTATCATGATTCTATATAATATCGTTTATCGGCCCAGCCCTTAAATATCCTCTTGTACTTTCTAATATAATATTATTGTACTAATATAATATTTTCTGAATTATGAAGAAAGAATAAAACCTTTGATTGCAATTAGTAAAAATAAAGTTTTAAAATCAGACTTTGTATGCAGATAATGATGATGTATTATTTGCGTATTTAAACAACACTTTAGACAACTTCTTTAATCCTAAACGTAATCAAGTGGGAAGGTAATGTTATGTTGAAAATATTTTCCCCCTCAGTGTCTTGTGCAGTTAAAATGATCAGCTCTGCGTAAAGAGGACGCAGAAACTATTGAAATGGATTATCTAGCATGCACACATAACGCGTGACTTTGCATACTCACAAAACGTTTCTCTTCCTATTCTGACATTGATCATGATCCACTCCATGACGCCGCCGATACAGAAGAACACGGGCAGAAATCTGTACACCCCAAAGCGTTTTTTTCCAGGTACTAGACTTAACATGTATTTCAGGTTCTGACTTTTCCTTAACATGTTTTCTGTCAAAAACAAAACTTCCTGCTTGACAAAAACTGAAGCACTGCGCAATAATGTGCGCTATTATAAATGGGTTTTAATCTGAATGACAACACATCTGATCAGCTGTGTCCTTCAGCACTGATCTTGCGCACGCTGCCGCTGTGATGACAAAACAGGAAAACATGGCGACGTATACGTCACTGACGGAGCGTTTTAATAGGTCTGCTGGTAGGACACTTATGGCAAGCCGCTTTCACATTTAATATATAACCCGTACTAGTATGTATTTTCATGTTACTAGTACTTATTTTTAGATACTAGTATCTTTTCCATTAAGTACTATTGTACTTATTCATTGTATACTAACCCTTATTCGTAGAAGACACTAGTTCTTTGTATTAGATGCTGCTGTTTGTTCATTGATTATTATTACCAGGGGCGCCTGCTAATACCAGCGGCACCCTGACTATTACCTATTAAATAGATTTTATTAGATTTTTTATTATATACTAGTATTATATAATAAAACTTTATTAGATACTAGTACTTATTCTTTAGATACTAGCAATTATTTAATAGCTACTAGTAACTATTCTGTTGGTACTAGTAACAATTTTTTTCCCATTGATTTAGTATTTATTAAATAGGTACTAGTATCCAATTAATAAGTGCTACTACCAAATGATTAACTACTAGTAGATAAAAATATGTACTAGTCCCAACTGGCATACAGACTAGCCAAAACTGAATAGTTGATATCTGAATGACAGATCTCATAGAAATCAATGGGACACTTTATTGTTACTAGCAGCAACAGAACAGTTACTAGTCACTATTAAAATAAGTTCTAGTATCTGTTTAATAGGTATTAGTATCTAATGAATAAGTACTAGCATCTATTAAAAAAAACTAGTGTCTAATAAGTAAGCACTACTATATTTTTAAAAAGCACTAGTATCTAATGTAGAAACACTAGTATCTAATGAATAAGTACTAGTAACATGAAAAAAGATAATAGTACGAGCTACTAATTAAATGTCAAAATGGCTTGCCATAGGACGCTACCAAGTCTGACATAAGAGCAGGCAGTTGCCCTTTTATAAAGTCCCTGTCATACAGTCTGACATTGCTCAATGGAGAAAAAAATTATCAAATATTTAACACTCACACATGAACACTCTGTCTAGCACAATTTTTTTAAGAGACCACTTGAAAATTATTTTGTGTGTGTGGATATATTAGATTAGGTGTAAGTTTATGTGATGATAATATTTGTTTTATTCTATAAAAGGTCTACAACTGTAATACTAATTCTTCCACATTTCAAACTGGTCAGACCCAGATGTTTTCATTTGCTGAAATGGGCTTTGTGCACAGATAGTGTTTTTGTCAATGATGAACTTCTGGGTATGGCACTTTTTGATAATAGAAATGGCCATAAAAGCTCACTAAACTGTATCGTACCACTCAGTGGAAACAAGCCATTTGTGACTACTTTCAATTTCTTAAGTTTCCTTTTACTGCATCAATGCTGTAATGAAATTCAAATATCATCAATAAATAGACTTCAGCATCCATTTGCTTGTCAAAGCGTAAAAAGAGACAAAAGACTGTTTAAATGCAGGGGCTGTCATTAGCAGCAGGCTAGCACATAAACTCCATTGAAAATACTGGGGTAAAATTAATTTAATTAAATTTTTAAAAATGAATTTTAAAAAAATAACATTTAATCCAGTGCTTCTTGTTTGGTCTGATACCCACTTTATATTGCATCTCAGCCAGGAAGTGAAATTCGCTGTTTTTTTAAAGAAACCAGATCTCAAATGTGGTGATTTTTGTATGGGATGACAATTAACCGGAAGCCCTGGGGCTGGCTGACTGAAATTAAAAGTCTGTGTGCATATACCCCATTGAAAATCTAGAGATTATTCCACCAAACATTGATTGTTTCAACTCTTCTGAAATAAAAGAAAAAAATCATTGCAAATAATCATTTCTGAAAACACTTGCACTTTTTTTGCAAAAAACAAAGCAAATGTTTTCACAAGCACAAATCCTAAACGAAAGTTTGAAGTAAATAAATAAATGACTTCTCAATGGGTTTACATGATTTCTAGAAAAAACTACAATAAGAAGCGGCTCATTTTGTTTTCTTTTGAATTGCAACAAGCGATGAAAAAATGAGTAATGTTCATTTTGATTTACAGCATGTGGACATTTAATACTTACAGAACGTGTTAGAAATACATGCACACTAACATCTTGATGTTGCACATAGTGTGTGCACAATGTTTGACAGAAGTCTGATCTGATGGAATGAATGAATTTCTGGTGAAACTATCTTTTTTTACACAAGGGGTCAAGGGGTTCACAGATTTGTGAAATTGCATAATCTGAATATGCTTTTTTTCCTTATCCCACTTTGATCCTTTCGATTTTTTGCGAATTATGAATTATAAAGTATTCCACATGGCATGATGTGAACTTTACACTTAATTCCCTTTTTTCCTTTTCAATTGGTCTGAATTAACCAACACTGGAATTTCTACAGATTTAAACATGGCCTCGGACACAGCAGCAAGCACACGTGAAAGCACATTCATGAACTGGTCAATCTTCTACTTTATACGCCAGCCTGCAGAAAGTCCAGTGATGCTCCACAGTGTTCTCATTGGCCCGTTCGCTCATGTGGTGCACCCGTGTGTTCCTGATGGTGAAGCCCTGTTTGGTGATGTAGTCCATGAGGTGCACCCGCAGAGACACCTCTTGGTGATAGTCACACGGTCCAAAGGTGAAGGACACCTGACAGTCTCTGGTGTCCATCATGTGCTTGTTCCATTTGGTGAAGTTGTTGGATATTCCTTCAAGCAGCGAGTGGACTTTGGTGGTTATGGTTAGCTGTGTGATGATGACCGCTACGGGATTTGAGTACTTGGACAGCTTGCGTGTGCTGGACAACTCCACCACCTGCTCGAAGGTGTCCAGCGGGTACAGAGGTTTCGGGTCATTGAGGCATTGGATTAAAGGCTCGATCTGATAGAAGTCTGCTTCTTTTCGCAGAAGGTCCAGCTCAGTGAAGTCTACAGGAAGAGTGAGCTCGGATGTGCGCAGGAAGTTCAATATATAGCGGAAAAGCGTCCCATCCCGATCAATGAAATAGTTTCCCTGAGCGTCCCGTGTAGTGGGGAAGTCACCACGAAACATGGCACCCAGCATGGAGTCTGGGTAACGCTGAAGAGTGGAAATGGAGGTGGTGTAGAGGTGTCCTCCAACATTTAAGGTGACTGGGTGAGTCAACTAGGAGAGATGGATACAAGTCAGAAAATACAGTGGAGAAGCTAAACGGTGTTTCATCAGGAACTTGACTAATCTGTGAAACTGATCTGTTAATACAGCAAACTAAAAGAGTTGTTGTGTAAAGCCTGATCTGTACATCTGTGTAGAGTGATCACTGTACCCCACGAGTATTGATATGAGCATTGATATCAATATGAGTATTGATATGAATTGATATTTATACTTCTGCATTTTGTCTGTGCAGCTTTGGTGAGAACTCTTACGAAACACTGGCAGGCTGTAGGGTTTCTATGGTCCACTGTCTTGTGTCTTTGCTGGTGTTTTGGATTTAAAAAATAGGTGGGAACAAGCCACTGGAAAAAAACTTAAATCTCAACATAGATACAAAACTTAAAGTATCCTTACAAAGCTCCTCTGCAGGATTTAACAGTTGTTAAACACTCGGACCATCGGCCTCACTCCACTCCTATGGCTTCCGGGTCAGCCCACACCGCTAACTAGCTTACCAATCACAGATCTTGTGCTCTGTGTCAATGTGTAATAAAAAGCTTTTGAGAGGTGCACATCAGGGTACAGCAAAGGAAATGTGACTGTGAAGATGTTAACATGTGGTGAACTGTTTTACAAAAATTAAAATGATCATTTATTTGTAATTAACAACTTATATTTATGTGTGTTTAGCACAGGTGAAGCCAAAATATTTTGATCGCCCTCTGGTGGCTGGCTGCAGTACAGATCATAAACTCCACCATCTCCATTTAAACAAAAACCAAAGTAAATTTAAAAAAATAAATGAACTTTAAATTACACTTGAATTACAATTAAATTCCCCAAGGTCCCTTTGATTTTATGTTGTTTGTTTAAACATTTAATACATTTGATTTTAGGGTATTTGATGCTAAAACAAAGGTGTGACAGGAGTAACTTAATGAACTCCTGCAAGATTAACTCATATTATACGCAATGTGCACAAAACTGAAATCAACTAATTATTAATAGTATTGTGCCCATTTTCAAAAGTGACATTTCTGTGCATTACTCATAACAGAATCTGGAATAGAAAATGTAGGAAATGGCTTTTTTAATCATGAGTTGGATTTTGAACCAAATTCCCCACAACCTACAAAAAGTAGAACTGGAAACATTTCTCTTATGGACAGGGGTGTTTTAAACATGTCAGTTTGGCATTTTGCTTGAAAGGTTAAAACACTGTTAAATTCTTGATGTTAGGAGGTTACTGTTAGAAGGTTAAACAGACAGATAAACTATGGAAATTTTGAAAATATGAATGGAAATTATAGCAAAACAATTTGACGTATTTATATTATATTACATTTTTTAGGGTTCTTAGGCTCCAGTGTGAATGTAAGTGGACAAAGATTAAAGTTGAACAAAAATAAATGTATTTTTATCCATTTAAATAGTTTACAGAATTATTAAAAAACATCTGACTATTTACTTGCTAAAATACAGATTTAATTTTACATATATTGCAGATGTGATTGTATTGTAAGTAATAAAGGGTTGATTGGCTTTTCACTTTTAAAATACCATTTTTACCGGATTTGACAAACATATTTAATTATTTTTCCATTGGAAAAAATACATCTGAAAAAAAGTAAATAATGGGGAAAAAAACAATTATATGTTTGACAATTCAGAAGCACAAAAATCAGAGTAGCCTAAAAAAACTTTTAAAATACAACTGCCTTGAACATTTTCAAATACATAAATAATAAAAGGGTGTGTTGAACAAAAACACTAATTTACATTTATAATTGTATAGTTTAAATCTGCTCAATTCCTAAAATGAATGCAAGGGCAAGGCACAAAAATCTGGCTAATAAATCCTTAGCTCGTAAAGTAACTATGTCAAATATATTCTAGATACATACCCTATGTCCCCAGTCCCCATTATCCATTTCATAAGGGTAGGTTGTCCAGTCTGACCCACAGAAGAAAAACGGTTTTTATGTTCGACAAGACCTGTAAGAAAAGACTCTTATTAACCATATAACGTTGAAGTTATTTGAGGCACACAAAAACATAGAGCTCGCCTTCAATGTTTCAACACATTTGAAACAGCAATAACGCACACAGTAAGATGAACACAAAATGCATTAATGTGAGAGGACGCTCAATGATTTATAATAGATGCTCAATAGCATGCTAGCTCTTCAAGTCAGGCACCTGAACATGTTTAGTGCAGAACTTAACGCAGAATGTTTCCTCGAAAGATGTTAAAAATGTTAAGCGATGGTGGTCGATAAAATACAACGTGAAACACACAACGTGACGTGTTTAATTTAAACGAAGCGACTTGACGACTAACCTTTGCTAGCCAGCTACCACAATATAAAGCTAGCTCCCTGCTAACTACTAAAGTGATATTACTGAATACAATCGTTTTTCTGAATGGCAGGCTGCATTATAAACCTGGAGTTTACCTGTCCTCTGGTTATGAAGGGTTTGATCTTGGGTTATGATGAGCTGCTGTACGGGACACTGACGAGTGTTAGCAGCAGCTCAAAGACGAGGCTCGAGCGAGCAGCCGCCGCACTCACGGTCACATGACCCACACTAGCGTACATCACCTCGCTGACAGCACATCACTACAGTCCCTGCATAAACAACACCACAGATTTGTGGTAAAGAAGCTTGTGCAAATAAGATAAATACACGGTGAATTCCAGCAATGCTGGATTTCCTGCTGAAGTTGGGGATAAAAGGTTGCTTTCACAAGCGACATAAATAAGGACAGAATATCAGGAATAAATAAGAACTCCACGCATTTTCCAAACATTGCAAATTGTATTTATTATTCTACAATTACATTTATATACTCATAAATTATAGTATACGTGTGTGTCATTTCAAATAGGCGTAATGGCAGACTTTTTACTTGAAAATATAAGAACCAGTCTTTATTCATTGAAATAAAAGGAAAAGCAAGCTATTACATTATTCATTTAATTTTAATTCTATTAAATAATATTTTATTGGACGTGTACCACATGGTTAAGAGACAGATTTATACTAAGAACCCACAGCAATTCTATCTGAATACATTTATTGGGTTTTATGTAAACTAATATGTGATTCTTCGTCCATATTGTGTGGGCAAAGAAGCCCTCAATCAATTAGACCATCCTGTATAATTATGCAAATTATACATAGAACATAGAAAAAATAAAAAACGATCAGTCAATCCCCTTGGCCCAAAATAACATCACTCTTTGATTTAAAATGTAAGTCAAAAGTTATCCAAATCAGAATAAATTTCCTATAATGTATGGGTAATCAAACTCTATATACTTTTTTGTAATTTGCAATCAGTAGCAGGGTATACTTTTTAAATACTTGCTATTTATAATAAATAGTCTAAATTAAACATTTTAATTACCATTAATTTTAATATGAATAATATTACTTTGTATTAAATGAAAAAACTTAAAAGATTAAACCAATGATGTGCTTAAAGGACAGTTCACAAAAAATAAAAATCTGTCATGACCTTTTTGATTTTCTTTCTTCTGTTGAACACAAAAGAGGATATTTTTAAAATGTTGAAATATATTTTATCATGCAGATATTTTAAAAGTCCTAAAGTTTTAAAAGCAAAATAAATGATGATGTAACTTTAATGTTTGGGTGAACTAGCCCTTAAAGGATTGTTGCTAGATTGGATATGGCTGCGGCCAGAAGTTAATGAGAATTATTTATATAATTTATTAAATTTTCCAATAAATTGTATTTTTTAACACCTACCCCCAACCCAACCCTAAACCCAACCGTCACAGTACTGTAAAAATATTAATTATTGTTATACAGTGTCAAAAATAATGCTGCTATATTGATGTGCATTTCGCACTTCCGGCCGGTTGCGTATACGATCTAGACTTTACCTCTTTAAAGTAATGTTAATATTCTAATTAAAACATTTTAAACCTTTAATTCATCTCCACATGAAACAAAATATTACACTTTAAAATGTTTTATTAGTAAACATGTTTAAATGACATAAACTGAACTTCTGAATTTACTTTTGGCACATTTAGTTGAAAAAGAGATTTAGTGCTGCATAGAAATTACAGGAGCCAGCAGAACTTACTGATTCATAGCATAAAAGACATGGCTAAAGGGGCTTAAACACAATAACTTAATCCACTACAGAATGTTACGTTTACACATGCCTGCACCAAATGCATGTAAACGCATCAGACGTTCACAGCGTAATACTCAATACTCACTACTCTTGAGTACTTTTAAAAGGGCTACTTTTTACTCATACTTTGAGTAATATTTACAATTGATACGTTTACTCTACTTTTACTACATTTTGGGGCAAGTAATGGTAGTTTACACTTTCCACTGCACAGTCTCTTGCTACAGTATGTAACTTTTGGCACCCAAGTGGTTAATAAATAAAACTACACATTACACAACTACTAAATCCAGAGCTAATTTTCTCTGTCATAGTGGAGGTACTGGATTTAAAGAGATAACATACAAAAAAAATAAAATAAAATAAATAAAAAATGTAAATAAAAAAATAAATAAAACATGTTCTTACCATTTACTCATACTTAATTATTTAGGAAGTTGTTTCTTCAACAAAAGAAACTCAAATAGGTTTGAAACAAGTGGGAGATGAGTAAAGGATGACAGAATTTTCGTTTTATGTGAACTGTCCCTTTAGCAACACAACCAATGTAATATAGTCCTACAATAAAAAATTACTAATTTTATTAGGCTAACTGTAACTGTGTGTATTAATTTAATTAGGCTTACTGAAGTGATTCAGGAGTTTTTTAAAGTGCTTATTCTATAAATACATTGTGTTCATTTTGTTTTAAATGGATCAAAAAACTTTAAAGGTGGACATACTGCAGAATTCTTGTATGAGTATTAGTTAGTATTTTTAGTTTATTAAATACTTCTTAAAAAAGTATTATGCAGTATGTGTGGGATGGCAGATCTCAGGATTTCTTCTTCATGCTGACGCTCTCTGTGCCCTGCTGAGAGATGATGAAATCGAAAATGAGTTTGGCTGTTTGTCGCGGTCGCTCCATCACAACTGAATGACCGCAATTTTCCAGCAGATCAACACGACAGCCTGGAAGAGTCTCAGCGATCACTGCTGCCCCAGACACATCCACCACCTGACGGGACAGATAGCAATATCAGATGTGTTGTAAATAAATAAAACCATAAAAAAACATATGTACCATAAAACAATTTGCATAGTGAAAATTAGAATGTGAATTACATAGTGAATTAGAATATACAACTAATGTCATTAGTTGTTTACATATTTAAATAGTTTATATATTATATATTTGCACCAGACACTTTTGTACAAGCACTCCATATCTTTAGAAAAAAAAACATTGTGCATTTCTGAAGTTTGCTTCAAACAGGTGAGTGGGCTTGACAAACCACCTGTAGAAACGCTCACTCTCCATATGCACGAACACTTAAACTATCTTCAAACTTGAGTACCTCTTTTTAACAATGTCTTGCACAATATTGTTCTATGTAAAAGTATTTGTATAGTCTGTCTTAGGTTATGTGTATAGTTTAAGTATTTATAGTATATGTAAAGTAAGTATAGTTAAATTACCGCTCCAGTATCTTAGTTATGTATAGGTTTAAAATAGCTCAGATGTCCAGTGTTGTGTTCATATTTATTAGTTGATTTAATTAGCACTGTGGCCTTGCAAGACACAACATTTCACAAAATTCCACTGAATGTCTACATATATGTAGCGGAATGAAAATAAACCTCAATTTGTCTTGACTTGAAAAAAATCTTGTCAGGTATATTTAGAAGAATAATCATTTAATGATTTATTAAAAGGCAAAAGATCATGGTGCAGCTTTAAAAAAAAACAAATCTGCTGTCAATTTAAATGATTTATACTTTGCTGCTATTTTTCAGATCTCTAGGTTTTATACATTTGCCATCAACACAATTTAATTATAATTTAAAATGTAATAACATTTAATTTGATTACTCATTAATTTCTATAGTTTCATAAATATTGGCCAGAATAAGTATGTAGCTTTGTTTACATAAATCATATATTTACAGGCAGAGCATCGCCTGGGATGAAACCCAGCATCTGGTGATGTCTATACGTTCCAGACTTCAGGCTGTAATTGACTAAAAAGGATTTGCAACAAAGTATTTAAAAGTGAAAATTTGATTTTTGATTATTATTCTGTCCTATTATTTTTGGTCCCTTAACAAGTGGGAGGCACATATACAAACTGTTGTAATTCCCTCAAATTAAAGCTGACAGTCTGCAGTTCAAGCACATATATATATCTTTTTTCGTTTCATTTAAAATCCATTGTGTTGGTGTATTGAGCCAAAAATGTTAGAATTGTGTCGATGTCCCAATATTTAATGCTGAATGACAATGGAACATTATTTCACCAATCATTTAACATTAAATTAAATGCAATTTCCTTGTATTTAATGTTTTCTACATATATAAAAATCACTTTTATACATATATTTTGATGCAACCACCAAGATATTTGACCCACATGTGTGATTTTCTATGTTTACAGTATGCATGTTTACACATACCTGGTCCTGCTTGCCCCATATGACTTGTAAAGGGGTAATTATTTCCTGTAGATGCTCATGCAAAGCATATTTAGAATTTTCACTCATAATTTCCATGAACACTGTAATGGTTTAGAGAACAATTTAAGAACAATTAAGCAAAACATTTTTAATAAAACAAAAAAAAATGTAAGACTTTTTGTTATAATCTTCAGTAGTATATGTGTTCATACTAACCCTCGTGATAAAAGTCATTGTGTGGTATTCGTACATCCACCAGGCCTTGGAGAATCTATAATCAAAGGCAAACATATCATTTTGTGTGTGACGCTGTGTTTTAAATCTATAATCTTAAATCACAGCAAGAAATAGTTTTTCACACTTAAATACAGTATATTACGAGTCAACAGCAGCAGAATATACAACCTTGTTTATCAGTGAGTGCTGTAGTCTTGTGTTGTTTTATCTACTTTAAAATCAGCCTGAAAGTCTTTTAAACTATATTGTTTCTCTTTGTCATGATCATAATTATTGTGGTGTGGCTATTCTTTAATATAGCTACGCAAGTCACAATGCCATCCTGAATTTTTGTTCCAAAATGTAACCCTTATGTATTCCCTCCCACTTAACCCAACCATAATTGTAAATTATTCCCAGAACCACAGGGCAATTATGTGGAAGTGCATTAACCTATTACGTAACCCTAAACTAAACATAAACGGTAAATGTATTCCTTTATTCTGATTGGCTAATTGAAATGTTGTTCCAGGATCAACATAGATTTTAATCTACAAACTTGAGCTACTTGGAGAAAACCCTCATCCAAGACAATGGCTACTGAAACTGAAAAATAACAAAACATATACAGGCAAAATAAAATTAATTTACGCATCTACTGATGATACATTGAGGTTTTATGAAGCAAAATGAACAGTTCAGTGCAGGAAACTAACCAATAATAACAACATTATTATTAATATTATTATAATATTATAAACATTATAAAAATATAATCTGTGAGGAAGCAGAATAAGTATTGTATTCATCATCAAAATGGCACTTTTTTATAATAATAATAATAATAATAATAATCATATATATATATATATATGATCTCTATATTAAAGCCAATGTTTGACAATTTTTTGAGAGTGAGAGTTGGCAACATAAAATACAATAGATACTGAAATTTTAAAACATCCATTTCCCACAAACGCTTGAGCTCTGTTGAGTTCTTAAACAACTCTGATAGGCCGTTGTGCTCATGTGCTCAACAGATAAGAGTTAATAAAAGTAATTGGCTCTGAAGGGCATCGCTGTAACGCTGTTCACTAAGCATAAACACAGATACATTCTGACTATTCATATAAGACTGTACCAAACATGTCATGTTCACATTTAAAGCTTTTATTGAGATTTTAGAAATGAAAGCTTTGAATTTCTGTCATCATAATTTTCTGAAGTCATTACCCTAAAAATTAGTGCAGTCAATCGATGAAAAAACAACAACAAATAATCACACCTATTTTGCAATTAATCGCGATTTATCACATTTAAAAGGCTGAAATTTGTAATTTTGGCTATTCAAATGTAAAATTAATGTAAACCCAAGACAAAAAAACTATTTAAATTTAAATTATAATTGTTTATTAGAATTTTTGTTTAACTTGTAACACAGATTTCTTCATGTAAACAACATACCCACAATAAACCATCAAGATCCTGGCTTGACAGCCATATTTATTACAGAAAAAAACAAGCATGTTAATGCCATTTGAATTTCAAAACAATCAATGCCAATAAAGAAAAAAAATATATTTCCATGTTGGATTCTAAGTGAACTGCAAAAAATGCCAAAATACAGGGATTGCAAAAATGGAAAAATATACTAAAGAATTGAATACAAACAATTGCACAAATTGAAAATTTGTATTGCGGATAGTTGAGAGCATTAATTATAAACAGTGGTGTAAAGTAACTAATTACAAATACTCAAATTACTGTAATTGAGTAGTTTTTCTCAGGAATTGTAATTTACCAAGTAGTTTTATAAATGTGTACTTTTACTCTTCATAGAGTAAATTTTTAGTGCAGTAATTGGTACTTTTACTTCACTACTTTCCTTCAACCTTTAGTCACTACTTTATTTTTCTTGTCTATGGGGATTAGAAATATCAGTCCTGTGATTCCTGTCCAATCAAATCGCACACAGAAGTAAAATCTCCACATAATGAGCTACCTCAAGACATGAGCGCTTTATGATCGCAGCAAACTGTTTGGAAGCATTAAAAGTGTCCAAGAAGATGTCCAAAATCATCACACGCATTGAGCTAGAGACTGTTTAGATGCCTGTCACTGATGAGAAGACGACTGATGTTGACTGTATGATGACTGAAATGGCCTTAAACAACCAGCAGACACAAGACGTCAACATGACGCTAGAATGATGTTGTACCCTAGTGTCGTGGAGACGTTGCATTTTGTTTGGAAATGAAAAACATGTTGACGTCAGAACTCAAGGTCAGTCCAAAGTCATACCTAAAAACCACCAAATATCAACGTCTAATGACGTTACAGCTTGATGTTGTGAGGACGTTACCAGTATGACGTTTATCAGACATTGGATCTTGATTGCCATCCCTCATGAATAAATGTCAGTATTTGACGTCAATATGACGTTGGTTTAAGATTTTGGCTCGACGTTGGATTTTGGTTACTTTCCAACACAACCTAAAGTCAACCAAATATCAACATCATTTGACGTCTTAATTGGACATCAACATAACGTTATTCTTAGACGCTGGCTAAACATTGAATTGTGGTCACCTGACATCACAACCTAAATCAAACCTAATATTAACTTCTTATGATGTTGTGTGCCTGATGGACAATAAGTAATTGCACTACAGAATGTTACGTTTACACAAATAAACAAATGACATTTAAACGCATCAGCTTTTAACAGAGTAATACTCACGACTCTCTACTCGGAGTAGTTTTGAAAGGTCTACATTTTACTCATACTCGGTGTAATATTTACAACAGATACTTTTACTCTACTTACACTACATTTTTATTTTAAGCAATGATACTTTTATTTAAGTATGATTTTTCAGTACTCTTTCCACCAATGATTATAAAGTACATTTTATAATCCTTTACATTCAGCCAGTTGCTAAGACAGTCCAGTCTGTTGACATTATGGGGGGACAATATAGCTCTTTTCTTTTGAATGATGTGAGCTGAGAGTGAGAACAGTCTGTCACAAGCAGGATCACTGAATCAGCATTTGCATTTTGGTGCCTAATTTTGTTGCCACTGGTGCTGCGACATGGACGTAAGAAGCATCAAACGATACATCAAAGGCACCCACAGGTACGCATTGTGTCACACCAAAGACTAATTCTTACAGGGACTTTGGTCACACCATCTCTAGACATTCAAACAACTATGAGGGATACTGACAGCAAAATCTGTGATGTTTAGCCATTTAGCCGCGTGCACACACACACACACACACACACACAACGCACGCAGGACAGCACAGCTGAAGCGACTCCATTTAGATTCAACATGCATGATCGCGTTTATCAAATTTGCTTAAACTAAGCGTTCTTAAGTATGGCTGTATTTCACAAGGATTCTCACACAACAACGTGAAGCAGACGCTTTAAAAAAAGTTGTGTTTAAGGGGTAAACACGACAGAGTGCGCTGTCTTTGACAGCTCGCGACATCATCTGAGTTTCATTGAGTACATTTACATGGACACCAATACTCAGATTTTAATATGATAAAGATAATACTCTTATTAAGAGTCTACCATGTAAACAGCGATTTTTGATTACCTTAAAGGACCACCGAGTCACGAAATGCAGAGATTTTTCTTTCTTCCGGCATGTGGTTATAAATTCCATTAAAACAAAAGTCGAAAGATTAAAAATGAAACATACGAAATCAGATGAAACTCTGGAGGAAACGCTGGATAGCCTTGAAATGCAACATCCTACTAAAAGTGCTTCCTTGATCTTATTCATATTTCTTTGCATGTTGAACACACGTCAACCACTACAGAAAAAAAAAACTGCAACTGCATTAATTTTTTTAAACGCGTTAAATATTTCAAATTAATCGCATGCGTTAACGCACTAATTTTGACAGCACTGCTAAAAATACAAGTTGCTAAACTGTCCTCGAGATTAAAGTTATGTCTTTGCTATCAGACAGTTGTGTTTTACAACAGCAACAACAGAAGGATGAATATTCAAAGGTAAAAATAGCAGGCGCTGAAATGAATTTGATCAATTTGACTGTTATGGCCACTCAAGTGAGAAATACCCAGAACTCTTTTGTGTTTTGTAGTTTCAAAATAATAATGTAAGAATGAAATATACACACATTTAGGAAAAAACAGTACTATAGTTATATAGGTTTCATTTTAACAAAGTTATTCAATTACAAGAGTCAAATTGACTTCCTCTCTAGTTCAAAATTTTAGCATGAAATAGACTTTTTTCCAAGTCGCAATAGAATATTTTTGACAATAGATCTCCAAAAACAGTTTCTTCTTAAAATCTTAATGTTCTACTGAAGGAAAGAAGTCAACACATCTTAAATGTTCTGATAGTAAGTAAATTAGCAGCCATTTTTTTTAATGTTTGCCCGATCCATCCATTTAACCCTGCATTAGACTTACCTGTTGAGGGACTCTGAAGCGCACGTGTGAACAGAGCTTCAGCATCTCCTCCATCTCCTCAGGAGTGGAGGGAATAAGTGGAATGTCGAGTGTGTAGTGGCTGTGCTCCACATCATGCATCTGACTGTCAAACTTGCTCTCGTTTTGGTTCTTCAGACCTTCAGCGGGAAAAAAAAAATGTGAGCATGTAGGAGTGTTATCTGTACAAATGCATCCATGCATAAATGTACTGACTGACCGGCAGGACAGATGAGGGTTAAACCACAGAGATCAGAGGGGTGACAGGCTGCATACACTCCTGCCACAGTGCCACCCATTGATGTGCCCACCAGGTGAAACGGCTTTCTGTTCAGTCGAATGGTCTCTACAAACTGAATGGTGTAAGAGTCAGGAGTATTCACTAATGAGGACAATATCAAGTTTAAATAAGTTAGATTTTTTTGATGAAATCATTTTAATCAATGAAGAGAGATTTAAGAAGAGGCTTTGTAGAAATTTTTATATTTCTTTGATTAAAAAAAACATATATGGCCAGAATTGATTTTCAACTTATGAATGTAAAAAAAGGTGCTTACTTTGAAATGAAGTTGATTGATTTTTATTTGTAAGGTGTGTTTTAGGCTTTACAAATATCTTGAGTTGTTTAGTTTTTCTACATTCTACATTGATGATTGGAATTTTGTGGTTTGAATAGGTTTTCTTGTGCTAATCAATGGTACATTTATTTAAACAAAATTACAGTAAGAGTGAGACCAAATATTACAAACAAACAAACAATTCCAATTTTCAAGTTTTAATTTTGATCTTTTAAAATCTGTTAAAACATGCTGAGAGAGCAAGACCTAATTTTTTTAGTGTCAATTATTTTAATAAGCTTGACCGGTGCTCAAGAAACATTTCAGTATCAATTCTGCAAAAGATTGTGCTGCATTCATTTCCGTGTGAAATTTGTGAAAGAGAACAGCTTTTATTTTAAATGTAATTTTCAATAATAAAAATAAGTAATATTGAATTTTTTGTTCCTGTTTACTAATGTAATAGATGCTTCCCGAATAAAATAAAATGTCATTTTCCTCCCTGTTAATGAATTTTGGAGTGTACCATTTAAAACCGTATGTGTTTTTCTTCCCATAAATCTGCAATAACATGAAACATGAAGTACAAATTAAGCCTATATTAAAAACAAAAACATACAAACTATTCATGATTGTAATAGAGTGGAAAATTTTGACTAAATTAATATTAAAATTCTCTTAGAATGTTTGGTTCTGTTAAACACAAAAGTAGACATACTGAAGAAAGCCAGAAATCTGTAACCAATGACTTCCACAATAGGAAAAACCAATACAATGGATGTCAGTGGTTACAGGTTTTCTGCTTTCTTCTTTTGTGTGTTTGCAACAAGTCAAAGGTGAGTAAATGATGACAGAAATTTCATTATTGGATGAACTATCTCTTTTAGTAATATACAACTTTTAAGTATAAACAACTTAAGGATGTGGCATTTGATACGTAATTTATGTTTTAAGTATCAAACATTCAGCCATTACCTGACGTATTCTCTTGACCTGGCCCTGGATTGAATAGTCGTCTGTGTTGGTACGTGTTGTACCCTCATGTCCTGGCATGTCAACACACAGCAGATGCAGATGTTTGGGAAGGTACTGTTTAAGATGAAAACACAAAGTGCTTGTAAAGAACAATACACAGGTGAAGTCAAAATTATTATAATTTTTTTTCTTTTTTAAATATTTCCCAAATGATGATTAACAGAGCAAGGAAATTTTCACAGTAATTCCTATAATGTTTTTTCTTCTGGAGAAAGTCTTATTTGTTTGTTTTATTTCGGCTAGCATAAAAGCAGTTTTTAATTTTTGAAAAAAACATTTTAAGGTCAAAAGCACTAGTATTTTTTGATTGTCTACAGAACAAACCATCGTAACTTTATTTTGATGGTCCATTTGAGTATTAGTAGACTGTCTGCTTAATATCTACTGATACTGCTCCTTAAACAGACATTTAACTGGCTATAAGAACAATAATGGGGACGGGGATAATAATTCAGGAGGGCTAATAATTCTGACTTTAACTTTACATGTTATTTTAATTTTCTAGCTTACACCCAGTCAGTGTAATTATTCTATACCTTCAGCATGGGCAGCCATGTGTCTTTATGAGCAGAGAAGTCGTGCAGCATCAGTATAGAGGGTCTGAGGCCTGGTTTCCCTCTGTGTGAGAAACAGAAGCGATAACCAGCACAGTCTGCATAACGCACCTGCAGACCCAGAGTTCTCCGCCAGTACCTGCGCATTTGCCACAATAATACATAAGACTCAGATGTGCACTCAGTTTAATGTGCATTATTGCAAAACTGTAAATGAAGAGAGAGAGAATGTTGAATATTGAATGGTTAAATGGTTTTGGAAACACATAAAAATATCCTTATCCTTTTAAAGCCCTCAAAAACCAAGAAATAGACAAAAAAAATAAATAAATAGAAAAAATAAATAAATTATATATATATATATATATATATAGAAATAAATATATATAAATATATAAATATTATATATATATATAAATAAATATATATATATATATATATATATATATATATATATATATATATATATATATATATATATATATATATATATATATATATATATATTAGGGGTGTAACGATATTAAAACCGAACCGAAATATCGCGATACACCAACACCAAACTCTCGTGGCGTACCGCGGTACTCTCACGCCCCCTGCTGACCATTGTTGAGGTTGACGTCACTTGTCTCTAACTAACTGAACCAATTTAAACACATCTTTATTATCATATTTGATTAAATTATTTTAGTAATGATGAGGATTTGTTCTAAATATTATATTCTAAAGTTAGTATTTTAGTGCATGTTATGTCATGTGACTTGAGTAAGCATCACACTCGTTACTACTGGACGCAGGATGGCTGCTTCACATAGTACTGAGATTGCAGATCCCCAAGACACATTTAAGTCATCTGTGTGGAAACATTTTGGTTTTCCAGTTGAGTACAGGAATAGAATTTGTGTCGTAGACAAAGCCTTACTTGTAAGGAAAAACATTTAAAAAGTGTGGTAATTTCACAATGTGAGGGTGTAAGCAACAGAACTGCCAACAAAAGTGATTTAATGTACAAAAGTAAAACCAGAATAATGCCCAAATATACAAAAAAAGAGAAATATTTACACTAATAAAAATAATATAATAAAGTAACAAATTCAAACAAAAGTATCAAACAAAAATGAGTTAAACTCGAGCAAGGGGGTGATAGTGAAGACAAACAAAAATATATATATAATAAAACAATTCTAACTCATGAATAACCCCTCTTACCTCGCTAAAACTGATGAAAAGAAAAAAAAGGTCTTCAGCGCCGTGCGCCGCATTCTTCCCTATACTGAATAAAATAAACAAAGATGACTTTCACCTCTTACCTGATGTCTTAAACAATACATGTTCTACGTGTTTGCAAAATGGAAATCGTATGACATTTTCCCTATCCACCTTACACTAAGACTGAACTTGAGGAGATACAGCTATATTGTCGGAGTTAAAAAATAATATACAAATCAATTGAAATAAAAATGTACAAACCTCACAAAATTTCTTAAAGTGGGCAAAAGTAATGCAAAATAATTTTACCCAAACGAAAGTTAAGCAAAAACAACGAAAATCATAATCATGTGAGAAAAATACACGAAAAACGAGATCAAAGGAAAAAGCGCTCTCTCTCCCGCTCTTCCTGACATGCTTTTTACATTCCCACGCTGCGTCGCCAAATGATGATAGATCGGTCTCCTGACCAATCAGCTGTCAACAAGGCGGGCCTACAGAAATGACAGGCATCAGCTGTCGTGAAGGCGGACCTACATAAATGACCGGCATAGAGGGAGCGAGAGAGAGAGAGAGATCGGGAGGCAAACATACAGCCGGCTACAACCCTAACATTAGTTTCAGACACAACCGCAATGTATTTTACTGGTGAATATGTCATGAAAAAACACTTTACAAACACATTATATGTATATTTTTCATTAATTTAAACGGAAACCTATCTATCTAAATAAAACCATATAATCAAAAATGAGCGTCTGTGTCTGCACAGAGATCAAGCCTCTCATCGCAGAATGTGGATATTATGGTGTTTTTGAAGAAGATCTTTCACTAGTCTACACTGCAGTTATTAATTTAATTTTAGTTTACTTAGTTAAGATGGCTGCACTAAAGAGAATAGTTTTTTTTCTGACTAGTCTATATTGGAGGTATTTATTTAATTTTAGTTGTTTACTGGTATCCTGACTGTACTAAAAATGCGATGACAAAGTTAATAAAGGAAAAGTTAAGATGTTCTTGTTATTAAGTGAATTGTCCCTTAGCATTGCTGTTAGCATGACATCAACCCTAACCCCACAGCAAACAGAAACCGAACCGTACCGAGGCTCCAAAACCGTGAACCGAACCGAACCGTGCCTTTTGTGTATCGTTACACCCCTAATATATATATATATATATATATATATATATATATATATATATATATATATATATATATATATATATATATATATAAATAGACATAAAAAAAACCCTGATTCAGATGGTCCTGAAACACAAACCAACACAACAAATATGGCTAACGGTAGGCAGCATCAGGACACAGACATGCTCATCTACAGAATTAAACCCAATCAAATAATAAATGCACGAAAAGAAAAGTATCTGTTTTACAGCTGCTTCATTCCACTAAATCAAAGTAAGCTTCAATGTTATTTAGACCTAAATAGAGATTATACCACATCAACATATCTGAGTGCAGTAAAGGACAGTAAATTAAGAACAACAATGACCAAAACAGGCTGCAGGGTGCTCACAGTCTGACTGTAGAGACGGGTTGATACAGACAACCCAGAGAGAGCCGCATCTGTCCACACTGTGACCAGGCAGAGAGGAACACTTCCTCACCCGCTGCACAAACTATCAGCACATCCGAGAAACATTCCATCCTAAACTACAGAGCATTTACCCACAATTCACTGAGTTTAACAATAAAACACAGCTTCAGTATTTACTAGGGGAAAAAACTGACTGTGTCCTTCTAGTGGCGCAATACATTAACGCCTGTCACAAAGAGAGAGAGAGAGAGGAGACCAACACACACACACACACACACACACACACACACACACACACACACACACACACACACATATATATATATATATATATATATATATATATATATATATATATATATATATATATATATATATATATATATAACAATCTGTTATGAAGTAATATACGCATATGGTGTTTAGAAATGGCATTTACCAGTAATAGACTTTGATGAGTGATGATGGCCACAGCATAAAGGAGGCCATGAAGAGGAGCAGAGGAATAGCAAGAGTCCCTGCAGCAATGGCAAACATATTCACCATATCCTGATCCATTCCTGCTGCTTTCATGTAGCAAACAACCTGCAAAACAAGTACCACGACAGCATTACAAACGAGTAAAGAAAACTTAAAAACACCTCAAAATTAAATGCATAAAAGCAGTGAGGATGGGGGAGGGGCGGGCGGCCAGCATCTGTTTGTGTCTAATCAATACTTATAACCTAGATAACTCACATTGTGCTTAAAATACTCAGTTAACCATCATATCATGCCTTCACTTCAGTTTGACTGCGTATAAAATGCGTAAATAATGATTTTGTTCATTCTGAAATGTACAACTACATCTTAATATTGCAAATACGACGACTAAACCTTTCAATTGGCATTGCACGAGTAAAAATCATTAAAATAATAACAACTCCCCAATGACTCAAACAGATTGGGAACAGTTTGAGAGCAGTGAACTTACTTCAAAAGGTTAATCCGACATTGACGTCACTCACTGAGGTCAGCTGTAATCAAGCGGTCTCAAAGGACAGATCCTGAAAAGTCCAGTTTGTTCATCATCCTCATACTGTAGATCTGTTTAACTTAATTAAAGTCCATGTCAGCATGTCTGCTCATCCCAATAAACACTGACGTGACATGCAGAGAAAACTGTGCGGCGATCACGTGATCTCAAGAAATCAATCAGTTCAGATGGAAAATACGATATTCCTGTTACTCAGAATAAAATTCACAAATAAAAACAGAATGAAAAAATATTGAAATCAACATTTTAATAAATATATTTTTTAATAAAATGAAAATCCCAAAATAATCCCCAAGTTTTATACATCATATGTAAGTTAGGACTGATTTTCTTTAGATATCACATTCAACATCAATTTACTTGCATTTATACTTGCCACATTTTTTTTTTATGTTATGAATTGTTACTTATATATTTATAAACTTTAAATCCATATAAAGGCTTTAATACATTGAGACAATTTGCATTTTTACATGTCACATTTATGTTTGTTGCATTTTGTTGCTTACATGTTACATAAATATAAAATCCATATAAGGCATAAATACATTAGACTGTTTTATCCCAAAAATAAAAATAAAAATAAAGAAACAGTTGCTGAAAATAATTTACTTTAATAAAATGACAATGCACAGAAATATACTATGCCAATAGAGTAAAATATGCTTGAAATGTTGTTTTTAATTTAAAGTTTTAGTAATATTGGTGGTTATTGTTTAATTTTTGTTGTTTTTTTTTAAACATGTCTGTTTTGTCTATATACAAATGGAGTAAAATCGGAGTATCATTAAATATCATTTTAAATATTAAAAAAAATGAAGAGATTGTTTTTTATTTTAAAGTTAAGATAGACAATAGTTTGGAGAATATAAAATGTACAGTACTATTCAAAAGGATAATATATTTATTCAGCAAGGATACATGAATTTTTTTTTAAATCAAATCAGTGCATTTCTTGTTCTTTCTATAAAAAAATATTACAATTTCTACCAAAATATTAGAGCACAAATTTTACCATTAAACACAGGAAGAAATATTTTTGGGGCATCAATTCAATAAATTAGAATGGCTTCTAAAGGATCATGTGACACACATACAAAAAAGAAAATTAAGATTTGCATCAGAGGAATAAATGCATTTTAAAAACATCCAAATAGCTAACAGTTACTTTAAAAGGTGCCTATTTTACTCTTTTACAAGATGTAAAATAAGCATTTGGTGTCTCCAGAATGTGTCTAAATTTTCCAATAGTATCTGGATGCAGCATTTATGATGCAAGCTGAGATTGCAATGTTAGACACAATGCACTCAATGGAGTGAGTGACGTCACTGTGATGGGTAGGGTTAGGGGTGGGGTTAGGTAAGCGCATTAAAAAGCATTGGATACAACTCAGATTGCACTGCACCGAGTCTGCAGCCAGCAGATTGTGCCCATTTTGGTGTCATTTTGGTGTAAACAGTAGCTGTTATGTAGCCTGTGGCTTTAAATGCAAATGAGCTGCTTCTCTCCGCCCACCGTTCCCACATGGGTGTCTGCTTCTCAACATTTGTTATGTCAGATAAACAGCACAGTGACAGACTCAGACCCATTTACACTAATACGTTTTAGTTTTAAACCGAATACGTTTTGCTACGGTTACGCCATCCGTCCAGTGCGGATTGCGTTTTGAGCACCAAAAATGAAGCTTTTTAAAAACTCTGCTGCTCCGTGTTGGTGTGGATAGGGGAAAACAGAGACATCTGAAAACGGAGGCGGGGCTGCAGATGTTCGGGACGTTTTCCTCAATATTAAGTAGCCTACACACAATTCAGTTTTGCATCCTCTTATGTAAAGTTCAGACTTAAAATCAGGGAAAAGTGTACAACCTCTATAACCTCTATTAACTCATCCAGGGTTGGTAGCAATAAAATGAAACATGATAGAATGAACTGCCAACAGATACCAAAAATGTTGAGGTGTCATGTAGCTGCATATTTATATGAGCGCCATCTTCACTGTGTGCATATTCATAACAAAACGGAGCCTATAATATTACTGCCTTCTTTCATTTTTAGTGAATATACCAAACACACCCTCGCTTTTGCTGAATATCAGTTTTGATAATCAATAATGGTTATTAAAAGTATAATGTACAATAAGTTTATACAATTTAGGAAATAAGGCAAGTAGTCAGTCAAATGTGCAGAATCATGTGGTTACATTAATTAATATATTAACTTATCGTTGCGCTGCATTTTCAGAGGTGTAGTGTGGACACAGAGCTGTTCAGAATAGCTAGGTGAAACACTAGTGTGGACGCGAATTGTTTTCATTCTAAAAAAACAGTTTTAAAGCTAAAATGTATTAGTGTAAACATACTAAAATGTATTAGTGGCATCACACAAATGCCATTTGCAGCACCACGTGACACAATGTGGCTGTGGTTAATAAGCGGTCTTTAATACAAACATGTTCTATTTTAAAAAAGTTTAAAACTTATAAAACTTCACAGAGTTGTAACAAATTTTTTTTATCTCAGTTTATTTGCAAAATAATGTTCTGTGGACATGTGTTTACAAGTTATTATGGAATCATGGTGTCTATCAATCAATTCAGTGGGCGGGAAAACAACACTCCTACATCACGTTGCGATGGGCCTCAAAATCACTAGGATTTGGGTCCATTAAAAAAAAAAAAAAAAAAAAAAAAAAAAAAAAAACTTTTTGGGTTAATATCACTCCAATATTACAATGGACACACTATATATACACAGTTCTGTCCAAACAGCTTACAAAAGCTGATTTTCATCATAGGTGCCCTTTAATTTGTAATAATGTTTCACAAACTTACTGCTTACTGCATAAGAGTCTTCTTTCAAAAACACTCATTTGAATAATGTATATACACAAACTAGCACACATGCAAGCGCACGCACGCACGCACACACGTAAATGTACTTCACACAACACTAATATAAAACGGCGATCCAGGAATGTGCTCATCTCCCCACTTCACTGCTAAGACATATTTTCCTCTTTCCTTTACAGCGTAGTTGATCCTGTACTGACACTGGCCCATGTGAATGATGGACACCCGCTCACAGGGAACTGTAGGGCCATGCATGCCCACGAACAGAAGGTTTCGTCCTACAACACAAAACACAGACATTTCTTCAGCATTCCTTCAGTAAAACGAATTACTTACAGTAACATTCCCGCTAATGTCACGGCGCACTCACCAGCTTTACTGCAGTCCACATAAAAAGTGTTTTTGCGTCCCAGAAAGCCCTTACTCAGGCCTGGGCCGTGGCAGATGACTTTACTAGCGTCAGACAGCAAAACTGGCTCAGCACTGCTGTCAGATGTTGTGTTGATCTGCGGTCCTGACAGAGAGGCTTCTCCATGACCGTTACACAGCTGAGTTTGATCTGCCGGCGCACAAGAAGAATTATAGCCTGAGAAAGAAAGTATACAGTCCAATATCTCCTAAACAATTCTTTAATAGACTGATAATTCATACCAGAGACAGCAGTGTCTGTGGCGGCAATGACAGACACAAGAAAAGGGCTTTGGGAAACATGATCCTCATCAAACATGACTGAAACCTCATAGTCACCTGTAAGAGAACAGATTCTGTAAATATGTTCATGAATAGGAAATAAAATATTGTTTTTAATCAATATGCTTATGTCATGTTTGATGAGCTATAGCTCTCGGCAACTCTCTACTGAAGATAAGCAGGGCTGCTCCCGGTCAGTATCTGGATAGGAAGACAATATAAAGCTATGTTGCTGCCGGAAGTGGTGTTAGTGAAGCCAGCAGGGGCGCTTAACCTGCGGTCTGTGTGGGACCTGATCCCCCAGTTTATTGATGGGATCTATATCCTGCTCAGTGAGCGTCGTCTTTCGGATGAGATGTTAAACTGAGGTCCCGACTCTCTGTGGTCATTAAAAAAATCCAGGAAGTCCTTTGAAAAAGGGGTTTAACCATGGAATCCTGGCCAAATTTGCCCACTGGCCTCTGTCTATCATGGCCTCCTAATTATCCCCATATCATAATTGGCTTCATCACTCTGTCTCCTCTTACTCTTGGTTGAAATCAGGTTATATAGTTAATAATAAATAAAATATGAAAAAATACACAAAAGCACGCACATCACTATAAATGGGTGCTCAGCCAAACAGCAAACACTGCAAAATTATATTCAAAAAGAAGGCAACACCAAAGCTCCAAAACATATCAACTTATTAATTTAAAAAGTTTAAACCAGAGATGCCCAAACTAGCGGCTTTGAGCCAAAGTTAGCCCATGATAACCTTTGACTTGGCCCTCCATCCCATCTGAGAAGACAGGAGGAATGATAAGGATTATTTAGATATTGTCATTTCAAACCTAATGTAACAATATGTCTGTTTGGTTTATTGTTAAAAGCTAACTGAAATTAAGTTTCAATTAAATTATGTAAATGAATCAGATTTAGTTTAAATGTACACACTGTCGGACATAGGACAAATCAAGACAAAGGCAGATTCTGCTTGACTAGTGAACTCCAGTTAAATGTGACAGTTAATGGTTTTATAGCAGTAGGTTATCATCTTAAATGTTGTACTGCATTAATTAGTACAATTTAAAGTAACATTTTCTAATAAATTAGGAAATTACCCATGGCAACTTTAATGTAATATAGTTTATTTACCTTCAGCCCACTGCTCTCAATGATATTTGGTTTTTGGCCCTTTACACGAAAAATTTTGGGCACCCCTGGTCTAAACAAAGTTTGTTTTAGCCTTTTTCATTTAATATACAATAAATTATATTAAAAAATTATAAAAACAATAAACAAATATCTTAACATATGACCAAATAATTTAGTATACTGTTCTTAATGTTTATCATATTTTATACAAATACATACCATCACACAAATAAATGAACAGACCCTTAAACAGACTTTCTTCTCAAACCCTTCTCAAACCTTTTGTCCATAGGTTATCACTAAAACAAAAACTAAGTTTTCTTAGAGTGGTGCCAAGTGCACAATTTAACCAAGAAATGGGTCAAAAAATCTTTCAGAGCAAGTTAAAAGTTTAAAAGTATGTTTATGTGTGTGTAAAGAAAAAGAGAGAGTGTGAGCGAGAGAGAGAAAAAGAAAGAGGGAGAGAGATGCACCAATTTTATATTCCTTATTTATTGAAATATTCATATGTTCAACTATATACAGTGCTCAGCATATATAAGTACACCCCTCACAAATAAATTCTTTACATTTATATTTTTAATTGGAAACTATACAATATTATATTTGTGCATATGCATTAGATTAGTCAGTAATCAAGCCTAATCTGGAGCTTATCTCTTAAAATAACTTATGATAACGGTCCAAAAACTAGTACACCCAAATTTATGTTATAGAAAATATTAAATACAAAGTTAAAAAAAGAGGAAAAATCAAGAGAAGCAAAAAAAAAAAAAAAAAAAAAGTGGAAAAAATCATTCATCATTTTCAAATCATTCAAATCTTTCAATTTCTAAATATATTTGGTGACTAAACTATTATTTTAATAAATATATCTGTTTAATAAATCAGTTTTGTTTAAATGCACTAAAATACATTGTCTATATTCACTGAGAAATGGATCAAAATATTGGTTTCCAAAATGAGGTGTACTCAATTATGCTGAGCACTGTACAAATAGCTTTTTTGGTTCTGCTTTTGTTAAACTTCCTTTTAATATAAGCATAAGGAACTATAAACAATAGTTTTGTTGTCAGTCACTGAAATCAAAATAATTCTTTCACACTAGAAACATTTTCTTTGCAAACAGCTTATACCCAGGCTTGACTAGTTCACAGTTCCCAGTTCGATGCAAATCAGTCAATGGGGTACATGCACACAGACTTTTAGTGTCAGTCAGCCAGCCCCAGGGCTTCCAGTGAATTGTCATCCCATCCAAAATTTTTAAAAACAGTGATCTTCACTGCCTGGCTGAGATACGATATAAAGTGGGTGTCAGACCAAACAAGAAGAGTGCATAAATTATATTGTCCAAGTATTTAAAATACAGAAATTAATTTAACCTCAGTATTTTCACCTGAGTTTCTGCAATAGCCTGCTGCTAATGACGGTGTCTGCATTAAAATGGTCTTTTGTTTCTTTTTAACAACTTACTGGAAGCTTAAGTCTACTTAACTGATTATATTCGAATTACATCAGTACTGTAAAATGAAAATGAAACCTTAAAATATTAAAAAATGTTCACATAAACCTTTCGCCAGAAGTTCATTAATTGGCTAAAAAAAAAAAACTAGCTGTGCATATAGCCCATTACCCACCAGGCTGTTGTGCAGTATAGGTCACAATGCAAGACCCGTCCATCTGCTCATCAAAGAGGAGCTCAATCTCTCCAGGACCCTCTACGGAGACAGAAAGAGCCCCTGCTCCAGCCTCACGCGACCAAATATTAAAGTCAGCTGCGAAATGACATCAGTACATACTTTACATATGACGCACAACTGTATAAGCCAGCTGTCACAATACAAAACTAACAAGAAGCAGGAAGACAGAAATATTAGCGGGACACCTGGAACAGTTGCCAGAGCCGTCTGAAGGCTTTGTCCCCAAACCTGCACCTTCTCAGATCCTCCTCGTCCCAGCGGGCCGACGGTGTATTGAAGTGGGCAGCCGGAAATCGTCTGGCCTTTGTTCTGTATGCTCACATTATAAACTCCCATCTCTTTAGCTAGAAAGCTCACTACATAGATGTCACGGCCTGTACTAGGAAGGATAACAGCCTCTCCAAAACTTCCTGATGGTTCATATACATGAGCAGACATAGTCCCAGGATCAACATCTGTAAAGAATAGGAATGTATGTGTGTTAATGTTGTCATAAAGTCCTCGAGGAGATAGAGAGAGGTGTAGCGTTTGGATTGCTATAATGTGTTATTCATCTTACCTTGGAGTTTGAAGGCTAAACTGCATTCACTCCCAATGCTGGCAGTAGGAGCAGCTTTCTGGTTGTATGTGATGTTCTCTCTCATAAGCCCTTGGTCTTTCACCACAGCTGTAAACGGACTCCCTGGCAAAGAGGAATGAATATAATGTGTATTCATTTAAGGTATTCCCCACCAAATAATTTAGAGAAAGGAAATTCTGAATGTTGATGAACTGCTCATGTTTGTGAATTTACAGTACATTACAGTATAAACAAAAACCCTTAACCCCTTAAATTTAACATTTAACAAAAAGTAGATAAAGCTGTATCCTTATTTTCAGTTTGATTACAACAGACTTTGGTGTTACTTTGTGCCAATGTGTATAATTTACAATTTACATTTACAATTAAATGCATCCTCATTGAATAAAAATACAGAATAAATGTAAATACTTAGTTTATTGTCATTATAGAGGGCAGCTGCACAAACCTGGAATGTGCTCATCTGAGAATTTGATGGAGATTTTATAGCTGCCAGGCTTGATTGGGCAGTATGATATATTGCAAGTTCCATCATTCTCCAGCTCTTTTGTGTGGACGTCTACTTTACTGGGACCTTCAATTACAACTGTTAAGCCACCATATCCTGCAAGATCCATAAGGTTTTAAAAATACATCAATAAGGAAACAATAAATGTTTATTTTTTAGACTGCATATGAAATGAAGCATAATAACATACAACCTATCTCCTAAAGCAGCACTATGTACATTTTAACCTGTAGCTCCTCCCCTTTCTGAAAAAACAGCCAAAAGCTTAGTTTAGTTTTCTCAAAGAGCTTAGAATGAACAAGAGGCGACAGTCAATAGAACATTCCATTGCAGCAGCAGCGCCCAGTAACAGCCCCTCATTCGCCATTTTGGAGTGAAATCAGATCTATTGGATCTTATTGCTGTCACGATGGCAAGCAGCTGCTATGTTTTTCATTTATTTATTTGAAAAGCGCATTAAAGCTGAGATACAACCTGAAAGACGACAATACAACCTTTACTATCACAATCATCAGCACGTTTAATAGTTTATTTTACAAAATTATAATATTTGTTCTATTGGAATTTTCATTCCAAAATGGCTGCCGCGCCATCTAGTGGCTGTTTCCCAAATCGCACTAAAGTGTCGCCTCTTGGTGATTCTATGCTCTTTGGTTTTCTCACAGCTCTACTAGTGAGAATGGTCAAAGACTATAGAACACAAGACATGTCTCTCGTATCTTTTTGAATGAGGAAAGGTGTAACTGTCAATATGGTGTATAAAGCCCCGCCTACTAGTACAGGATCCAATCAATGATCGTTATAGAGTAAAAAAATCCCACCTTCTAGTACAGGAGTCAATCATTGATCGCTATAGGCTACATTCACACTGCAAGGCTTAGTGCTCAAATCTGATTTTTTTCTCAAATCTGATTTTTTTGCATGGCTGTTCACACTGCTCTTTTAAATGTGGCCAATATCAGATTTGCAGTGTGAACAGATCATAGTCCTAAACTGACCCGCATGCGCAAAAGTGCATTAAGGAGAGCACAAAATGTCTAATTATGCACACGTTTGTGCTGTATGAGTAAGCACGTTGTCAGATTATGCTTATATGATTATTACCCTTTTTCAGACAATCGTGGTGTAATTCATGAACTGTAAATGATTGTTCTGCTACTACTAATGTGTATTTCGGCATTTGAGACCTTAAATAAGTCTCTTGTGATAAAAAACACTGATCGTTTGTGATTTATGACAATCGCTGTGCGTGGTGCTCTGACCACCGGTGTAGTAAACTCATCAAGGGTAATGAGCAGCCGCAGACTAAACTCTGAAGGCGGAGTTGGTTTATCTCCGTTTGAGGAGTTATTTAATTTCACTTCGTTATAAACAGCAGACACGTGCAGAAAGGCGGTTTGGGTGCTCGAGCACCTGCCCTTTTTTTCTCTCGAAGAGAAAGTTCTTCCTCCTTTGCACCCGAAACCCCAATCCACAACACCCACAACGCTTTTCGGCTTCGCGATCAACCCATGCCTCAATCGTTAACCAGATTAGTTAACAAGCACCAGTTTTGCCTTCAAAATCTTTTTCAACATGAACAACCAACTTTCTGTGGTACTGTAATTGCCCTGTGTGCTGTTCTACTGTGCTGCTGAGGGGTAGATGATGTCTGCAGCACAGAATGATGACGCATGTCGCTCAAAGATAATGTAAAAGTCACATGAAATCTGACTTAACCGTTCACACTGCAGTCGCATTGCAAAACATCAGATCTGTGTCTGATTTAAGACCACATATGAAAGTGGCACAGATCTGACCTGAAAAGATCAGATTCCATGCAGTTTGGGCAGTTCACACTGTCATCACCTGAGTCACATGAGGGGGAAAAAATCAGATTCGGGCCACATTTGCCTGCAGTGTGAACGTAGATTGACAATACTCTGGGGGAGGGGCTTGAAACAGACGAGAGTTTCTGCAGATCTTGTGTGATACAAACATTTCTAAATGAAACTAAATAGACAATTGTTGTTTAATTTTATTGGTTATTCGTATTATGAAATGTAATAGTAAGCTTGGCAAGTAGTTTTGGAGAATTTGATGTTTCCCCATTCAAACAAAAAGCCTGAGCATACTGCCCAAGAGGCGTTTCAAAGATGGCCGCCGAGTGAAATCACTTGCCTATAAAGAGACTTTGCGTAATCTCAACTGAAACTTGAAGAGAGAGCAGGGCATGTGAGATACTAGAAAGTATTTGACTGGTCAGAAGATTTGATGAGAAACTGAAGTATGAGGTGTCGTCCAAAAATCTTTGATCCATAGGCGGAAGTGACAAAGCTTTGGATGTTTATATCTTTTAAATGCAAATTGTCTATACAAGCTTTTAGATATCCATAAAAAAACATACAGTTACTAACATCTAAAAAATGTTGCTTTGTTTTGTTTTACTTCAAGGGACCTTTAACTAAATTAATTCTGTTGCTGTGGCAACCAGAACTGGTTACTTTTGCCTGAAATCACACTTGCATATCGCCTGCCAGCTGAAAGATAGACATATATAAAAATGCCTACGAGCATGCTGTTTCCAAAGCCTAAGTGAAATTAGCCAAAAGTTAACTGTGAGACAATCTAATATAGTCTATCGAATCTTATAAAAAACCAACATGAACGCCATGGCACAGCCACCAAAGAAACCTGAGAGGGTTTTATCAGAGGAAGTGAAAAAAAAAGTGTGAGATTGATCAAACACAGAACACTTGATGGCACGAGCTGAAAGAGGAAAATGGAAGTCATGTGATGATAATTGTTGAATATAGTGTAGTATAACACAGTTTCAGTTTAGTTTGCACTTTGGGTTTTAGGTACCATGAAGGTACCTCAGCTCAGCCCTGCTCCATAATACCATGGCAACAAAGAGTGATTAAAATCAAGCTGCCTTCATGACACTTAAAAACCAAGACTTGAGTAAACAAAACTGAATCTTAACTGGCTAGCCAGCTAATCCAGTTCTGTCAGGATAGTCAACAAATGCACACAAACAGATTTAGTGCACTGATAACAGGCAACTGCACTTATAAACCACAAAGATGAGCCACTAAAGAAATTAAATAGAGTTGCTTTAACATACAGCATGAATCAGCTAGTTTGAATTATACCTGCATCCCAAGTGTCCACCACAAATTCAGACTTGCAGAAGGTGTGCCCGGTGTGTAAGCCTGGACCGAAGGCCTTCACCTTACTGGCATCTCCAATCTCTGCCTGACTGATGGACAGAGAGATGGGACTGTTGCTCACATGCTCCCCATCCTTCATGATGCTAACCAGATGCTCACCAGCCTCTCTGGGGATGAAGGAGATGCCTGAATAACAAACAAAGAGCATGTCTATTAAAGTCTGACAGTGGTGCTGTGAACGAAAGATTTTTAACGCTCATCAGCTTTGGAGAGAAAATGTGCAGAGCCTGGACAAATGAATCTTTCCAGTGCTCATGTGTCTATTTGTCAGTATTTGTGGAGACTAACATAGGGTTAGCTATCAGTTACCAACGGTAAATACAAATCACAATAAATTTACATACATTCTCAATAAAATAAGCCATCTAACCCAGCTACAATCATTTAACACTAAATAATAGGGTTGCAATGATAAGTTGATATTTTGTGATTCATGCACCCATCCTTAGATTTTTGGGATGCATCGCAATTCTCTCTGGAATCGACCCTGAACTTAGTTTTTAAAAGCACATGGCACTCTAAACTAGTTTTTTTCATACACTCTTAAGCCTCGTTTAAATCACACAAATTTGTCATGATTTCGGCACGATTTCCTTGGATTTGTACACAAATGGGCGTCGTGACACAAGATTCCATCGCTTCTTTTCATGTAATGTGGCATAGTTCACAACAACCGATACCATGCCTGTGATGCCTCACAACATCATCGCAAGTCTAGCATGTTTAATTTTTTTCTTGTTCTTCACGATGAGTTTCATCATGTGGGTGACACTGTGCAATAGGAGCACATCATTTCTCAGTTATCTCTGTGGGTGCTCCGTTAATGCTCCGGTCAGGTGATCAAAAAATAGACTGGATGAGAACAAACTGTTGGAAGGATGAGTAAATATCCAGAGGTCTCTCATCCTTCCAACAGAGTTTCTTTTTCAGAGGTAATCTGGCAACATGTATTTCCTGCTTGTTCAAATTTGTCATTAAGAGTAAAAACAGTTTAATATAGGCTTCTCTGAAACTATAAATATTTCACTTTAAATTTTATTTAGGCTAGATTGTTATTTTATTTAACAAACCAACACAACCTCAGAGCAATTCGTGTTTTGGCACATATAGCGAACCTCTAATTTTATTTGTTTATCTTGTTTATAGATAACTGACCAACAAAAGATGCATTAAATTAAGATAAAAATTCTTTTAAAAAGTTATTTTATCCAGGAAAAATATATGAATTATGTTTTTGTTTTTGCCCCTCCACTACTCAACTGTTCGGGTGGATGATTTGTCTCAATCTGAGGAAAATAGGGATTTAATCAATGCTTTACTGTGATTGTATTACAAATCTCAGTTATATATTTACAAATATTTTAAACATGTCGTTATTTGAAAGATTATGGGCCCTATCATACACCCGGTGCAATGTGGCACAAAGCGCAAAGCAATTGTTGTTTGCTAGTTTCAGCATGAATGCATTTGCACTCATATGTGCGCTCATAGGCGTTCAGGTCTAAAAAAAGATGTGTGTTAAAGGCGCATTGCTTGCTATTTTGAGGAACGGCAATAGACCAATAGACCAGCTGAGAGGAGGTCTAAAGTCTATCGCAGAGCGTGTTAGTTGTGCGCCCCGCTTAAACATTGCTTAACACACAGGATGTGGAGCAATACACAAATATCTTTACAAATAAAAAAGAATTAAAGGATTAAAATAATACAACAATTATTATTTTCTACATACATATAAAAAACACCTCCTCCATGCCTTCTTCTTGGTTTTTTTTCCAGTTTATTCATGACAATTTGCTTTTGTATAATGTTATCATTATTAGCAGTATTATTTATTATATCCATAATTATATTTGTTTTATTAAAAACAAACTTAGATTTGCCCACCTGTCAGGTTTCAGACCATATGGGGCACAGCATGTGTTTTAGGATATAACTCAGGTTTTTGAGCACACTTCGTTATTATTTGCTGGAAATTAGAACTGAATTTACAAATAGTTTTGAAACAAATCTTTGCGCTTAACAAACAAATTAATTATGTAGGCTAATGGATGTCTGTGTGTACAACACGTTTTCTTATCCACAAGAGTGAAAGTGAAAGTAAAAAATGAGGAGACTCATTCTACATTCTCCTGCTGCAGATGGTCTGTTTAACTGTTTTCTCACTAGTGAAGTGTTCAGTTTTTCCACTTACAAAGTCCTCCATGCAAATGCGCTGTTGTGACGCAACTGACTCTAAAGGGAATGGGAGAAGAAACTATGATTGGTTTATTTACAAAACACACCTATAACTCATTAAGAGAATAAGCTCAACTCTGTTAGATTTTCCGTCCTTAAAATAGCAAAAGAGAATTTTGACATGCCCTTAATGCTTATGCGCCCTGCGCTTTGGACTTTGTGCCGAGATTGTCAAAATAGAGCCCTATGTCTTGAGCATCTGATTTTTCCATGCTGCTGCTTGTGCTTTCATTTTCTCCATCTCACTCGTGGCAAGTTCAGGCGAGAGATTGTTTAATAAGAAACCCTGACAGGAAAATATATATTTAGATTTCAAAGAAAATGTCTTCATTTAAAAAAAGAAATCATAAGTTTAATCCTATCAATGTAATAAGGAATGCCCTTAAATAATGTAGTCATTAGTTGTCTGCAAGCATCAGTGTTTATTGTGATTGAAATAAGATAAAAACAATTGAAATTGAGATAAGAAATATTGTTATAGCAACACTTGTGACTGCTTTGGGAAATAATGCTCGCTGTAGGCGTCACAAGATGACTGATCGTGAAGGAACGTGTAATCTGTTATCCAAAAAAAACAACAACAACAAAAAAACAAAAAAACACATATCTGACATTGTGACTTTCTTAACCGACAATAAAAATCGTGTGATCTGATCGGGGCTTTAGTGAGTACGAACAAGAAAAATTTTGGTCATATACTGTAGGTAGATAAAAGTATATGCACTATGGCTTTTATTCCACTTGATTAACAAAGTTTGGATTACACTATTGTAATTAGCTTAAATATTTTCATGAAATTATTAACTTTATTAACAATTGTTTTATGTTCAAGTGGTGTGTGTAAGGATTGGGAAAAAGTGAGGCTGTTTGTAAAACATGCAGCGCCATCCGGTGGTTAAAAACTAAGCCCAGAATCAATTCAAAAAACGCAGAATGGACAAAATTGATTCTCGATACCGAATGCATCAATTTATTGTCTCAGCTCTACAAAATAACAATAAGTTACAGTACAACTAATAAAGAAAGTAGTCAAATCTTGCTGTACTACAATACAAACCAGCTTAATTAAAAATAATATTTATAATAAAATATTTAATACAAATGGAACATATATTTTAAGAAAAAAATAAAAAAAGTCGTTCGAGTTATTGCATGTGCTGACCCACCAGGATGACATTGTTTAACACAATTAATTGGACAATATATTTCACAGTAAATTTTACCTTTTGAAAGCATAGTTATAAACATTTTCCCCAATTATGATTGATAAAACTGTCTTTGTACTTATTGAAAGTACAGTAGATGAGTCTACTCATCTTTTAATACTGCTTTTTATTTTGTATTTTATTTAGTGCAGATATTCAAATGTACAGTATGCACAATCTGCACTGCATGCTTTCCAAAGATTGACACTAAATAGTTTAACAATAATTAGGGTTACATTATTTACAGGCTGCTGATTTGTAATGTACATAAAAAAAAGCATTTTTTCGATCCTCTACCTGCCCTAGTCAACCAAAATTTGATTTGGTCCAAGAACATACCTGCCGTACATGTAGTGGAGACTATACTATCAAATGGAGAATACTTTGAAAAACGATGTGCCTGACTTAAGGATGTGGGCTAGCTTAGCGCTTAGGTTATGCTGCAGCTAGTGTATAGACCCTTTAATGCATATCAATTCATTTATTACCAGGAGCAGCTGTGTGTACATGAATAGACGGCTCACCGAGATGGCTGTCAGCTTGTGTTTTCAGTAAGCAGGGTACATCATTGCCTGTGGGCGACATAATGCTAGCGGAGAGCTGGCTAATGTCTTCTTCGGTGATGTCCAGGGTAAAATCGACCGCACTGCCCAGTTTGACCTCTGACTTTCTCATATGTCCATCTGTATTGGGTTTATAAAAACTATGCATGTATTATTTAATGTTTGAGAATTATACTGGTACACTTGTTTGAGGTTTGTTACCTGTAATTTTGGCCTTGAAAGGACTGCCTGGAATAGGCACGTCATTATGTTGAACTTGTATCTCATAATCTCCAGGCTCAGTTGGAAGGTAACTCACAGAACAAGTGCCATCTTCATTGTCCAAGCAGTGCACATCAGCCTCAGACGGACCCTCAATTGTGATGTCCAGTTCACCTGAACAAGTAAAACAAATGACTTCATGTGAAACATGTGGGTTCTGGAAGTAAAAATATATATCCATCTTCTTTAACAACATGTTATTGTGTTTTTGAGTGCCGATAAAGTGGACTAGTTCAAAACACTTTCCACTTGGCTGTGTCACGGTTCTAGGCTCTTTTGAAAATTGAAAATTCTGTGATCATTTACTCACCCTTTACTTGTTTGTAAGTTTCTTTCTTCTGCTGAACAAAACAGTTGATATTTTGAAAAAAGCAGGAAACCTGTAACTATTGACTTCCATTTGCTTTTCTGACTGTGGAAGTCAACGGTTACAGGATTTCAGCTTTCTTCAAAGTATCTTCTTTTGTGTTAAACTGAATAAAGAAACTCATAAAGGTTTGGAACCACTTGAGGGCAAGTAAATAGTACATTTTTATTTTTAGGTGAACTATCGCTTCAATGCACTAACAATATATACAAAAAAATGTTCACAGTCTGTTATTATGGAACAACAAAACAAATGCTCACTCGAGGCTGAATCCTCCTGACAGATGGTGAATGTTGCAGTCTCATTTGCAATTCCACACACAAGGCCACGCCCATAGGCCACAGGGCTGCGATTAGCAAGACTATTTGCATAATATTGCAGTGGAAGTTCTGCAGGATTCAGAGAGAATACATTTTAAAAACAGGTTTTCATTGTCAATAATGTAACATTTCTAATATAGTAATATTGCAGGTTTCAACTAAATTATACAATGTTGTTGTTCTTGTAAAGGGGCTTTGACTCAGTCTACACTGCATGCTATATAAATAAAGGTGACTTGGCTTTAATATTTAGGGGTTGTGTTATATGACCATCATAAGTTATTATGCATTCACATAAACTTCAGATGAACTAAATTTTGTGTAAATTGAGGTATATACAGTACATCATCTAAAAGCAGATAGAGCTAAAGATAGAGCAGTGTTTGACAGAGCTACATATTTAAAAACCTTGGATCTAAGGGTTAGAAAAAAAATTATATCAAGAAAATAGCTTTTAAAGTGGTTTAAATTAAGTTCTTAGCAACACACATTACTAATCAAAAATTATGTTTGGATAGAGTTACGGAAATTGAAAAATGTCTTGATGGAACAAGATTGTTACTTAATATTCTAATGATTTTTGGCTTAGGATAAAAATCAGTTATTTGGACAATGTATTTTTGGCTTTTCACAAAATATACCTGTGATCCAGTGTCACATATCACAAATATTTTAATTAGGATTAAACTTTTTTTTCTACTTAAATTTAACTTAAACTAGACCTGAAAATTAAGATAAACTAAAATTAAAATTTAAACTAAACCCAAAACTAAACTCAACTAAAACTGAACCTTAAACTAAAATAAAACCTAAACTTAAACTAAACTAAATTAAAAAACTAAACTAAACCTTAATTTTAAACTAAACTAAAACCTTAACTTAAACTAAACAAAAAACTAAACTAAACTTAAACAAAACTAAACCCAAGCCAACTAAAGTAAAGCTTAAACTTAAGTTAAACCCTAAACTTAAACTAAATTTGGAACTTAAAATACACTAAAATCTTAAATTAAACTAAACGTAAACTAAAACCTAAACTTAAACTAAACCAAAAACTAAGCTAAAACTAAACTAAAACCTAAACTAAACCAAAAACTACACTAAAACCTAAACTAAACCAAAAACTAGACTAAAACCTAAACTAAACTAAAACCTAAACTTAAACTAAACTCAAACTTACACTTAAGCTAAACTAAAACCCAAACCAAAAACTAGACTAAAACCTAATTTTAAACTTAAACCTTAACTTAAACCTAAACTAAACTAAACTAAACTAAAAACTAAACTAAACTAAACTAAACTAACATTTGACATTGAAAAACACATACATTTTTTGAGGGAGATCATGTGCAATCTAACCTGGTATATCATTTTCTGCTGATTTAATAAGGATTTGATGAAGACCCTCCTCTGAAGGATCAAACTTCATAACGACAGTCCCATCTTTATTATCAATCATGTCAGGCTGTGCTCTCTTTCCAGACGGCGTGATCACCTCTCCTGTGAATGCCATTAAAATAATGATGCGAGGCTGCGATCATTAAAACGAACAAGTGAATCTCCAGCAACAGCTCACCTGTAATTTCACCTTCACTTAAGTCTCCTGGCAGGACTATATCACAGGATATAAACCCTGCTTGATTAATGGCAGCAGGAGGGATTGCATTCCTGCCCTCAACCTGATGGGAAATAATGAAGAATGTATGAATTGTCTCAAGGACTCAAAACATTATTAATCTGACTGAAATTAACCTTGAAGGAACTTCACATTTATACCTTGTTTTGAAAACCCCTGTACCCACTTGAAGTGTGAGAGGATGGTGGCTGGTGCCTATAATTCATGTCACAGTTAATTAAGAGATAAACAGAGCACAAATTAGAGAATAATGAACTAGGATATTGAAGGAGACTGATTAAAGGAGACATATTATACCCATTTTCAAAAGATCCCACATCCGCCGAATATGCCTGACAAGTTTCAGGTCAAAATACCCTTCAGATCACTTACAATATCATATCAAATTTGATCACAATCTTTGTGTGTCCCTTTAAACACAGATGAGCTGTTGCTTTCCAGGAGAGGAAGGATAATTACACTTATTCTAATACTCCAAAAACAACAAAGCAGGTCATCATCAATGACTTACCTCCCACAGCCAAAACATCAGAAATGGTTGGTAGTGGAATACACTGCAAAAATGCTTTTCTTACTTTAGGTGAAATTTTCCATCTTGTTTCTAGTCCAAATATTTAATAATTCTTGAATCAAGAAACATTTTCTAGACAAGCAAAAAAGAATAGTCTTGTTTTAAGAAATAATATTATAATAATATAATATAATAATGTAATATAATAAAAAAATTAAAAAATTAAGTGTGTTTTTCCTTAAAGGGGTGGTCCAGAATGTAATTTTAAGGCTTGGTTGTGTTTAAAAGATGCAAAGCAATGTGTGCTCATGTTTGACTTGAAGGAAATCACATTTTTTTTAATATATCTCAATTTGATTATACACAGCTACTCAGCTAACATAAAAACGACAATTTCCTAGTTCCTCTGAAAGGCCCGCCCTCAAGTGACTCTGATTAGTCATCGTCATAATGCACTGCTATTCGCTGTGTAAACAATCAGTCAACCTCCTGCCTGCTCTCTAAAATAAAATCTGAAAAGTGTTTGTAACGAGTGACAATGGGGTGCGGCTTCTTTAAGTGCGTTTGCCATTGTGTGTGTGTGTGTGTGTGTGTGTGTGTGAATGTTGTCTGCATCTATGTGTGTGTGAGTGAATGTGTACTTTCTGTAACAAGCGCATGTTCATTCTGTAACATATCGTGACAGAAGAATAAAGCACAAGATGTGGGATGCTACCTGTGTGAGCCTTGATTTATTTTTCTGCTGCTACATGAGTCAGGTGAGCTATCCTGTATTTTTTAACTCTATGTGTTACACGACGCCTTTCACATTTATCCGGAATATGCAGGTGTAAGTAACATGAATCATCCACTTATCTTTTGTGACTTCATTATCTGAGATGTGAAACGCATGGAAAAGCTGCCTGAAGACAATCAATGCAGTTGCGCACACACATAAGAGACAAAAACGTGCTGGTTGAGTGTGTGTTTGTGTGTGTGTTTACAGCAGTTTGACTGATAAATATGTATTTGTAGCTAAATCGTTTGCCCGCAAAGCAGCATTTACCATTGTTTACATTGTTGCTACAGGATACCGCTAACACTAGACACTACATGTCATGATCAATTTTAACAAATAATTACTGGTTGTAGTTCACAGCTTCTGCTTTGAGGAAATTTTAGCCGAATCCAGCACTGAACTGGGAGAGATTCTGCATTATACTTGCATTATATGACATAACATCACATATCGTGTCTTTCTACTGTCATCCTCCAGTTTTTTACTGTGCCTTCTGTCTCTGTTCTTCCAGTGTTTGTATCCGCGTCCTCTGGATAACATTGAAACAGTCTTAAAGGAGATTGGTGTTGTGCCAATCTTTGTGCATGCGCATTTAGCTGCAGCAAAAGTAAAACTAGCGTGTTTTAAAACGTAATTTGTGCTTAAGCAACAACAGTAAAGCAACAGCTCACTTCTAGATTTTGTTACTTATTTAAAATATGTTGTTTAATTGTGAGTTTCACAAGCAGTTTTTGAGATTTCAGCAGAAGCCCTATTCATTTAGATAGGACTTGAATATTGGAATACTGTCTGGAGGTGTTGCAATAATGGCCACAGACTGTCCGTAAAAGAAACGTTGATACACATCTGTGTTTAAACAGCTCATACATGTTAATTTTCCATATTCACCCTATTCTCCGCCGACGAGCGGGCGCTGCCATTTGAATCTTTTTGGCTTGAGACTTCCGGTCTCATTCACTTCCATTCATTTTTTGACGTTAAAAACTGCTCATTACGCTGCTTGATGTTGCAATTTGATTTTTTCTTATTATATTATTCTACTTGGTCTGTATAGTCATGCAAACATTTGTTTGTAGAGCAATTAGTTTGACCGTTTTCTGCCGTTTATTAATCCTAGTCATTTCTCCCATAGGCGACTGAATCGGAAGTTCTAAGACAATCGCGAAAACAGGCGCACTTCCGGATTTTAGAATAAGGTCAATAGGTCTCCTTTAATGCATATGGTCTGGACTGCAATGGTCGTCTTACCTTTGAAAATCCTCCAGTGTGGCATTTCTGACCGCTGAGGGTTCAGGTGTGTGTGTTGTTGCACTGGTTGTGTTCTCATTATTTAACACTTCAACATGATCTGTTGAGGTAGAAATCAATAGCACTACAAACAATGTTTCTTTTAAATTCACATCAATTTTAGCGTATTTTTCATGCAGACTAATATTGATCATATATTCCATGTCTTACCATCAGCTTTCAACATCTCTGTCCCTGAGGCCTCGTTAGTGTTGCAGCAAGTTGTGAAAGTCTGAGGAATTTGAGCGCTGACACGTTCCTCTAATTGTCTGCTACAAGCTTCATTTGTATTAATCACATGTTTGTCATGACTATCAGCGTGAGGAAGGACATGAAACCTCAAAGGACTGTAAAACAAGTAGATCACATGTGACAAGTGTTAAACATTCAACCACAACAACACCACCAACCATACATCAGTCCTTTTGGAATTTGAATGAAAACTCATTTGGAGAAGTGAGATATTAATCTGGATATAATAAAAATGATATATATAATCTTGGTATATTTATAAAAAAAAAACATATTATAATGCATTTGTTTCAATCCAAAAAAAGAGAAACTGACCCAAATATTTATCAGGAATAATTTATGAATATACGTTGCAGATGGACGAGTATCTGCTGCAGCAGTGATTGGTTCAGAGTGTTTTAGAAAGAGTATTCCCAGACAAAGCTCAATATTCAGAGCTAAAGCTTGTGCACTAATTTTAGCTTTAGAATAAATAGAAAAAAAACAGCAACTCCAGTTTTTAATTTGCACAGATTCATATCCTGCCTACAAGCACTTGAATCTATGAAAACGGATCATCCTATGATTTTTAGCATAATAAAAAAAGTTGCTACTTTAAAGGAAAAAGACTTTGATATTATGTTTTGCTGGATACCTGGTCATATGGGATTCACTGGAAATGAATGTGCAGATAAAGCAGCTAAAGAGGCCCTACAGTTGGAGAAAACAGAATGTAAACTACCTGTGTCTGATGTTAAACCTGTTTTAAATCTGTATATTAATCTGAAATGGCAAATGGAATGGGTTGAATGTACTGTAGAAACAACAAGGTGTATGAAGTGAATGCATTTGCAAATGAAAGAAATAATGACCATTTTGAAAGTAGAGTAAAGTTTTTAGTCAGGAGATAATTTAAGGGAAATGTTTAAAAGGTGTGTTCTTGAACAATTTTAGAATATTTATCTTTAATCAAACTAAAAGATTGTATATGACTATTTTCAATGTTTTTTGCTGTTATTTATGTATGTTTGTTAAAAAACTGATATGATTGTTATAAATTATTGATTTAGAATAGGTTTTGCCATGAATATAGCCAATGCTGCTGATATGGTATTAAAGTATAAATAAATAAATAAATAAATAAAGAAATAAATAAACAACACCACCAACCATAGTAATTCTTTATATTTTACTTCACCGATAATATTCATTAAAAGAACTCTAGTAATAAAACTAATAATTTATTAAATGCTATTATTATTATAATAATAAATTTTTATTATTATTAACATTAATATAATTAACATCACTAATAATATACTAAAATACAAATAATAAAACAATAGCATTTTAAAAACAAAGAAAACATATATAAACAGATTTTTCTAAATAATAATAATGTTTTGTGTGTGTGTGTGTGTGTGTGTATGTGTGTGCGTGTGTGTAGTAATGACTTTTACTATAACTATTATAAAGTTTTTTATTAAAGTTTTTTTTAAGAAATATAATAATTGTTGTAAAAAACATTCAGTTTTTTATCAGCTTGTTCGCTTTATTCATCAGGAATAACCACAGCGGAATGAACCACCCAAAAACTTCTTATTGATAGCAGTATTAACAATAATAAAACCTATACTAATAAAAAAAAACTACACTAAAAATAAAGTTAACAACAATAATAATAATAGTATATAATAATAACAATAATCAGCATTCTCATCCAGTGTATGAAAAATTATTTTATAATGTTTACTTTACTATAACTATTACTCTATTACCAATTTTCATTATTGTAGTATGCATATAAAGCAAAGTTATCACTATTATAAATGGTTCAATTTAAAAAAAACATTGATTATAATAATATTTATTTGAATATTTGGTTAAATACTATTTTAGGTCAAATTGCTATTAGTAGTAGTAGTAGTATGCATCATTATTTAAACATACTATTATTATAAAATCTAGATATTTTCCATTGTGAATAAAAAAATAATAATGCTAAAAAAAATAATAGCAAAATATGAAGCTTACTTGTAAAATGAATCATCATCAACATATTTGACCATTAAGGAATGAAGACCTTCATTAGTGGGACAGTATTTGACAGAGTAAGTCCCGTCAGGGTTTTCTTTGACCTCTGTCAGTTCAGTCTCTCCTGCAGACATAAATCTCTGTCAGTTACACAGCAAAAGAAACCCAATACATCTTTAAGAAGGAACTGCTTCCCACCATCAGGTCTGATCATCAGCACACAGTCAGGGGGCTTCCCGGATTTACTACAGCTGATCCTGAACAACTGAGGACTTTGAGCACAGACTGATTGCTCTGTATTTACAGTCGGATCTGTCTGGAGGCTGTGACGCAAACAAAACAACAAATGATTATTGTATTTCTCTAGAAAGAATCAAATGTATTACAATTCTACTTAACAAAGATGACTAACACACTTCTATACCTTCTGAAAGCTTCTTTGCTGTTGTATTTGTCCATTACAGACTTACAGCCTGGCATTTTTGGTGTGCAAGACATCTCACATTTTTTATCCCTGTTGTCCAATATATCTGCGAGTTTTATTGAGCCTGTATATGAAAGCGCATGTGAATGATTACCATGTCAAACACACAGTCATGCAAATGTCAGCAATATATCAAACTCTGACCATTAGCTTTAGCATTAGCTTCTGGTTCCACACGGCAGCCGTTAGTGAATGTATGTGGAGGCTTAGAGTGGACATTTCCCTCCTGACTCGAATTTTCCTTTTTATTTCCAATGTCTTTATCCTTTCTGACAGTGTGAGGAGGAATGGCATTAAACCTGTGAATACTGAAAGATAGCATGAAATAAGAACTTGCAGTATTTGGTGTTTTACTACATTAAAAAAATACTACAGTAGCCTAAGTGAACCATATTATAGTAAAGTACCTAAAATGATATGTTGTGTTAATTTTGTAGTTGCTATGGTAATATAAAAGCAGGTAGGTAGCAAATAATTCTGGCCCAGATTTGGCATAAAGCTGGCACAGCAGGCCTTTATCTGGCACTGGCATACACATGCTAAACATGGTCTGGGTTTCACAGAAGTGGCACCATCTTTAAGGCAGCACATAAGATTTGGGTCAGATGTCAAATGTATTATTTGGCCCAGATGTTAATAATGTATATGTGGGCCACATAAGTTTACCCTTTCTTGACTCACTTTTAAAATAAATTAAAATTATTTCTGAGTACAGAAAAAATTCTACCAATCAGGTCGCTTCGAGAAAAAGTATGGCCATAAAGCAAAATCAATTTCATTGCTGTCGTGACACACCAACAATTCTGGCCCAGTTCAGGCCCAGTTATGGGTTACTAACTTGGCCCAGATATGGTCCATGTTTGGCCCTTGTATGGAAGACAAACTTCCAATCATGTACCGTTATTCACTGTGGCATGTGTGCCAGGCTAAAGCTGATTGTGTGGGCCAGATCTGGCGTGATCTATGTGGGTAGCCTATATTAACAGTAAACAAATGACTAAATACCGTAGATTTCAACAACTAAATGGTATTGCAGTATGTATATCATACTACAATACCACACAGTTCACTGTAGTAAATCTGTAGTATTCTACAGTATTTATTATCACACTGTAAACAAATTATATGACAAAAAGTCATGGCTACAAATGTTATGTTACTTTTAGTGTGTGAATTATACATTGACAATCGGGGGGGTCAACATTTTTGATAATGTTAGTTTGTGTAATACATGCTTCAGTGAATCAAATGCATGTTTATTTAAATTACATCTAATTTATTCATAAAATATATTAAAGTTTTCAGTGTTTTGATAGGCTATTTAGTGTATTCTGACTTGATTAGCTTTTTTCGGCTTACTTTAGGACAAACTATACAAACAATGCATCTATTTTGACGTTACTTTTGGGTAATTTATAAAAAACAAACACCTATTTTATTTAAATCAATTCATCTTTATTTCTATAGCGCTTTTACAATGTAGTTGTGTCAAAGCAGCTTAACGTAGAAGATTATAGGTTTTATTGTTTTCTCTACGTCTTATGTTGTCAATCGGTGCTCTAAATCTGCTGGTTTCAGACTGTTGAAAGACTTTTTTCTCGCATACACTGATTGGCGCAATTATAGATTCACAAAGGTATGAACTGGTATAGGGGTGGGTGGTCAAATGGATGTCTATTATTTTAAATAATACCATTAATACAGATCAGAGTGAACTTTTGTCTCAGTTTCAAAGAGCTGGCCCCCCACACGTATTGTTTTGACGTCCTTCATTGGGGATCAAGCCTTAATTAGAAGGGTCAATCCCTTCCAAAGCACCCCCCCCCCATAAATCTGTAATTCGCACCCTGGTTACATTGTGTTTTATTAGCCATACAAAGTTTTATGTAATGTTTTTATTTGGTTTGACTGATTTAAGTTGAGATGACTAGAAAAGTTCACTTGATTAAACAAAAAAAAAAAAATTAATAAAATTAAGGCAGGCAGATTTTTTACAGTGCTGTTGACTACAGTTAATACTACAATATGATTTAGCATTCTTTAACAAAGTGTTGTCTATACTATAATATATACTATCTATACTATAATATATATGATGTAAAAACCCTATTATAGTTAGGTTTTAAAGCAATATAGTATTTTCTATATAGAAAATTACTACAATATTTCCTTCCAGTACTGTAGGTTTGCACTGAAATTTCTTTTTTAATTAGAGCTTTACCTTCTGAAGCAATCATCATTGGTATATTTGGCCATGATCGAGTGAGGTCCTTCAGCAGAAGCGGAGTACTCAACTAGATATGACCCATCTCCATTGTCTTTTGAACTTAATAATTTGATTTTGCCTGCAAATGAAAACAATTCAAATCCTAAGTACTGTATGAATCCTGAGTATCAACATTTTAATTCATCAAAGCCTGCCATCATTCTTTGCATAATCATTGAGCTTTTCTTTTTTGTTGTTGCAGGTCTAAAAAGTGATACAATTCAGAGTGCAAAAAGCAAAATGTTATCTGAACCATATGTTTTTATAATCAAAGTGATTTTTTTTAAACTGCAAAAACAAACATATTACACACTTACAGAAAATGCCTCTTTAAAATGACATAAAATACCCAACAGAACAAAACAGCACATCCTCTTAACTTCAGTCTCACCATCAGGAGTAAGGAGAGCTACAGTCTCTGGTGGCTCTCCAATGCTACTGCCATCAACAATGAAGGCCTGTGGAGTGTTCACACACACATCTGCCTTGAAGCCTGATTCAAAAACTGGAGTTTCAGGATGTTTATAATCAACACCGGGCACAGGGAGCACTTGAAACTTGAAGGGACTGTAAATGAACAACCAGAACAACATGAATGAAAAGACTGTGCTTGATTGTAATCATTAAAATAATCAAAAGTTTGGTTAAATATCTCAATATGACCTATGCATTCAACAGTTGCAGTGCTCATACCTGCAAAATGAATCATCATCAGTATATTTGACCATCAAAGAATAAAGGCCTTCCATTGTAGGTGTGTAGTTCACAGAGTATGTGCAGTCACCATTATCTCTGACCTCCATTATCTCACTTATGCCTATTAATGATCAATTAGGTTTGTTACACATTTTATTGAAATGTAGGATTGTTAGTATGGATTTATTATATGGTGCAATACCATTTGGTGTCATCATGGTAACAAACTGCAGAGTTTTTCTTGAGGAAGTGCAGTCGATAATGAATGTCTGAGGACACTGAGCACACATTCCTGATGTTAGACCTGGACCTGATACATTAACCTCGGCTAATTCATCTGTCGGCAGTACCTGGAACTGTCTGAATGAATGATAGAAAGAAAATGTTTCTTTTACTCAATGAAATTGCATTGAACACACACACACACACATATTTATGAATGGCAATACAATTAAATATATTTTTTATTTAAAATTCACATTTTTTAATTTGCATTAAATACATAAATTAGGTATAATAAATAAAAAAATTCCATTTGATTCAAACAAAATTGCAAATAATAAATAAATGCATATTTGTATTTATTTTATTTTATGCAATTTAATACTTTATTTAAATAAATACATTTAATGCAATTCTATTTTTTTAATTACAAATACATCTAAATACATAAAACAAAATAGTTTCTTATTTAAATAAAATTACAATAAAAAAGCTAAAATCACACTAGAAATAAACCATTTAATTCTATATTTAAATCTATTTATTTGACATTTTGACATTTCATGAATTTGAAAAATCATATATACATATATATATATATGTTTTTTATGTACTTTTTATGTATTAATGTAATTTTTAACAAGATTTTTTAAAAATTCTTACCTATTAAAACTCTCTTCATTGGGGAATTTCACTATCAATGAATGACAACCGTCCATGGTGGGTAAATAGACACCACTACAACTGCCATCTCTGTTGTCTGTGAGCTCCAGGAACTCCTTAGATCCTGCAGTACAATTAATGAAGCATCTCAGATATATTGATCTCAACACTAAAAATTGCTTAATAATAAGACAATAATAAAACAGATCATTTTTCTCTGTGCTCACCATCAGGTCTCACCACAGCCACTGCGTTTGGAGATTCTCCACTGCTGCTGCAGCTAATTGTGAAGCCTTGAGGGGTTTTACCACAGATTCCACCTTTAATACCAGGAGCAATAATATCGGCCATGTTCAGATCATGAGCTAAGGAAAGCTCTTTATCACGGCCATACTTAGGTAGTGCTTGAAACTGGTTGGGACTACAATTAAAAGAGTAGAGAATGTAATTAAAATTATTTTTTAGGAGATATTTAGCTTTAATGTCAAAAACAATCAAACCTGCTGCTTCCATAAAGACTTTGAGGATCTAAGACGGGCTTTCTGTCTTTCACTAATGAAGCTGGACTCGCTCTGTGCATCCTGGATCCGTTGTGTTTGACTATTTCTATTTTTCAAAAGATATTTCAAATAATTAGTGCTGGGCAAAGATGATCCACAATTAATCACATCCAAAATAAAAGTTTTTGATGACATAATATTTGTTATGTACTGTGCACATTATGTAATTTTTTTATTTTTTATTACCTCATTATGTATCTATATAAAGGTGTTAATAATGTATATATAAACACACACACCTCCATACATATATTTAAGAAAATGTTTGTTTTGTGCATTTCAACATAAACTATATTTAGATACAAATTGTATATACATTTAAATATCTATGCAACAATTTTTTTTTTGTATAGTTTTGTTTTGTTTTGATTCACATATGTGTACATTATATAATTGTAATGTAGTATTACATACACATAATTAATATATATATATAATACACATTTATTATGTGAAACAAACCTTTTCTTTATTTTGGATGTGATTAATCTTTATTAGACATGCTTTAATATCTTGGTCATCAAAAAATGGACCTACCTTGAGAAGTAACAGCATTTGAAGATATGCAAATCCCAGCCTGTAGACAATCTCCAGAGCCTGCAGTATTTGAAACATCATCCACTGACACAACAAATGGGCTTCCTGTTGAATGCAGACAGCAGTTGTTTAAAACACTATATCAATCTACATTTATATCCTCTCAATATATGCAATTGATTTTAAAGCCCTTTACACACAAGAAACATGAAAGAAAACATTTTGAAAGACATTTTGTTTTCAGGTTTTTGAATTTTAACAGACAAATACATATAAAATTAGGCAGCATAAATATTGCCTATAGGGCCAAACAGAATCTGCTGACATTTTTTGCTATTTCTGCAGAGAATTTTGTAAAAAATAAAATAAAATAATCTGAGGATTTATGCAGAATTATTTTGAGAGTATCATAACTAAAAACTTAAAATAATACCTTTTTAACTTTTATTTAATGTTTACAATGCATATCCAATTATAACCACTTATTTGGCAAGTCTCTTGTATAATATACCTACTAAAAGACAGAAAATATTAATTTACAAACCGCATTGTAAATAAATCATGTGAATATGTTCATAATAGTCAATAATAATACTGAAATTAATTTAAAAACTGAATAAATATAAATTTACAAACATTTACACAAGTAAAACAGACACAATAATGGGCAAAAATCTGTAAAAAGATTTAAATTTCTGAGAAAAAAAGCATGTTTATTAGTATATTATGTCCGTGAATATGCTCTTATTTTAGTGACTGTTTGACTCTTTATCAAACAGATGCTAACCATATTTGAAGCAAATCTTCATGAAAATCATTTCAACACAAAAATATCTGAACAAACTCACACTCAAGTATTGCAACTGTAGCAAGTTTAAAAACTCTTCTAAATATAAAACAAAAGCAGAATCCACACTACAACTATAACAATAATAACGAAGAGGAACAGTATTATTGAAATCACCTTCCTCTGTTTATTTAAAGCCTACCTGGAATACTGTTCTCTCCAGAGGTTATGGATATCTTATATTCACCAGGCACTGTTGGAGTATATTCCACACCATACACGCCCTGACCACCATCTTTACACGTCACCTGACAGTCAGACGGACCCTCCACTGTTACACCAAGATCATCAACTGGAGATCTGCTCACAAACAGACACATTAGGAATTAATGGAGGCTCTGAATAAAGAAAATTTATAAAAATGTATCAGGCATAAGAAGATAACCGGTTTCAACATTTACTGCGATTTGAAAAATTCATGGTTTTAAAACAGATAAAAGTTTTGGGTTTTTTTTATATGTCAGTTTTTTAGGCCAACAGTCTCTACAGCAGCAAAGGACCATCCACATCAAAAACAATTGGTCAGCCCATGATTGAGCAAACATTTGAAAAAAAAAATCACTTATTCACCAACATTCAAGCATACTCTGGACCTGAAAAGTGCAGTGATTTATATTATATCCAAAGAAAGAAAGGTACTTAAAGTAACCTTTTTAAGTTGTAAAGAAATCTGTGTTTTTGAAACTAATGACGAAAGCAGAAGTCGATGATTAGTTTTAATTATTGAGCCTGACATGTTGACTGTTCCAAAATATTTGAATGTTTCTTAAAATAAAATATATTGTGTTTAATCGGAGAACCAGTTGTTGTTTTTTACCTAGACAATTGAATAGAACCTAGGGCTGTAAATAGCAATACTGTGATTTTTTTATTTAAGATTGTCATACCGTCAGTATCTCATACCGGACTGTAGAATCTGAAAGTTGTTATAACCTGTGTGTACTTTAGATGAAATCAATTCTATATTATGTTTTTTATTATAAATATTATTTGTTTTGCATTGATAATTTCAGTTATGGTTATATAATAATTTATAAATCTTAGTTATTCATTTATTCATCCATTTATTTGATTCATATTGTTAATTCATTTATATTTATCATTTATTATCTTAATCATTTATTAATTTGATTTCTTTATATATTCTTATTACTTGCTCTGCTTTTAGTGCTTTTTCCATTGTTTAGTCTTATTTTGAGGGTGTTTTATGAAATGTTCTTCTCCACTGATTTGAGATATGAAAGTATAGTTCCTTTCACACATACAGACCCTTTCGGAATATTACCAGCAATTTTTCAGAAAGATCATGTGTGAACAGGCCCTTTTTGGAAAATACTGGTAAATTAGTTCCGGCAAATTTATGGAAAGAGAAGTTGTAACATTACAGGTAATTTGCCAGAATGCTGCGCTGTATGAACGCAGAAGGAAAATTGGCAGAAAGAGCATGTTTACGATTAGAACGCGGTGACGTGAGATGTCTACTCCAGTCAATAGGAACATTCAGACGCATTCAGATCCATGCTATTTACAAAAATAAAAGCCTTTGAATTTTTTTATAGACACATTTAGCTGCTAGATGTTAGTCAAACAACGTTTCAATGCTTCTTCTTAATGCCAACTGTGGAAGAAAAAAAGCGATAAAATGCTTATGATAAGCCGCTATTTGTTTACCTTCAAGCTCTGCTTCAGTTGCTTCACGCGTGTTCACGTGAAGTGCAGGAGCGCTCCGGTGAGCACCAGTACACACACATATTATCTACCATCAACCATTAACAAAAGCCCAACCCTTTCTGTGTTTATAAATGCAAGCGCAGCCGTTTAGAGGTAATGTCTGGTACTGTCAGAATTTACCGGTATTTTGGAATGGATGTTTGAATGTTTTTTTTTTTTTATTCCAGAACGTTCTTGCCTGTGTGAACAGCGTTTTTTAAAATATACAGGTAAAGTCGTTCCGGTAATTTTCCGGATATTTACCAGTATCACTGAGTGAAAGGGGCTGTTGTTTCTAATTCAAGGTCTTGTGGCCTGGGGTCCGTTCTTCGTACCTCGCTTAAATGATCTAAGATGATTTGACAGATCCTGGATCTTTTAATCTTGATAACTGATCTCTGGCTAATTTGGTTCTTCAAACAAGTTCGCGAATCAGATTAGAATGTCTGGATAAACTGATCTGAGATCGCTGCGTGTGTTGTGAAGGACAGATCTATCGATCCTCGAAATCATGATCAGCAATGCAACGATTGGCTGACGGTACAGCTGCGTAATGACATCATCTGATTAATATTCAATTATCCATGTGAGCAAAATTACGTTAAATTAGCAGAAACGGTTTGTTAAATATGACACGCAATAACCTTCCACATTTGTTGTGAGCTGCAGGCTTTACACTTTCATGTGTCAGGTGTATTCATCATGTATTTCAATGCATATCAGTGTATTTAGTTCTAAATTTAGAAAATATTGTCTATATTATAGTAGCTGTTTTTCAATCGGTGTAAAGAATAACTGGTTGTTTACAAAAGCATTTTGATATTGGTAAAGGCGTCTGCAACTTTTGTGAAGCTTCAAATCACTATTAACTATCAAAACATGTTTATGACTGCATAAATGTATTATTGCTTTAAAAAAAAGTAACATATTCTGCATTTCTATCATACACAATTTGTACTAAAGCGACCTAAAAAGTTCATATCAATAAGTTTTCTCTTTGCACCACAAGGTGACAGTCTTTGTACTTTCATTTCGATGGTGCAGATTGCATAAGTTTTATTAATATGTATAACTTTATTTATTTTATTAATGACTATAACTTTATATATATATAGTTAAAAAATATGTACCATTTTCCCAAGTGTATATAACTACTACTGTAAGAAAATATCAGAATTCAGAACATACTTTCTGTATTATCTTTGCTTGAACTGAGCCGATCTAATCCTGTTTATATGAATTGAATCTGCTCCCGATCAGGTTTGACCCAGCAGAACTGTTGCTATGACAACAACTCTCGGATCAGCTTTGAAGAACGAAACGATCATGGATCATGTCAAATCGTCAATATCCAAATCCAGCTAACTGAGTAATCCACGTACGAAGAACGGACCCCTGATGTATAATAACATTTGTTATGTTTGTGCTGTTCAGACGAAGTATGAGAGCGTACCGAAACACATTTTGAACAATATTATTCAATAAACCCTTCTTTTGCATTATCATCACTCTGTCTCCTGCTTCTGCTCTTCTCTGGCTTCCTTCCACAGTCGACTCCTATATTGACAGGACACTGCTAATTCAGTCGATACTGGTTGACAGGTTTGTGTGTTGGAAACTCTGCTGACTTGTTGTCCAAATACCTGGAGAAACTGACATTTCCTGACAAGATCTTGTGTCCGGTGCGAGATTTTATTTATTTGGCGTGGACACTGTGAACTAACAGGTCCATTTCTAAAATATATTCTGGGAAGCCTAATTTTTTTTAATCATCTAATTTCAATCTGTTGCCTATTTTGCATGACTTCTAAATGAAACTTATGCAATGATATTATAAAAAGTGACCTCAGTCTGATGTTGCAACTTATAATCAAATGTGAAAATACAGCAGTTACCTGGTGTTTACACAAAACATGTTAGGATGTCCGATGAGGCCTTTCTGGAGACCCAAACCACTTGCAACAACTTGGCTTGCATCAGTTTCTCTTTCGCCAACCACAACGCCTCCTAAATCAACAGAATGCATCAGACCACAAACTCAAGAGACAAATCTGAATTCAAACCTTGTAATTCAATAAATATTAACAATCTTTTTTCACCTCTTCTGCTCACTTTTACATGGCTTTTGTAGACCTTCTGTTCCACCATCACTTTATGAACAGGCAGCACCTTTCCTCCATATTTGAGAAGCAGTGTATATACACCTCCAGTTCGGGGCACATAAACAACAGTGTATGTGCCATCCTCGTTCTCTTTCACTTCGGTTTCAACGACAACTCCTGAATCAGAGATGGCCTGCACTGATAGATCCTCAGATCCTACCTTTGCACAGTCTATATTTACAATGCAAGGTTCACCCACTATTCCGTGTTGCAAAGCAGAGTTAGTTACCAAAACTTTCGATGGGTCAACTGGATGATGTATGTTAGCCCCAAACGGAGATCCAGGAATGTGAGAGTTGTCAAAAAGCACATTGATTTGGTACATTCCATGCTCCGTAGGGAGGTAAAGCACAGTGCAAGTGCCATCTTGATCGTCCAGACATTGTAGTGTAACCTCACTGGGTCCGTCTACTCTTACATCAAGTCTTCCACTTCCTGCTCTGCTTGTGTCAATAATGAACTCTGCTTGTTCTCCAACAACACCTTCTGTCAGTCCAGGACCATGAGCATTTACCTGAAGAAACAAATAGCACCCGATTATACCATTTCTTCAGTGCTTTAAATTAATTTATATAGATTGTAATACCTTTGTGGCATCGGCTGGCATATTTGATGGGCTGATAACATTCATGACCAGTTCTCCTCGACCACCAGGATGGACGTTCTCTGGAAAGTCTTCATCTTCACACAATCAGATAACATAATCAGAGTGATTTGAGATTTGAATATAAGTATATTTGGTATTATTAGGAGATGAGGCAGCATCCATTAACAAACATATTCAAAGAAATCCATTTTAATCATTTACTTTATTTTGTAATTTAAAACTCAACACAATGCAATTGTCCTTTTAATAATACATTTTTAGCTTTTACTGGAAATATTCAACAATGAATAAAATAATTAAAATATATTATCAAATGAATGTGTTGTAGTTGTTTGAGTACATTTTAAACAAGTAAAATATTTTTTAACAGTTTCAAATGCCATTTAGATACATATACTGTAGCTAATAAATGGTTTCAGCTATTTTGTTATTCTCTCGTGTTTTGCAACTTTTCATGTGGGCGACATGGTGGCTAAGTGGTTAGCACTGTCGCCCACAGCAAGAGGGTTGCTGGTTTGAGTTCTAGATGGGCCAGTAGGCATTTCAGTGTAGAGTTTGCATGTTCTCACTGTGTTGACATGCGTTCCCTCTGGGTGCTCCGGTTTCCACCACAGTCCAAAAACATGTGGTATAGGTGAATTGAAAAAACTAAATTGGCTGTAGTGCATGTGTGTGAATGAGTGTGCATGGATGTTTTCTAGTGTTGGGTTGCAGCTGAAAAAGCATCCACTGTGTAAAACATATGGATAAGTTGGCGGTTCATTCTGCTGTGGTGAACCTTGATGAATAAAGGGACTAAGCCGAAGAAAAGTGAATGAATGAAAATCAAACTCTACAGTATGACAAAGCCCTTTGGGGCAATTTATAGATTATTGTTTAAAAAAAAAACAGCAACTTGTACATGGCTGTACTATAATTTACATGGTTTAATAATGCGATTTGAATATTTAAATATATAATAAACCTTCATAAATTAAACTGTTAATTATTTACTGTAGAGATTTTTACTCATGAATTGTTTTTAAAATATATTTAAATTTTAAAAATATCTGTAGGATTCATTTCATTTTATTTTATTTTCGGCTTAGACCCTTTATTAATCTGGGCTCGCCACAGTGGAATGACCCGCCAACTTATCCAGCACATTTTTACACAGATGCCCTTCCAGCCACAACCCATCTCTGGGAAACATCCACACACACTCATTCACACTCATACACTACGGACAATTTAGCCAACTCAATTCACCTGTACCACATGTCTTTGGACTGAAACCCACTCGAACGCAGGGAGAACATGCAAACTCCACACAGAAACGCCAACTGACCCAGCCGAGGCTCGAACCAGCAACCTACTTGCTGTGAGGTGACAGCACTACCTACTGCGCCACTGCGTCGCCGAAAGGTAACAGAAACTTCCAATGTGGGGCTCGAACCCCTGACCCTGAGATTAAAAGTCTCATGCTCTACCAACTGAGCTAGCCTCCCCTTATTCAGATTATTTAAAATATTGTCCATTAGTCCACCAACAAATAAAAAGTCCATAATAAATAAGGTCCATTAATTAACATTATTGCACAGCTCTCTGGCAAATCCTTGTCAGGATTTATTCTACGAGAACAACTGGCTGGATATACACTGTAAAAAAAATCCATAAATTTGCCATAATTTTGTGATTAATGTTTTTATCTTTATTTTTTGTCGTTTATTTATGCTTTTGAATTGCATTATGGGATCTTCATCTTTCTTCCAACTACTTTTAAACTTGGAAAGTTTGAAAAAGTCACATTTATTACCATTTTTAATAGTTTAAAGTGATATATTGTCTGGGTTGGTGTTGTATATTACGTTGCAAAAACCTTGTAATAAGCTGCCAGCACATTTTCTGTTATTTACAGACTTATTTCTCAATATATTATTTCTTATACATTATCTTATTTCAAACTACTAAAATGTCAAAAAAAAGTAAACTGTAAAGTTCAATTTTCAACATCAAATGTCGACAGAGCAGAGATCAAGGCCCTATAATGCAATTCACAATTGTAAATAAACAGAAAACACTTGTGAATCACAAAATACAGAAACTTAATTAAATTAGATATTTTGGTAACATTTTATGTTGATGGTCCATTTATATGTTAATATATGCTTCAGAAATAGATTTCATGTTAAGTAGTGTGGTCAACTAATGTTATTCTGCTTTTACATTCCACTGAAAAAAAAAAAGCGGTATGAGGAAAAGCAAACAATAATTAATATTTTCATTTCTGGAAGAACGACTGTTCATTCAGACTCACCAGAGTAACAAATTTCTGATCCATCTGGTTTAAACCAGACTGGGCTACAAGGTGTAATCTTAATCCTGCGAGGTGTCACCTGCAATAACAATGGTGCAGAAATCATACAGCAATCATAGGTTTCCATATAACTGAGGATTACAGCAATCCAATTTAAAGCTCATTTCTTAATGTATGATTTTTCACATGTGATTTCAATAAGCATAGCTTCTTTCCCTCTTGACTGTGAGAATGCCAGTACAAATAGGCTAATAAACATCCTATTACATTTCTGTGAGCTCTGGCTGCAGCGCTAAGCCGCAGTACATCATCACCAGACAGGTTTAAAGCCATTGCGAGATGAAATGGAATTTCAATAAGGCAGCAGATGCTGGAACATTAATGCAAACCAAATTGGGGGAATGAGTTTTGTTTAACTTCATTACACCATGTAAATTAAATGCACCAGAATAAGCACTGGCTGCTGTTGTTGTACACCACATTCTCATGAATTTGCATAATACCTACATGCTGTTCACCAAACATTTACAGATTTTTTTTTCTTCTCAAGATCAATATATTCACTCACAATGAAAGGACTGCCAGGAACCATGACGCCTCCCCAAGTCACAGCAATGGTGTGTTTGGAGAGAGATGAAGGCGTGTAGGAGCAGACAAACACACCAGATTGTTCAGAAGAGATTGTAACATCGACACACTCTCCATCTGCTCTCTGTGAGGACGGCAAATCACATGTAAATTAAAAGTGCTTTTACCACTATTTAGCACTATTTAACACTAACACTAGAACCATCCCACGGGATAAAATTTCCCCTTCCTCCTGTATCAAATTTTCTTGTTGCAATTAATTGCTTAAGCTTTCATCGCAATGTATTCTCGTGATATTGACCTAAGCTGCAAAATAAGGTTTCCTCAACAGCTATAAAATCAAAGAAATACCTAGTGTATTGCTTCATCGTACACATGTTCAGAGTAATGTTTTAACCTAATTAAACACTAGAAGCACCACAGGGTACAAATTACCCATGGCTGTAATTCAAATGTGCATAAGAGGTCTTCAGTAAAACAATCAAGTCTCCCAGTTGTTTTGTTTCTTTTTATTTTTTGCTTAAAACCAAATAAAAAATTAGACATAAATGCCAGCATGTCAAATTTATCTAAATAATGCCTTTATTTATGCATTATATTTCTATGTTGTTACAGAGATCAGTAATTAGAATTAATAACAATGGATATTTGAAGATGATTTATGGATGCCAAACAGGTTTAAGAGGCACTAAATGCCACACTGCCAAAAAAAACAAACAAAAAAAAAACAACAGTAAACATTGGCAGCTGTGGTTGCCAGAATCTTACCGTTAAAATACAGTAGAAACCATAAAACTATTTTGTTCATTTTACAGTAAACTACAGTACATCATTAGTGTTTATACACCAATGTTTTGAAGTACTAACGTATATAGCTAGTACAAAATGCAGCTGCTAGAGTACTTACCAGGTCTAGAAAATATAATCATATCACCCCAATTTTATCCTCCTTACAGTGGCTGCCTGTTAAGCTTCATATTGATTTTAAAATATTGCTTCTTACCTATATAACCAACCTTCTGCCTCGATACAATCCAACCTGCTCTTTAAGATCTCAAAACTCAGGGCTTCTGGTAGTACCTTGAAAAGCAAAGTCGAGTAAAGGGGGTTGGACCTTCTAGTTTATGGCTCCAAAACTCTGTAATAGCCTTCCTGATAATGTCCGAGGTTCAGACACACTCTCGCAGTTTAAAACTAGATTAAAGACCTATCTTTTTAGTAAAGCATACATTCAGTGCATCACAAAGCTGTATGATGCATAAATGTGCTTCACGCATCTCGTTTATATACACTATGAACAGCAGCTATGCTAATTATTCTCTTTATTCTCTATTTCCACCTGGGGATACTCATCCCAAGGCCCCCAGAGACTATACATCGCCACTGATGTGATCCAAGACCAGCAACAAGATGATCTCAAGGTTTCCATAATCCTGGACTAAGCTGTATCCTGAGCAGCTGCTGTGGTGGTCTTGGAGGTGTGGAGAGCATGTGACTGATTCCTGTGATGCTCTAGGGTCAAACAACTCTTCGCAGCCTTCAGCGCCTAGACTGCAGCTCTGCACAAGACGTTTGGCCATAGGAGAAATGGTCATGCCCAATTGAGCCTGGTTTCTCTTGAGGTTTTTTAATTCTTCATTTTCGCCAATTGGTGAAGTTTTTTCCTTGCCGCTGTTGCCTCTGGCTTGCATGGTTCAGGACCCGTAGAGCTGCGCATCGATAGATTTGCTCCTCAGTGTTTGGACTCTCAGTATTGAATATTAAACCACACTGAAGTGAGCTAAACTGAACTTAAACTCTGAAAACTGGACTGACGCTGTTTCATTTTATTACGATCTTTTATGTGAAGCTGCTTTGACAATCTACATTGTAAAAGCGCTATAGAAATACAGGTGAATTGAATTGAATACATACTGTTGCTTTGTTACACAGACAAAATCACCACAAAAGCATGGTGGTGATGAGAAATTTATAAGAGGCTACATCTGAGGCTAACCAACACACATGAAACTAAGCAATAAACATTATTTATCAACATCATATTAAAGTTAAACCTCTAATGCACACAACTGATAAGAACAAAATAAAAGAGCCCAAGCATAGCAACAAAAATACATAAAAAGTGAAGCGTCACACAGGGAATTCAGGATTTTAGGGTTATACGCTGTATGTATCAATAGAACAGTATAATTTTACTGTCGTTTTTATAGTTGAACTCATTGTCATTTTTAACAGTGCATGACTGACAGTGATTATGATTATAGGCTGATATCATGCATGAGTGTTGCCTCATAGATGATGGTGGACAATAATAATATTATGACACATTACTTTGTGAAGACAGTGCCATCAAAACAGTGGTCATGTTTATAGGTACATTTGACTCTAGTGGTAAAGGAATGATATGAAACATTTCACAGTTTTAGTACCTGAGCAAAAACTGCAAGTTCTCCTTCACCAGCCTGTCTGGTATCCACGATGAATTCATTTTGGAGGTTTATTACGCAGCCAGTTTGGGAAACACCTGGTCCTTCTACTTTCACCTGAAGTGAAAACAGAAGACATATCATTAAAAAATGGGCATGAGCTCTCACACTGGACACACATCTGAATAAACAGATTAATGGGAGAAAGAGGAGTTTACCTTGTCAGGGTGGAAGCCTTTGCTTTTGGGTCTGATGGAGGCCATGAATGGACTGTCCTGGATTTCTTCATCATCACACATGACGTGAACTGCATACTCACCTGCCTCGGTCGGCCAGAAACGCACCTGACAGGATCCGTCATTATGGTCATCACAAGCGATCTTTGCCTGAGATGGACCTTCAATGGCAAAACCTTGGAAATATAATAGGTAAAAAGTATATAATATAATATAATATAATATAATATAATATAATATAATATAATATAATATAATATAATATAATCAATTTGAGAAACATTATTAAAGAAACCATAGAATTGTGTACTATTACAAATAAAATACTGACTACATTTGACAAATTAAAAATGTTCGGTTTTTACTTCAGGTGTATTCTAAGGCGGAAATGCATCAAGGCACATCTTAATCCAAATAAGGCTTCACTACCTGTCTCGAGATTTACCTCCTTCTGATTAAAATTTGAAGGCATCATAGATGTGCTCTTCAATGCCTTCAATGACCCACAGACCCGTGTGTTCCATTTCCGACATGAAATTGAGCTACAGTATAAGAAAGATGGCATCTTAAAGCACCTTTCGGGTGTCATTTTATGAAGTGAATGTGTAGTGAACGTGTGTATACAAGTTGTTTATATTATAATTTTCACCTTTATTAAGATAGGACAGTGAAGATAATAGATGGAAAAGCATTTTGAACAGAAAGAAAGCCTCGCTGGAGGGATCGGTAAAGGACCTTGAGCTAGGAAGTGAACCCGGGTCATCCTGACAACTTGCATGTAGGCGCACTTAACCACAAGGCTGTTGGTGCAGACAACTTTGTCCTCTTTTGAAATAATTTCTAGCAAGAAATTAGATTATCACCAAACTTAGTTATAACCCATAGATATATACATTAGATGTCGCCTGGCCTATTGTTGTCTATTGGACGGAATGCGTCAATAGCGCCGCCATCTTGGTACAGGGTAGCGCTCCTTTGAAATGAATGCGGGACCAAAGTACAGTGGAGGAATGTGGCCATCCAAAGCCAGAGATATACACATATACACATATATCTATGATCGGGAGTTTTCTTGGATGTTAATATGTAATTTTTTTTTCTAATTACGTGTCCTGAAACACACCTCCTCTCCTGCTTTCACTTCTCATACTGACGGAGGGAGCGATTCGTTTGTGAATGAATCCCCCGAACGACTCTTTCACTAGCCGACAATAATACAAGTTTCTGGCAGCGCAGCATCTCGTTGTAATATTTCTTTTGATTTGTTTACTGATTTTATTCAACAAAACTAGCATAAGCCTAGTGTTTAGTGCGAGTTGGAGCTGCTTTGCCTTATGGTCAGTGCAGTAAGTGACTGTTATCATCAATAACGTTACCTGATTAGCACAAAAGTTCAGAACATACAAAAACAGAAAAAAAAATATTACCTTTGAAATGTTCTGCCTTTGTGCTTTGTTTTCTTTGTTTTCTCATTACTACACCCGTAGACAGCGCTAAAGTCCAGCATCTTCACGTAATAACACTGTCTTGACTAGTGCGGTTGAATGACATTTGTCCTGGGAACACTGTACCAATGTGGCGGCGCTATTGACGCATGCTCAGGGTCCCTATGCGATATCTAGTGTATATAGCTTTGGTTATAACCCATGTTCTTTTCTGTTGTACATGATTAACTTATGCGGTCTCAGAATTCTTTCTGAAATCTGCATTACAAGGTGCCTTCATGTACAAACACGGCCTCCAAAATCATGCCTGACAATGCAGCGAGGCAACAAGTCAGCTGCCTAAGCTTTCGGACACAGCCAAATTAATTGAAAATAATACAAATGATGTATATCTCAAATTGATTGGCTTTAATGTTTTGTTGGTATTACCCAGCATTCCAGAATCAGCACCAACAGATTCCACCATGAACTGAGCCGGTGAGCCCACAGTTCCTCCCTCTAGTCCCGGTCCCCACACTCGGATCTTCTGTGGTCCTGCTTCTGGACCAACATTGACTTTAAAAGGGCTGTAACACATGAGAATAACAAACTGACTCTTGAACATAAATTAAAATCTTTCTCTGCTAATATAAACTCAAGATCTAACCTCTTGGAAATGTGCTGACCAACCCATGTAATGTCCACTGTGTGATCTCCTTCAGCACTGGGTGTATATTGGAAGCCAAAGACACCCTTGAACAGCTCCTTTTGTGTGACCGACACTTCACTTCCACCTGACAGAAAACAGAACATTTCAGTTACTCCAATTAGGGAATATATAGTTATGAGGTTCTATCTATATATAGACGAATGAAAGAGTAAAAGGCATAGTAAAAAAAAGTTGAATCTGTCATCATTTTCTCATTCCTAACAAGTTCCAAAGTTATTTGAGTTTCTTCTGTTGAACATAAATTAAGATATTAATAGATAGCTGGAAACCTGCAACCATTCCATGGTATTTGTAAATACTGCAAAAATTGTCATTTTTGGGTGAACGATCTCTTTGGGTGATCTACACGGTCTCTTTTCAAGGTAAGGTTTAGATCATAGTGCGTGGTCGGTTACTCACTGGGGTCTCTGATATGGACATCCAGATTTCCAGGCCCAGCTCGACATGTGTCCACCTTAAATTCAGCCAGCTGTTCTACCCTTATGCCTTTGGACTGCAATCCCCGTCCTGTGGCACGACAGGCTTTTGGTTTAGGCACTGAGATAAGAAAACAAGAACATTGAAATTAGATACTCAGGGCTATATACACATTGTGGAAACAACTGGTTTGATTAGCTGACATAACGTATAAAAATAAAATGTATTACTGTAAAAATGATATCAGAGATGAAGAGATCATCAGAAGCACACATGCAGATATTATATTTATCATACCTTTTCGTATAAATTAATCTTTCAGATGACAAGGGGGTGAGAAACATCTCTCAAAAAATCCTTTAAACTTTCAGTGATGAGTGATTTTTTGTCTTATAAAAAGGTTTTTGGGGTTAATATAGTCAAATCAAAACTTGGAGAGTTTTGAGAAAAGGAAGGGTTGAGGACAAAACCCTGACAAATGTCTTGAAATACACTATCTGAACCTTGTTTTTAGTTGTGGTAACATAGTACAAGAGGAATAAATCACTGTGGTCCATTATATAATTTGTGAATAATGCATCATGGCATTATCATTTTCTAATAATTAACTGTGCAGTTATCAAATATTCCTTACATCAGATATTCACCATTAAACATGTTTGTATAAATTAATCGTTGTTTTTCATGATTTAAAAACTCACCTATACAAACAGTAAAGTTATGTCACCTAATGGCATATTAATGTAACCTGCAAAAAGTAATTTTGTGAACAAAATGGTTGATTAAGGGTGTGTTCACACTTGCTAGGTTTGGTTTGATTAAAACAAACTGATGCAATGGATGGTTAGATCAGGAGATCTAAATCTCTGTCCTTGAGATCTGGTATCTTGCAGATTTCAGCTCTAACCGCAATCAGACATACCTAGGCTAGCTAATCAAGCTCTTAGTGTCTTGATCTGTCATATGGGAACAAAATATATGATTGTACCTTTAAAGGCCCCAAATTGGGTCTTAAAATGTACCTTTCAAAACTAAACCTGAATGTTCGTAACTTTATAGACTTTATAGAGTATAAAACTTTATAGGGTACAAAATTGTACCCTAATGGACCAATTTAACCTTAAAATGTACAATTACATATTGTGTTCCCCTTGGAACAAAATTGTACCCTCACTGTACCTTAACTGTACACAAAATTTTTTTTGCTTGTTTATACTAATTATTTAAAGCTGAATCAACGCAATTCTTGAGATTTCATTGGGACAACTTAATTTCCTTAGGTTCAATCCACATAAATTTGTTAAACATGTTAAGTTAGAAACATCCTTACAGGTGTGTTGAGGCAAGCTGGAGCTAAAATCTGCAGGACACCAGACCTCCAGGACAGAGTTTGAGAACTCCTGCATGAGGTGAACACTGCTATGTAAAGCTTAGTCCCTACCAAACAAACTTCCTAATGATATTTATAATGTGGTTCAACTGAAATACAACTGCCACAGATTAACGATCCAAAGACATGAAGATGTCAGAAGATTTGACCATTAAAAGACAGAATGTTCCAGAATGATTTTTTACATTTTTGTTGTTTGATCTGCACCAAGCTAACTAAGAGAAGTCAAACAAAGTGTGAAAACACCCATAAAAATGTTTCATCATCGTGATTATAACACATCTCTCACCACTTGTCTTCACAATTATAGAAGAAAAACAAAACTGAACCACGGGGGTTTAAAATTGGCCCAAACCTTTCTTTGGCTTGAGCGGTGCTCCAGGTTTCAGTCTGGCTTTCGGGAAAAGCGAGAGATATGTCATCACCGACTGCTCATCCACAGCTGGATCGAGAATCTCCTCTGGGGCTATGAGCTTAAAGTTTATTATAAAACAAATAAGAAGAATTACAATTTGACAAGTGATGAAAAACCGATGCATAGAGTATGACAACTTGCCAGTCTCACCTGAGGAACCCCAAGCCAGTCATCAGCTTGCTGCATTGCTTCTTTAGTGTTGCTCACACGATGCACAGAGTCCCAGCTCTCCCAGTCAGGACACAAGCCTGCGTTAACCAGGAAAACTGTTTACTAAGACAACATTCTCTGGCAAATAAACACTATTCACTGAAATTTTAAAGCAGGGTTGCTCAACCCTGTTCCTGGAGATCTACCTTCCTGCAGATTTCAGTTGCAACCCTTATTAAACACACCTGCCTGTAGTTATCAAGTGCTGTTCAGGTCCTAATTAATTGGTTCAGGTGCGTTTGCTCAGGGTTGGAGCTGAACTTTGTAGGAAGGTAGATCTCCAGAAACAGGGTTGAGCACCCCTGGATTAAAGGATTTGTTCACTTCCAGAATGAAAATGTTCTTATAATTTAAATTTTTTCTTCTTTCTACAGCCAAAAATAAATTGAGGCTTTTGATGAAAACATTCCAGGATTTTCCCCCTTATACTGGACTTCTAGGGTGTTCAATGCTTTAAACTTCCAAACTGCAGTTTTAGTGCAGCTCCAAGAGCTCTAAACGATCCCAGTTCGGGATTGTATCTAACCTAATGAAACTATATGTACTTAATTTTTTTTTATTATTATTTACCTAACCACAAAACAGTGCATCACAGAGCTAGTGCCAAACAAACTTTAGTGATTAAAAAGTTGTTGGTCCCACTTTATATTAAGTGACCTTAATTACTTACATAGGAAAATAAGTATTACAATGTACTTATTGTGTTCCTAAATATAAAACATTACACTTCTGGTGCTCTTGAAGTGGGATACAAGTAAGGTTAGGTTCAGGTCTGGGGGTGTGATTATAAATGTTATTACAGTAATTAATTTAATATGTTTTAACAAACAGATCATTTTAACAATATTAATACAATGTAAAAACATTCATTTCATTTAATTTTCCTTTAGCTTAGTTCCTTATATATCAGGAGTCGTCTCAGCGGAATGAACCGCCAACTATTCCAGCATATGTTTTATGCAGCGGATGCCCTTCTAGCCGCAACTAAGTACTGGGAAACACCCATACACACTCATATTCACACACACACTCATCCACTAGTCAATTTAGTTTATTCAATTCACCTGTAACGCATGCGTTTGGACTGTGGAGGAAACCGGCGCATCGGGATGTATGTAAACATGTACAGTATAGACATAAAACATGTATGTACTGTACATGTTAAGTGCAAGCACTAAATTTGTCATTTAAATGTACGTAGATAGTAATGAAGGCAACAATATAAAGTGGAACCAAGTTTTTTTAATGGAAATATATTTACATTTATTCATTTAGTAGAAAGCGACTTTCAAACAAGGATAAAAGCACTTCAAACCACAAGAAAGCAGTAGTATATAGAAAACAAGACAAGTCTAAGATAGTTGAGTAGAATTGTTTCATATACACATATACTCATGATGTTAGCATGAGCACTGCTTATTCTTTCTGATACTATTGACAATATACTATAACGAAACTTTATTCTGAAGCTTTTATCTCAGCCTGTTGAGTCGTCACGTCATCGACAGTGCATTATAGTATACGTATTTTCATGTTGACAGAGACTTTATTATAAAGGCAGGAAAAACAAGTGAACATGGCCTAAGAATAGCACAATGTTTTCGGATTGTTAGTAAGAAAGCATCTGGTGCAAATGGAGTCTCCTTCAGGAGGTTTGTCAAGCCCACTCACGTGTGTGAAGCACACTCAGAATTGCACAATGTATTCCCCAAAACATGTTTAAAAAAACAAAAAACATGTGTTTAAGATAGCGTCATGCATATTGAGAGGAAAAGAGTGTCTCGGTCATTATTAGGTAAGACTTTTATTACTGTTGTGGAATCATTTATTTTCATCAAAAGCCTAATTTATTTTTTTATGTCAATGAGGTGAGTAAATAATAATGAAATGTTCATTCTGGAAGCGTCCTCATTCTTTAATGAGGACTACATAAGGAGTTTACCAGGTGCAAGTCCATCCACTAATGCCCCGAGGGCCTTGCCATCCTGCCAGTCCTGGCTAAAGTTGGTGATCGGCAGTTCAGGAACTTTGTTTTGGATCCATCCCAGAAGCCTCATCTCTGGAGTCAGTTTGGAGACAGAATCGTTTGCCTCATCCTCCCACACTGGGGTGGAGATGGAGTAATGCTGTATCAGGGTCCACACCAGACCCAGGATCAGCTTCAAATTACCATCCACTATTGCTTTGCTGTCTGTATGGAGACGTAGTGAATAGGTGTCTATTTGTCAGAGAACTTCTCATGGTAACACATGCATATATACAGCAAATGCTTTTTTCTGTCCATGCTTTCCATTTAAAATTATTTTAAATCTGATTCAACAAGCAAGCAATCATCTGGGATCATTGTTCCAGTACAGCTCTCTGCTCACTGATTGAAGTTCAGTCCCCAGTTTGACACTAGAACTCTTGGACCCAAAGCCTGCACTCTAATTAGGGAAGGGACCAAAGATATTCTCAAGAAAAGCACGTTTTGGGAGTAGCAATTATCTGTAATGATGATGTCATTGAGAAGAAATAATAACACTTTGCTGCTGACCTTCTTTAAAGGGACAGTTACACACAAAGATCTTATGCCACCCACCCGCCGTTATTTTATATTTTGTTTTCATTCATTTGAAATTGTTTTGATATGCTTTTAGATTTTATTTAAATGTTCGTTTTAAAATGTTTGTTTTTAGTTGTAATTTTATACAAGTTTTATTGTTATTTCTAAGCAATAAAATGATGCACAAGCACGCTTCTAAATAGAAATGGAAGATGAATGCATGCAACTTTTTTTGTATTTATCTTTCACTTACATTTATTTTTGTTAGTTTTGTGATATTGGTACTTATATTTTCCAAAAGAGTATGTTTTTGTTATTGCCTAATATTTATATAATTTTCTAATACCTAAAGTATATGTTAGCTTTGTTTTAGGAGCAAAGAAGATTTTTTTTAAATAGTTTTAGTTAACAATAACAATTTTATCACATCCCATCAAGTGTCAAGGCATGAAGAAAAAGTTTTAAACAACACTTTAACCAAACAGGAACATGATACATTTTAAAATAAGCTGTCACGGAGAACTTTTCTAAAACAATTTTTAAGTGACTTGAACCTCTTTTGACAAGATTGATTCTTAAAAATGAATGATTAAACATTGATTTTTTTTAATGTTGGGAATGCAACGTATAAAACAATTTTCATCACTATTCAGGACCAAATAAATCAGTATGACTTCACAGGAAAAGCAAGATGAATTTCCCATGTTTTCCACATATGTTTGTGATAATGTCAGGGGGTTTTTCTGTACTGTTTGAAAGACTTGTGATAAAGCACCATAGGCATCATGCCAGATTTTTTCCAGTCAGTATGTTGAGTAAATTGAAAGAGGTTAAAAAGGCTTAGATGAAATATTGTAAGCTCATACTCCCCTTAAATTAAAAACACACCATTAAAATGAACACCTTTAATTATACTAATTAGACTACATTGTATGTGTAATGGCTATTATGCTGTTCATATTTCTGGCTGGTAGAAGCTGAAATTTTAACCCTTTAGCTGTCAGTTAGTCTACTTGAATATATTGCAATTAAATCCTAATCTAACAATGACAAACTATATATCTCTGGAAAGGTCTAAGACTTCTACATACATATTTAACCTGTTTTCTTTTGCATTAGAAAAGTGATAGATCAAAACCGTTTACTGTCACCCTTTTTAAACTATAATATTGTAGCTTACATAAAGCAATCATGACAAATAATAAATAATTTAAAAGCTTACAATTTGTACTGATTTTTGATAGACTGAGAAACAGTTATTTAATAATTTCCGATAAGGAAACTTAAAGTTGTAAATGTATTACTATGCTACAGCAATCCACATGTACAATTTTTAAAAACTGATTTCAGAGCAGGGGTGCCCAAAATTTTTCTTATGAAGCCCCAAAATATGAGTGAGGCTAGTGGGCTGAAGGTAAAATATAGTTGCCATGGATAAATTCTTAATTTATTTAATATTATTTTAAAATGACTAAAAAACATAGCTTTATATTAAGTAATACAGTATTTTTTTACACTTTATAATGAACTTCTTACAATCTCATTTATAACAGAATTACACTGCTTCTGCAGACATTGCCTTGATTTTCTCGCCGATGTCTTTTGCATAGTTCTCTATCCGTTGACTGTCAGCATATACATTTTAAAAAATTTGATTCATTTTTTCACTTTCCTTAAGCTTTTTTAAATGAACCACCAACGATTCCATGCAGCATATATGTTTTAAGCAGTGGATGCCCGCAACCCAATACTGGGATTTTTGTATTTATTTACAACATTTAATTGAAACATATCATTTGTTTGCTCTCTTGTAGCTCAGAAATAAAACAAACAAACGTTATGTAATGTAAACGTTATGTTATGTAAAATTAGAATTGACGATCTTTATGTTAAAGGCATTTGCCCCAGCCCTCTCCATCATTCTCACTCTCTTCTCAGATGGGATATAATGGTCTGTTTTAGAGGCAAAATTCTAATTAAATGCCACAAAACTGCCAAAACAAAGATAAAATTTGATGTCTATTTTACAAATGTTGTCAAAAGTACAAAAAAAAAAAAAAAAAATACTACACAGAAATAGGGGGCACCCTTGTAAGATCACCAATGGAAACTGGAGATTTTCTAGTGGTCATGTCTGGTACTGTGCCTAAACAAAATCTTTTGGAAGTCTATTTTTGAGATGTCAACTTCAAATTTGGAATTTGAATTTGAACATTTAGCTTCAATTTTTCTAGTCTAAAACAGGTTTTGTACAGATTTTACATAATATAATCCAACTATTTCATCAAAGGTATTATATTCACCATAAACTTAAAGCCACAGAACATTTATTTTACTTTAATAACTTCCGCCACAATGTCAAGCATCTTCTTTAAAATGAGAAGTTTAAATCTATGCACCAAAGCGCTAATGATTGTCAATTTTTTTACATCAACTCACCAATAGACACCAGCTTGACCTTTTCATGATCCAAAAACTCCAGAGCCACCGAAACATTGTCCAGCTTGAGTTGCCTGAAGGTTGGTCTCGTGTGGTACTTTCTAAACATCCTCTTGTGGCTCAGGACCTCCAGCAAAGAGATGAGAACAAGGCCATCGCTCAGATCGGTCTTCAGATCGCTGATCCGCATGTTCACAGACCTCAGGTGTTCATTGCACCAGCGTGTAAAGGTGTTCTTCTGGATCTTCTTCCATGGTGCATCATCTGCCAGGTTGATTGCAGCTGAAGTAACGCTACATTTAAAGTCAGCCATGCTTCTCTTTGTTCGAGCGTCGACTCGAAAACCTTTTATACCAAACAGAGAAACATGAAGCTTTCATGTAGCTTTGTTGGTGGTGGGAGTGCCTTACAACCCCCAATTTTGGCCCATAATTATGATCATACAGTGCCTCAGAGAGCTGTTTTTACTCTGACATTAACCGTGTCATCATGCCGCAGCCCCACATCGTGCAAAGGAATAATAAAAACAGATTGGAGTTACATCAGTGCATGAAGAATGTATTTACTAGGAAGGCAGAGGTCAGAAACAGGATCCTCAGACTCGGGGAATTCAGCTAATTCCCACCTGCCTCCAGATGAGGGTCTGACATCACTGTTGCTGATAACCTTATCGCTGGTGACGTTACTCTTCATTTACTCCAGAATAAGGCTGGAGTGTATTATTGCCAGTGCTCTTTTGATCGGGGCACGTCCTCGTATTTCCCTTGTGGTATCGAGGAGGGATGAATCATTGGGGAGGACTGAATTACATGATGAAGTGTGTGCGCCTTGGGCTGAAGGTTTATGACAAACATGGTTATGAGTCCATCATGTTTCACGTACACTGGAAAGCGGATTTTACAATAAGGGCATGTGTACCATAGTGGGGTTTTTTTTCAGCCAGATGAAAATGATAGGAGAGCTTATGAAAATTATGAAGTGTGAGAGGACTTTGGAGTATTTAGCTTGACCTGTAGCAAAATTTTTTAAGTAATATAGTTGTAGTCTCTAGTTTATACAGATTAAATGTGCTATATAAATAAACTTGCCTTGCTTTGCATAGTCTGATAATTTTGACCAGTGTATGCATGGACACGTAAAGGGATAGTTTCTCCAAAAACAAAACTTTGCTCACAATTTAAACTCCACCAAGTGGTCCCAAACCTTTATGAGTTTCATTTTGCTGTTGACGATGTTCTAAAAATGACTTCCACAGGAAAGAAACAAATACTATGAAAGACAGTAGTACTGGTCTCCAACATTTTTAAAAATATCTTGTTATATTGTTATTATATAATGTAAATATAATGTGAAACTTATTAAGGTTTGAAACAAGTGCAGCATGAGTTAATTCTATTTTTGGGTGAACGATCGCACAAAGTAGAAATATTTGACCTTTTATCCATTATAGTAAGGTGCAGGAATAAACAACATGAACTACTAATAAGCTGCAAGCTTGCTGAAGGTTTTTCCATGGGTTTTTCCAATTGGAGAGTAAAATAACACCTGTGGTTAACATAACATGACAATATTTTAAAGTTTTGCTCTACAAAGTAAATTAGACACAAATGTGTTTTTGTACCTACAGTTGAAGTCAGAATTATTAGCCCCTCTTTGAATTGTTTTTCTTTTTTAAAATATTACCTAAATGATGTTTAACAGAGCAAGGATTTTTTTTTTTTTTTTTTTTTTTTTACAGCATGTCTGATAATATTTTTTTCTTCTGGAGAAAATATTTGTTTTATTTAGGGTGGAATAAAAACAGTTTAGAATTTTTTAAAAACCATTGCCCTTTGAGCAAATTTTTTTCCCGATAGTCTACAGAACAAACCATCGGAATACAATAACTTGCCTAATTACCCTAACCTGCCTAGTTAAGCCTTTAAAATGTCACTTTAAGCTGTATAAAAGTGTCTTGTAAAATATCTAGTAAAATATTATGTACTATCGTCATGGCAAAGATAAAATAAATCAGTTATTAGAAATGAGTTATTAAAACTTATGTTTAGAAATGTGTTCTCTGTTAAATCTTCTCTCTGTTAAACAGAAATTTGGGGAAAAAATTTAACAGGGGAGTGAATAACTTAGGGGGGCTAATAATTCTGACTTCAACTGTATTTGTGCACTTTATAAAACAGATTTTCTATCTCATGTTAAAAAATATGGAGCGGATGACATTCTTTAAAACTACAAATGGGCAAATACCTGCAATATTGGGAGAAATGGGTTGTACTTATGCCTGTACACAGTATAAACAGATTTTAAAATGTTTTTGTTAATGTGACCTGTAAAGAATTATGTGACCAGTCAGCTGTATATTCAAGTTCTGTGTTATTGTTTTTTTTTATTTGTATTTGTATTTTTGCCCTCTTTCTTAAAAAAAAAAAAAAAATTGTATTAATAACATATAAAAAAAGAAAAAATGTGTGTCTACAATAATGATTTTCTCAAACTGAAAGAAAAAAACATAGTAAAACCCCATAGGAAAAACTGTTTGGTCATTATGCAAGTAGAATGTTAGAATTCCCAAATTTGTACCGCCCCTCCACAGTGATTGGACAGCTGGGTAATAAGTGACACCAATGAGCACTGCATATTAGCCAAAGATAAATCTAAAAGTCTGTAAACCCTAAAATGACATACAAAGACCATTATGAATATTCTGTCATCATTAACCCCCCCGTCACTTGTTTCAAACCAGTTTTTGGTTTAGTTTAACACAAAAGAAGATATTCTCAAGAATGTTGGAAAAACAAATACTATGGAAGTCAATAATTACTGGTTTTTAACTTTTTCAAAATATCTTTTTTTTTATGTGTGTTCAACACCAGAAAGAAACTCATAACGATTTGCAACAAGTGAAAGACGAGTATATAATAACAGAATTGATCAATTACCATTAACTACATTTAATATATGCTGTAAAACTATCGCTATTCTACAATGATCCTATTGCTATGTGTTATTGAAAATGAAAACCAAATTCATCTGATAGAACAGGCTTGAACTTCCCTTTTGCTCATTTATTGCAGATAGCACGCTTTTTAGATCAGGTAGTTGGATCCTTAAATCTCTGTACAAGTAATAAACATAAATCATAAACACTCTATAACAGCTCTCTTTAGGGAACATTAGCACTCTAATCTCCTAAGTGTACAATATTTATTATCATCATCAACATCATTATCATTAACACATCAAACCCTTATAACAATAAAGTACAGTGCATAGACTAATCACTAATGGCTTCGTATAAGGTGCAAAGACACAAACAGGTTACATGGCAAAACAGGCCTTCAGGCCACAGAAAATATGAGTGAGTTAAAACATAAACGGATCCATCAATGTCTGAAATGTGTTATTGCAGTGGGCGCTGCGATGCTCAGTCAGCTCTCATTCAGGCGAGGTATAAACTTTTGCTCATCTAAGGTTAAGGCAATTTACTAAATGTTTGTTTGGCAAAAGCAACAGTGCTCAATAAAATACCTGTTATTAGCCAGATACTTCAAATGCTATGCAAACAGTACATCTAATTTAAAAAAAAAAGATGGGAAATGTTCTCACGTTATTACTCCCTTTAACATTTGAGTAAGAAGTTGCTTTTAAATACTCATTACTCAAACTAACATCCCGCGGACTAAAAGGACAAAAAAAGTCAAGACATCTGAGAAAGGTTTGCTAGGTGTGCATGTCAGGTGCGTGTGCTTGTTACTGGTTCATCACGTGCTTCATTTTGAGGACTTTGAAAGCAAATATCCTGTCACAGCAACAGTTACAGCGGCGACAGGCATCCATCTGATCCATTTTCCCTGCAAAAAAAAAAAGGCAGATAAACATCATCATCTATACTGTCAGATTAGAAATATTTACGATCAGGGATGCACATGAGCCGAGGACAAAAAGCCACAAAGACAGGACGTGGAGAAACAGGACACACAGAGGACACACGAGGACAAAAAGAGCCGGGATGCCTCAGAGCTACGCTGGAAAACTACAACCTACAAAAATGCATTTGTTAGAGACAATTGTTAGTGTGTGTCTTATAATACAAAGCAGACCTGTTGTAAAGAAACACAAGCGCTTTTTTTTTTTTTTTTATCTGCAAACGACTGGACAGTATTTGCTAGCTTAAGCGGAGAGGATTGATTAGTGGTCATGCATAGCCCTGAGGTGGATGGATGCTTAAGCAGAGGAATGAGACGGGACAGGAGCACTGTGTACCTTTCTACCACAATGGGCCCAAGCACCAATACAGCAAAGCCAGGACAAGGCCGATGGCTACGGCTAGGATGGGCTGCAATAAAGACAGCTAAAGGAGGGAAGGGAGGGATATTACTTAATGACTGGCTTGTGTTTATTTGGGCTATTGTTGGACTGGTGATTTTTATCATTAAAGACAAAGTCATAAGGTGAAGTGTGTAACAGTTTTATAGGTAAAACACTTCCCTTTTTATGGATCAGTAGGCAGAGATAAATTCACTGTTTGTTTAATTGTGGTGTCAATTGATGGATCAACAGATGCTGGGAGTTTTGTGGAGACACTACCTGCTTGTTAATGGAATGGATGGAAAAAGCCCAAAAGTCTTTGCCATTTGACAGTGTTTGATGAACTGAGAAAAAAAACATTGAACCTGGACATTGAACTTATTTTTGCTTATAATGTACATATTTTAATTACAAATATTTCATTATAAGTATTTAAATATTATAAATATTTAATCATGAGTACAAAATATCTTGCTTTAAATTGAATTCATCATTAAAAATAATGTTTAGTAAACTAATATTTTAGTCACATTAGTCATAAGAGACATTGCGATTTTCATTCTCGTTTTGCTTTGTTCACATGTTTGAGGATCAATTCACATGCATTTTATGTCATATGGAATTCTGGGGGAAAAAACAAAACTTACATTAACTTGTAATCATTAATTCGCTTATTCATATATTTTCTTTTCAGCTTGGTCCCTTTATTAATCTGGGGTTGCCACCACGGAATAAACAGGCAACTTATCCAGCATATGTTTTACACAGCGATTGCCTTTCAACTGCAATCCATCACAGGGAAACATCCACACACATGCACTACTGACAATTTAGCTTACACAATTTGCCTATAGTGTATGTCTTTGGACTTGTGGGGGAAACTGAAATGCCAACTAACGCAGCCTATAGGCTCGAACCAGCGACCTTCTTGGTGTGAGGTGATCGTGCTACCCACTGGGCCACTATGACATCTTTAACTTGTATTATCTATAATATTTTTCAGGTCAAATTCCCATATTTTATATTTTCACTAATTCATTTAAAATGTTTTGAATTTTGGACACTGAGTGGAAACCTGTTTGGAAACAGTCTGTGCAATTTTGTGTGATGTCATTCTTTGGTCACAGAAATTGCACGCTTCATGTACAGATTACGCAATACAAAAAACTTTAAACTGTATAAAAGTGTGTTATTTTACATAAATATATTACTGATTATTAGAACATTAAAGATACTTGTTAAGAGGTTAATAAAGAAATGAATGAATAAATAAATAAACAAAATTAAATGATATGATGATAAAAGTGATTTCTAAAGTGTATAAATGAAAAATTAACAAAATAAAAAACACAGAAAAACTAGTTTTCAAAATAAATGAAAATTAAAAGTATTTTAATCATACATGAAACTTGAAAAAAATAGATTTTTGTTTATAAAAACATTGTGATATCTTGTGATTTTCTTCCTTATTGTTTTTCTTTTTATATGTTCTACCCCATACTGACATAAATGTGGCATAATTCCATACTGGCATCACATGGAATTCTGGAGAATTTTTTCTGTAAGTAATTGTGTAAGTATTTTTACATAATAGCTATACATTATTTTTATGATGCATGCAATTCCATTTGTTGTCATTACTGGCCACAGAAATTACACGCTTCACCTTTAGACTTGACAAAAATGTTTAAACAAACTACAAATGGCATTGGTCAAACAAAAGAACACTTTCCTCTTGAACTGTCCCTATTGTCAGTGCCCCTGAACATTAGCGATACATGGGCCGAACACTTACATGGTTGTCTTTGTCCTGCATAAGCCTGAGGCGCTCTTGGCTCTGCTGCAGCTCCAGACTGACGGAGCGTTTCTCCTCCTCTGCATTCTCAAACTTCCCCCTCAGGCCCGACAGCTCTGCCTGCATCTCCTCATACTGAGTGCACAAAAAAAAAAAAGAGTGAGAGGAAAAAAAAAACCTTTCAGAAGAAGCAATGGGCCTAGTCAATAACACACAGAGGCCAGGGCTTTTTTTAGGTGCAAGAGCTGACTGCTAATGAGACTCAGCTCTACTTTCTTTCTTTCTTAGGTATGGTGTGATTAACCTCTTTCTGCAGTTCTTTGATCCTGCTGTTGCTCTGCTCCAGCTGCCCGTTGTCTCTCTGGTGCTCCTCCTGCAGGACGCTCAGACGCTTCTCCAGGTCGGCCTGCGTCTTTTCCAGGCTCTTGACCGTGTTGCTCAGGCTGGTGTTCTGTTTCTTGGAGCTGCAGGCAGGAAACAGCTTAAGATTCCGCAGAGATTACTTCGCCATTACATCACAAGTTTGCAACTTGAGCTTTTCTCCTATTTCAAGGTGAAGTTTAGGGCTGGCCATTTGATTCACTTTTGATTCACAAGCTCTTGAATTGATTTGATTCAGTATTTTTACATAGGGATGCTGAAAATTTTGGTTGCACAGGGCTGAAAACTGAAATTGAAAATGCTTTGCAATGATATTTAATTATTTTATTAACTACAATTAAGTATTTTTGTAAGAATTTTTTAATACAATCACTATTTTAACTCGATAACAAAAATTATACTGATTTAAAAAATTAAAAAGCATTTTATTGACAGTTAAATTATTTGACAGTGAATGGTTGAGAGGCATCATTTTACCAGCATTGCCATGACAGCACAGTAGCACTAAGGCCCCGTTAACACTAATGCGATTTTGTTTTAAAACGCATAAGTTTTACTACAGTTACGCCATCCGTCCACACTACGTCAGAGTTTTCGAGTGTCGAAAACGGAGCACTTCGAAAACGCTGGAGAGGCTGTTTCCATTCTAAAACGCTGCTGCTCCGTCTTAGTGTGGATAGGGGAAAAGGGAGACATCTGAAAACGAAGGCGGGGCTGCAGACATTCGCCTATCTGATTGGGGCTTTTCCTCAATATTAAGTAGCTTACACACACAGTTCAGTCTCGCATCCTCTCCCTGTAAGTTCGGACTTCGCAAGTTTGATATGGAAAACAGACCCTCGAGGACATGTCCGGTAAATCTTCAAAGGGAACGAACTGCCTATTTTCATTTTGATATTAACAACTTAAAAGCCAGCTGAAATGCTGAAGCGTCGTGCTGCATCTTCACTGTATGCATATTTTAATAAAACAGAGCCTATATAACATCACTGCCTCTTTCATTTTCATTGAAAATACGAAACCTATCCTCTGCTTTGCTAAATGTCAGTTTTAATAATCAATAATAGCCATTATAAAAGTATAACGCACAATAGGTTTATACATTATAGGAAATAAAGTCAATATACAGAATGTACGTGGTTACATTAATTATTAACTTATCTTTGCGCTCAGCCAAAACACGTTACCTGTGAACCAGTAATCGATTTAAAAATCCAAGGTTGGGGAATATGTTGTTAGATATAGACAACAAGATTAATTAAATATCACGTTAAATAAATATAGTGATATTAGATGAGCAGTCCGACCAGCACAGCTCTCATCTGGGTAGAAATGCTGCAGCGCTTGCCCGAGAGTGTGTGTGGTCACGTGATGTGCGTTTTCAGCATTTTGGTGTGGACGGAGAGCAGTTGAGAAACGCTGGGTAAATCACTAGTGTGGACGCGGATCGTTTTCATTCTAAAACGCCGTTTTAAAACTAAAACGCACTAGTGTAAACGGGGCCTAAGTTTGCTTTTCTGATGCGCATGTGCAGTTCTAGCATAGATAAACATGTAGTATGAGTGGAACATCAACATCAAGTGGCATATTAAGCTTGAGCCATTTTGAAATTTGACTGCAGTGCACACATTAATGCTATTAACTGCCCTTGCCTGGTACAAGCTATTGAAATGAATGGGTTTTTATAGCGCACATTATAATAAAATATTTGCAGTTTACTTATTTTTACAAAATACTATTAAAGAAATAATTTAATAAAACTTTTAGAATTAAAATAATATTTTTTTTTATGTCTAGATATATAACTTAATGCAAACAGACTAATTTAATATTCAAAATTTCAGTCTGTTTAAATTTGGCCCCAATTTTTTAATGTGGATTACAGACACTTTATAAAAGCCCACTGGCTTCCCGCCCGAGTTAACGGACACGCATCAAAGAGCTTTGCTCTGGAACATGTGGAGACAAGAATGTCCACTGTCGCCCCTACTCTTTGCTATTAGTACTGAACCTTTTGCACATCTCATCCAGGGTAACAGTTTAATTAAAAGCATTAAAGTTGAAAGAGAAGAACATAAATTGTCATATGCTGATGATATATAGAAGCAACTATTCCATATCTGAAAAAGCTAATTCTTGAGTATGGCTATTATTCAGGTTATAAAGTAAATGTAAATTTCAAAACGAATTTAAATTAAAGGCATGTTTAAATGGCCTAAAATGGGTTTAAGTATCTAGGTATTCCCTCCCCTATTTGAATCAATTTTACGACACAAATTACAAAAAAATTAATCAAAAATATTACGGATGAACTAGATCGATGGTCAGCGCTCCCTCTCTCTCTGATGTCTTGCAGAAATTACTGTATTTGTTCCAAATATTACCGATAGTAGTCCCCAAATCTACATTTGACTTATTGGATAAAAAAACATTTCTAAATTCATATGGCAGAGGAAACGACCAGGAATTAAGACTTAAAACCATACAATCATGTAAGAATAATGGGGGGTTGGGACTCCCCAACTTACGTTTCTATTGCTGGTCGGCTCAACTAAGACCTGTGATCTCTTGGATTAGAGACTGTTCGCATACTCGATGGATCAATATTGAAAAGAGTCTCTGTTCAAAATTGCAGTCCAAAACTGGGATGTTCCATATTTATTAATTATTTTATTTATGTTGCTCTGTATAAAATCTCAAATGAGCTCTAAAGGCCTATCTAGTGGTAGGCACAATAAATTGCAATTTATTTGCGATTGTCTTTTCCACAAGAGGGCATCAGGGATATTCACGACAAAAAGACTGGAATTGTCATTTGGTAATTGTCTTTTACAAAAAAAAAGGAAGATAAATAAAATAAATATGACCAAAAACTTGCATGAAAAACTGTGTAAAAATTGTTAAAATAAACAGTACAATAAAAGTAACATTATGATACATTTTGACCCATGAAAGACACTAAGGGGATCCAAAATGTGAGAAAAGGTTCAGAATTAAATTCTCTGTTGTTAATACAGCATAGGACAGACCTGTCCAGCTCTTTCTCCAGCTGCTGTTGTTTCTTCTGTAGCTGTTCTTTCTCTGAGCGCAGGCTGCTGTTCTCATTCTGCAGACTGGCCTTCTCTTTCTGCTGTTTATCAGCCAGCTGCTCTCTCTCTGACCTCAGAGATGCACAGTCCCTCCTCAGGCTCTCACAGTCCTTCTGCACCTTCTCCAGCTCGCCCGCTGCACACAAACGCACACAAAAATGAACAAACTCACAGATACAGTGTTATTGCTCGCTCACTCACTCAATCACACATGCACAGACATGTATGCACGTACACACGCTGGGACTGACGACACTACTCGGTTACATAATTATGGAAGTGATGTGAGAAATGTGAGTCATCTTCTGAATATCTGTCAGAGTACTGCAAACACTGCTGTGACTGTTGGTGGATGAACTTGAAGCTTGATTTTTATCCTCCACAAACACATTACGCTCTTTGTTCAGTAGGCTTCTTGGTTTGTTAAAGGATAGTTCGCCCTTAAATTAAAATCTCCCTTTGATTTACACACCATCGAGCCATTCTCGGTTTATATGACTTTTTTTCTCTCAGACGAACGCAGTCAGACTAGTTATAAATTTTATCCTGGCTTTTCCATGCTGTATAATGGTGTTGAATAGTGGCTTTAATGTTAAAGCTTACAAAAGTCCATAAATCACTTGTCAAATTAACCCAAATACCGCCAATAACGCAATTCTTATAAAGATCAACATGTTTCTGTACATTGTAATTTACATACATTTCTACATTGTAAAATAAATCCTTTAATTACAGACTTCTGGCTGTGGCCGAATGCACATTTATGCAACCGATGTATAGAGCGTATGATGCATGGGGAAAGACGAGTACGTAGCAATGTATGAGTAATAAACGGTATAACACTATACAGTAGTGCCAAGCCAACAAGTTCTTGTTGATTTTCATCTTCTGCAGCAAAAAAAGAGGTTCCTGTGAAATGCGTCTATTCCAGGAGTTTCCACTATGAATGTCTTTCACTATGTGCCATATGTCTCATAAGTCAGTTGGGTATAACATGCATTGGGCAGCTGACAGAAGTCAGCGATTGCAGTTTATATCTGAAATATTTTTGTAAAATAAATAAGTAAATCATACAACATACTAGAGTTGTCGCGATGCCATTAAAGGTTCACAAAACCCTCAAGTACTTTTTTGAGAATTTAACATTTGTGTGTGTTGAGCATCAGTTAAGACAACGTTAGCACCTGTTAGCTTTAATTGTGGGAAAAATTTGATAATTTTGAGCTTTTGTCAGCTTTTGTTGGGGGCGGGATCAAAATTGGCGACGTAACGCAAAACTGCAAGTGCAAAGATGACGCGTCGGTTTCTCATTATTATTCATAGGTGATTTTTCTTATTCTATGAGAAGAGGCTGCTTTTCTTAATTATTCATGACTGCACATGTTTTTCGAAGGCAAGGCAGACCTGCCAGTGCCAAGCTGTGAGATACGGTTACACGGCACAGTATTTAGCTGTTTATGAAGGGTCGTATGTGCTTGTTTCCATGATCCACGGGGTTTATTGCATGTTTTTCTACGCAATGCTATCAGGGGCGATACAGCAAATCTGTTTGTGTGCAGCAAGCATTTTTGTAGAGAGAGCAGTATGAGAATTAGAGAATAGCAGACAGGAGTTTATTCAAATTTAGACAAATCGCCGTGCAGCTGTGTTTGTCTAAAACCTCTAGATTACCAACAACGCTAATGGTTAAAGTAGACAGGATAAGAGACCTGCTGCACGGAGTCTGCATTCAGACCTATGATTCAGACCCGGGGATTGAGGGAAAAGTCCTCATTTATAGTGTTTATATGAACACTATTATCTTTATAATGATATAAATTGTGGTTATCTGTATATGAAATTATAAATAACAAATGTAGCAGGGCATTAAATTACTGTTTATTTATTTGCATTTTAACTTTGTAAACTATAAAATCATGCGTCTCCTCACGGTTTGTGTTTCATTTTGTGAGCTAACTGACAATAGTTGTTCGCTCCCCTCCTTCTCCCCTTCTCCCCGCCCACTCCTGCCCTTTGCCCACAGAGCTCCACACCCATTATCATGCATCTTTTGAAAAAATTCAAAGGTAGACCTGAACCGAAACTCGGGTATGTCATGATCCTTTAATTTTTCTTAAGATACTATACCAGCTGAAGTACCACGATACCAGGTAGTTTTGTGATTCTGTAATTCATAACTCAAATTATAAAGAAAATTGCCAAACACTATATTTTAGGTTATAATAGGCCTACTTGAATGTAATCCATAATTCACTTATTATTGAAAAAGTACTATTTACACACCACTTCACCAAAAATATTCATTAATTTAACTATTTTGTAGATAACAGACCAACAAAACATGCATTAAAATAAAGATCCAAATTATGCAGAATGAAATTTGTTACAAAAGAGCATTTTTTTCCAACACGATGAGGCTATATGAAGAGCTCAAAATAGTTAAAATGCTTCCTGTTGCTTTCACTCTTATCAGGTAACAATCCAAAGTAATTCAAAATTTCACTTTGTAAGTCGTTCTTTTTAAGAGATTGTTGCAGTTGTTGTAGCTTCTAAATCATATTGACAGGGACAGAAATGATCTGATTCAGATGTGGGTTCAAACTGAAGGGTTAGAAAACGTGCAATAGGCTACCATAAAAAGCGCAAATTCTACACAGTTTTGCAACCTTAAAGGGCTCACTTTTCCACATGCAACATTATCTATAGTAGATAGACAATTAACGACGATATTACCGTTTGCAAACTACCGTGGCACCACCACTATTTTGGAGACATTATACCGCGATACTACCATAGTACCAGCAACCCTAGGACATACACAATAACCCCCTGGCAGCATAGAGGTTATTTTGACAAAGGATTTATGAGCTTTTGGAAGTTTAAAATTAAAGCCACAATCCAACACCATTACACTGCATGGAAGAGCCGGGATAAAATTTAAAACTACCGTTTGTCTGACAGAAAAAAAACAATCATATACACGAAGATGGGTTCATGGGGTAATTTTAACTATTGCTTTTAGAGATAATGACTGTGCAGATGAAATAAAAAGAGCTTTAATTTTACTGAAAACTAATTTAGAAATTTAACCTGGATGAGAAATCTTTACAATTTCACATCATTTTAAGATTTTTGCAAAGAAAGCAGATTTAGATGATTAAGAAAGCAGATTTAGTATTTACTGTAGGCTTGAAATCTGATCTGGCCAGTCCAATAATCTGCAAAGATGCAAGTCTGTGTGGTTGTGATTACCTTGTTGTTTGGTGGCTCTGTCCCTCTGCTGGTTCTGCTGCAGGTGACTTGCCTGTACACTTTCAAGCTCGCGCTCGTACTTGTTTGCTGCCTGCTGCCATTTTTCCAGCTCTGAAGTGAGCGTTGCAAGATTCCCCTTCAGCGCACTGACCTCATGCTCTCGCTCTGCTGCCGTTTTCTCCATAGTGCGACGCAGCACCTGCACTTCCTCCTGAGCCGCGTGGGTTTCCTGTCTCATGCTGAAGACTGCGCTGTCCTTCTGATCCCTGAGGTTTTCCATCTCTTCCTGGAGCTTCTGGAGCTGAGCTAAATCCACATGTAGACACATATACACATTACACACATCGCTTGTTATAATACGCTGTTTAGTAAATATGGCTTAGGACATCAGCCCTTCTTCACTTACTCTGTAAGACCTTCATCTGTTTTGCTGACTCCTCTGCCTGCTGCTTATTGGCTCTTTTCTCCTCCTCCAGTAGACCTGTCATACACAGCACAAACCATCAGGGGGATCTGTTGAGCATGGCTACCATTCCTAACCATTTCTAATATTATATTACCATTAACAACTAAACTGTACATAGCTTATATGTCCAAATCATTGAAAATGTTTACAGAGTCAATTACCTATCTACATAATAAAAACAACACTTTTAATGTATTATTTAAAAATATATATTTTTAATGTATTTTAATGTATTTTATAATGCATTTCTAATAATTTAAATGGTTCAAACTATGAACTCTGTTAGCAATAAAAAATATTAGTAATAACAAAAATTATAAAAAATTATAATAAATAATTATAAATAATTTTTATAATTTAACAATTATTCAATAATTTATGAAGTAGATTTATTATTTCATCAAAGTCAACAAACTTACAATCTATTTATTAATAAATATCAATTTAATAAATAATAATAATAACAACAGCAATACATATTATTTTTTATTGAATTAATAATTTTAATTTAGTTAATAATGTTCAAAGACTTATTCAAACATCAATAATAACAAAAGTAACAATACTAATCAAATTTGAAATTACACAACTCATAAATAATCATAATAATAATCATACTAATTAACATCTATATAAAAATAAGACTAACACATTTATTATTCATTGAATAGAAATATGCAATAATTGATTCATTCAATTATCAATGTAATGATTAATAATTATACTAATATTATTAATAATGACAGTAGTAATACTGCAACTAATAAAGTTTTATTAATTATTTAATAAATACTATTTAATATTTATTTAATAAGGGCAGTGTTATTATTAGATAATAATATTAAATAAATGACACAAATATATGATGATTAATCGTTTATTAACAATAATAATAATAATAATAATAGTTATAATATATATTTTATTAATTTAATAAATAATATTTATAATTTAATAAGGGCAGTTATTATTTAAAAAGTAAGAACATTCAATAAATTAATTGACAAATATTTATTATTTTTACAGGTTTATTAAAATAATGCCAAATATAAATATAATAATAATAATAATAGTAATAGTTTATTCAAATGTCCATATAATTAATAATTAACATTATATTATATAAATAATAACAAAAGTACTGTATTATTATACAACTAATAATACTAGTTTTATTTATAACTTAATAAATACTATTCAACATTTATTTAATAAGGGCACTGTTGTTATTATTAAATAGGTAATAACGTTAAATAAATAACATTAGATATACTATTGAAAGTTTACAGGTTTATAAAAATAATGCCAAATATAGATCATAATAAAACAACAACAATAATGCAACTACACACAAAGGTATTGAAAAAAGTGCACATGCGAGCTTTTCAGTACCCTGTACCTTGAAGTTCAACACATTTGTATTTGCTGGAGTTGGGCTGTTCATTGGCCTCCTGCAGTTCCTGGTTCAGCCGCTGGATGACCTTCTCAGACTCACTGGCCTCCACAGTGCTCCTGCTCAGCTCATCTGGAGAAATGATTACACTGATGACATCTAATGGGAACTATTACATGCATAATTAGACACTATTATGGGGCTCTGCTGTCAGAGAATCACTCTTTCATCAACAGTTAATGGGTGATCAGTGTCTTTATCTCTGGATCAGCATCAATGAGGAGCGTTTCAACTCTGTCGGATTGTTCTGTCCTCCGCCAAAGTGCAAACCCTCTCTCCAAAGGTTAATTAAATCAGAAAGAATCGCATGGTAATTTCCCTGAAGGTCTGAAAATGGGCCTATTCCATGAATTAATAACTTGACTCAGAATAGATCTATCCTAAAAACATAATGCCATCCATGTGCTTTAAAATGTGATCTGTGAAGATGATGGCTGGGTTTTTAAATGAAGCAGAAATTTGATTAAACGTTTAAAGGATTCTTATGTTATACAATGCCTTTTCATAAGGGATAAGAAACATGTGCTATATAGAGTGATAGCGTTAATAAAGATTCACTGCTGTGCAAAATTTCATATACTGTCTGCTCTTTAAAGGGACAGTTTCCCCAAACATTTTATTTACTCACAACGGGATACAAAACTTAAGGATTTGGAGATAAAGAAGATATTTTGAACACTGTAAAAAAATGATGGATTCCTCACAATTACTTCATGTTGACCCAACACAAATGGATTAAGTTAACTAAATAATTTTCACAAATTTAAATGGATTGAACATAAAACATTTAACCTTGTCCAAAAGAATTGTGTTGTTCCGGCTCATTTTAAATAATAAGTTTGAACAAATAGCAAATATAATTTGAGGAAATAAATAAATAGACATGAAATCCATAGTAGGAAAAAAAAAATACTAAGAAACTCGAAATTTCCAGTTTTCAACATTCTTCAAAACATCTTCTTTTGTGTGCAACAAAACAAATGAACCATAACAGATGTGGACCAACTGTAGTGTGAGTAAATGATGACAAAATAATAATTTCTTTGTGTGAACTATCTCTTTAATTTACCTTAACTTAGAAACACTCTTGCTCCTCTTTCGCTAAATATGGGTTGCAGAAAACCAGGCCATCTAATCAAATGCTCCAAAAAGATATGACCTCATCTTACAAACTCAAGGGTGTACACCATAAATGGCCGTATCAAGGACATATCACTGCAAAATCAGATGTGCAACTCCAGAAAATTCTACTTCGCATACTTTACTTGCATGACTAAGCTAAAATACCGAAGCCTCTGCAGGCCAAACACAACCACCGGAGCAGGAAGGATGAAGGCATTAACGTTTTATGAGATATTGCAGTGGGTAATGTTTATTGATGCCATTCTGCATCAAGAAGTCAATCTCTCAGCAGAGTTCGAGGACACGCAGGAACGTTCTGGCCTAATTTATTTTTGAGTGTGTTGAGGAAGACAGACGGATGAGAAGATGTACCGTGCAGTCAGATCAACAAAATATCCTCTGAAAGCTGATCAAAGTATTAGCAAAGCCTAGAAAACGGTCATATTGTTATTAAACCCAACAACAACAGCGATTAAAAAAATGACATGCTTGAATAAATTGATTTCTATAAAGAAGTTGGTTTGGGGAAAAACAAGTGCACTGCTGATATCCACTCCAATGTACTTAAGACACTTAGTACATTTAACTGAAGTTGTATTGTAATATCAAGACAGATTACTCAGTCTATTAATGCTAAAATTATGTTAATGCTAATGCTTAACTTTGCAACTGTTATTTATTCATTAATTCTGGTTTTAAAAGATAAACAAGAAGACTTAATACAATTAAATTACGCGGCAACTCTTTCATTTAATAATAATATAATATTAATTCATTATGTTAGACATAAAACACCTTAATATCCTGACATACAAAAACAACCTTAAAAACCAGGTTTAAGATCTTAACTAAATGGCTAATGTGACAGTTTATTGCTAAGTTACAGTTTACACTTCAGCAAACAACCACAGAATTTCAAAAATGTTAATGTGACTTTACCTTTGATTAGGGACACTTTATTAATAGGATCTTTCAGCTTTTGCTCCTCCATTGTTTCCCCCACTGTGACAGAGTATGAGAGTGGTGTTAGTCACTTTTAAATATTACCTTTAATATATCTAATATTATTTCAATCATTTGGAATTTGAATAGTAAAGAAAGTAAATTAATGACATAACCCGTTAATTATGAAATTCCAGGTGACACCAATCGTGAACGAGATAGTTAACTGGAAAAAAATCCAGTTTTCAAATATGCCAAATGATTTGTAAAGAAATTAACACAAATCTTAATATTTTTCAGATTTGCCCTTCAAAAATATAGCTTGCATCCAACGCATAACGTCACGCCAGTTATATAATACAGCTTAGCGTCGTTGTATCAATTAAGAAGACTAGTCATCACCTACACTTAAGACTGAGCACTAAAAACAGACGGCATTACCTGAAGACTCGTGATGTCACAACAGTCGGAGCCGAAACAGAGCTGCAAAATTCAGCCTTCTTTAACTATCGATTCGCTCTGGTGATGAGAACCGGACGAGTCCATTCTGAAGCGAGGGGAGTCACCGACGCATCTACAAATCTTATCTGGGGGTCGTGTCAACAAAACAGGACAGAAGACGGTTAGGTGCAGAAGGTGTCTTGAATGAAAGGCTGATTAATTATTTTGAACTCTGAGGTTTAGTTTGCTTTGTGGAAATTATTTGCATGCGTCGTCATGTGACGCCCCCCAAGAGGTGAAGGTCTGGAGGTCTGGCTCACATGGGCACATGAGCGTCCTGAGGCATCTAAAAAGAGGCTGCAGCTGCATGGTAGAACACACTCAAGCCCATTGTTTCACTCGTTATGGCGTCTCTTATGTAAAGAACCGTTAACAATAGTGGTCATTTGTGCTTGTATCAGTGCCAAGCTAAGCACCGTGGTTTTGATAATTATATTAGCTCATTGGCTGTATGTCAAGATGTCAATCAAGACTCTCGAATTGCATTTTTAAGACGCGTATTCATACAAAAAAACAAAACAAAAAAAACTCTTATTTAAAGTGTTAATTGAACAAAATTAAAATTCAGTCATTTTTTGCTTCACTTTCATATAGTTCATTTTTGTGACGCAATATAAGCTTTTTTGACCAAATTTTGTATGTGTTCCCCCTTCAGACTCTTCAAATTGTAAAAAAAATAAAATAAATAATAATAATAATAATAAATAAATAAATAAATAAAACCTTTATGAATAAAGCAGTTAAAATTTTTTAGAAAAGACAAAATGACTATATGATCAATAAGTAATTAAAAAGCAAACAGAAAAGCTCAGGAAAACAGCTTGACATTTTTGAAGAAAGCAGGCAAGAAAGAATCTCATTGGTTCTCAAGTGTCATGTAAGCATGTCTGAGAATGCGGTTTAGTTCAAATGTGTTCATATGTAAATAAAAACTTAATTGAAATCTGTTTATAATATAAAGCATTTAATCTAAGATTTAGATTAAACCATTAAATTTATATGGATTTAATTATTTATTTATTTTTCAGATTTTTAGTCGACGGACTGAGGTCTCTCCGGTTTGATTAAAAATATCTTCATTTGTGTTCTGGTTGTTTAGGTACAGTAATGACTGTTTTAACTGTGTTGACAAATCAAACTTTTGGAAATGTATCATAAATTTCTTTCTAGCGATGGTAATAGTCATATATTTACATAAAGTGAAAACAACTTTTAAAAAATATACTATGCACATGTTCTCACTGTGTTGGCGTGGGTTTCCTCCGGGTGCTGCGATTTCCCCCACAGTCCAAAGACGTGCGCCATAGGTGAACTGGATTAACTAATTTGGCCATAGTGTATGTGCGTGAATGAGTGTGTGGATGTTTCCCAGTACTGGGTAGCAGCTGGAAGGGCATTCGCTGTGTAAAACATATACCATAAGTTGGTGGTTTATTCCGCTGTGACGACTCCTGATGAATAAAGTGACTGAGCCGAAGGAAAATAAACATGAATATTTGATGACCATATTTGGGGGAAACCCCTGATATAGAGTATCTTGATGTAGACGTTGATTTTGAGTACTAGGAAAAAACTTAGATATTATTTTGGATTAATATGTTTAGCATATGTAGGAGGAATCAGGTTTGTGTGGGTTCATTGTATTGCCCCTTCAGAAATTCATCTATTGAGCTTTAATTTACTGACAGCTGTTTTTAATGCAGGACATTTTTATTATTATTATTTGAAATATTGCATAGACATTTAGATTTAAGAAATCGTTAAATAAAATACTTATTTTTTTACCATCCCTATTAATTATTTATGAAATATTTATGTTTTTTCAGTGTGACTGACATGTGCTGGCTACTTTGTCTACATTTGACCAACTGAGGCAACTGATGTGGAATTAAGAGTTTACCATGCTCAGAGGAAGACTGAAAGGGTTCATATGGATCTCTTCGTTGTTGTCATGGCGACAGAGCAAACCCGTCTCACTCATAGTTCTTGCCCACGTATCTGCTGACCACACTAAACAGACTGAGAAAAATCAGACTCGATCACAGTGAATATCCCTCGGTTGAAGTGACCTTGTCCAATGCCATCACAATTACCTCGAGTCCTTGAAAGGGATGAGTCATGGTCATAAATCCCATAACCCTGCTGAAAAATCCAGCTTAAACCAGCCTAGGCTGGTTGGCTGGTTTTAGCTGGTTGACCAGCCTGGTTTTAGAGGGGTTTTGGCCATTTCCAGGCTGGTTTCCAGCCATTTCCAGCCTGGTCTTAGCTGGTCAGGCTGGGAGATGACCAGCTAAAACCAGCTTGACCAGCCTAGCCAGGCTGGGAGCCCAGCCAAAACCAGCCATGTCCAGCTTAAACCAGGCTGGTCAAGCTGGTTTTAGCTGGATTTAGCTGGTCATTTTCCAGCCTGACCAGCTAAGACCAGGCTGGAAATGGCTGGAAACCAGCCTGAAAATGGCCAAAACCCCTCTAAAACCAGCCTGGTCGACCAGCTAAAACCAGCCAACCAGCCTAGGCTGGTTTAAGCTGGATTTTTCAGCAGGGAAGCATCTACAGCTTTTAACAACAACAAAACGCAGCCATATTTGTCCAAGATTGAATCTAAAAATGGATCTTAGGTGTCTAAATAATTCAGTGTTTTGCAGAATAGATTAGGATGATTGTATCTATGTCTCATTCTTTCTCGCAAATACCCACACCTAATATTTTTATGTTCACAATTGCAGTTAATTTATTATTATTTTCTCATAATGAGGTGTTTTTTTGTAACAAAACCAGTAAATATTTGGTCCACTTCTAAACCAATTGTGGTCAATTAAAATACTGAAATATGAGCACAAAAGGGACTAGAAACAAACCAAAATAGGTTATGATGTCATAAGATGTGACCCTAAAAAAAGAGATAACTCTCTGGCATACCTGTTCTTTCACATCATAGTGATAATGTTGCCCATTACAAGTGCATGCAGGCAGTAGAAACGTGTCTCCTTGCACCAGATCTTTATTTGTTAGTGTGATCAAGGATTCAGCTTAGCACACAGCATTGCTTTGGATTGTTTTCGGCATTAATATCTGTACGAAAGTATGTAGCAAATGCCTTTTATAATAGTAAGCATGTTAAATGCTAATGTATAATTCTCTCTTTTGGTCTGAGAAAGAGCAAATACACTCTAACTCATTAGGTATAAAACAATTAGTAAGTAACACTCGGCCATGAGTAAACCGACATGATACTGTTTGTATATGCATAACAAAGCCACATTAAAGCCAGCTGCGAGGCTGTTAGACCCTGCAGGAGATAACATGCGATGCCGTGAGAGTCGGTGGCGCAGGAAGTACTGCATGTGTGAGTAAAGTTTGTTTTGAAGGCAGACAGGTAAACTGTCCCAGTAAGAGGGCAGCGCTGAAGGCTCCTGCTGAGAAGTGTGAGAGGAGAGCAGATGGCAGAAAGGGCAGGAAAAAATCAGACAGGAGGGGGTTGCTGCTTATTCACGACAACAAATGGGACCATAGCAGACAATCAGCATGAAGTGGGTAGGAAAGGCAGTAGTGATCCCTACAGCAGTGGTCTGCATGGCCAGATCACTGTTTTATCGAAGTACATAGAAAATAGCACAACAAGTGCATGCAGTATATGGATAACATAGCCTAATGCAACACCTCTGGTTGTGCTCACACTGGCAAGGTGGGCACACTAACAAAACACTGAAGAGCTCAGCCTCTATCTTAAGCCACCTCTTGGGGTCAGGGGAGTGAGGTTTACCTATATGCTCAACCCCCTCAACCTCATTTCCATCTGGGTCACGGCACCACTATATAATCAGATAGCATGGTAGATAGACATTCTAACAAGGATGATTAAAGTTGGCATGAAAAAGAAGTTAAGATTGTTCTTTTCCACCCATGCCATGACGTATCTAATTGAAATGGTTTCTGAAATGAGAAAACAAATGTAGGGTGGTGCTCGATTTCATCCACTGGGAACTGATTGGATGATTGTAAGATGGACGTTTCAAATTAAATGGAGGAAGGTTTGAATGCCAGTTGTGGAGGATTACTGTCCACCAGAATCACTGTCGACCTTCTCTGGTGCAGAATGTTTTCAGATGCTCGATGATGACAAGAATGAGGAGCTAAATAATAAAGATGGAATTGTATCGTATTTATTTGAACCATTGCCTTCTGCAAAGGCAGGGCAGAAAGGAGAGATGTACGGATAATCCCATCCTAAAGGCATTCCATGTGACCAGAAGTGAAAAAAATTGTTTCGAGGTTATTTGATTAAAGATTATAAGGGTAAATATCCTTTTTTTTTTTTTTTTTTTACAAAATAATTAACTGCATAGATAAATCGTTTATAACAAGCACTGCTGTATATGTATATATATATATATATAAGAAGATCACATTTTGATTTCATGCTGCTGCCTTGTCAGTCACTTCAGTGCCATTTAAGAGACAAGGGGAGGGAGATTTACTCACATAGCTATTACTAGCTGGCCTCCATTACCTTCACAGCCCTAAACCTCACTCCCATCCAGGTCATAGCAACAATAAAATCTCTCCGCTTCTACTTGGGAAAATCGGCATCTCCAGCATGGAAGGGGGCAAAATTAACACATACAGTTGAAGTCAGAATTATTAGCCCCCCTGAATTAATAGCCCCCGTTTGTTTTTTTCCTCAATTTCTGTTTAACGAAGAGATTTTTTCAACACATTTCTAAACATAATTATTTTAATTACTCAATTCTAATAACTGATTTATTTTATCTTTGCCATGATGACAGTAAATTTGACTAAAAATATTTCAAGACACTTCTATACAGCTTAAAGTGACATTTAAAGGCTTAACTAAGTTAATTAAGTTAACTAGACAGGTTAAGGTAATTAGACAAGTTATTGTATAATGATAGTTTGTTCTGTAGACTATCGAAAAAAGTACAGCTTAAAGGGGCTACTAATTTTGACCCTAAAATGGTTCATAAAAAATTAAAAGCTGCTTTTATTCTAGCCGAAATAAAACAAATAAGAAAATCCAGAAGAAAAAAAAAATTATTAGGCATACTGTGAAAATTTCCTTCCTCTGTTAAACATAATTTGGGAAATAAAAAAAAAAAAATAATTCAAAGGGGGCTAATAATTTCGACTTCAACTGTACATAAGACTGAACCTTCTAGCATCCCTTGCTAATGCACCTCTTTATGCCAGGGTATAAAATTTACCTCAGACCTCAGTTACCCCTACCACCTGGCCATGGCACTATTGTAACCTCTCTGGTTCTATTCGGTAAAATTCAAACCAATGTTTGGGAGGTGGGCACACTAACAA